AGGGCTAGTGCTCTGGGCTAGGGCTCTGGGCTAGGGCTCTGGGCTAGGGCTCTGGGCTAGGGCTCTGGGCTAGGGCTCTGGGCTAGGGCTCTGGGCTAGGGCTCTGGGCTAGGGCTCTGGGCTAGGACTCTGGGCTAGGGCTCTGGGCTAGGGCTCTGGGCTAGGACTCTGGGCTAGGGCTCTGGGCTAGGGCTAGGGCTAGGGCTAGTGCTCTGGGCTAGGGCTCTGGGCTAGGGCTCTGGGCTAGGGCTCTGGGCTAGGGCTCTGGGCTAGGGCTCTGGGCTAGGGCTCTGGGCTAGGGCTCTGGGCTAGGGCTCTGGGCTAGGGCTCTGGGCTAGGGCTCTGGGCTAGGACTCTGGGCTAGGGCTCTGGGCTAGGGCTAGGGCTAGGGCTAGTGCTCTGGGCTAGGGCTCTGGGCTAGGGCTCTGGGCTAGGGCTCTGGGCTAGGGCTCTGGGCTAGGGCTCTGGGCTAGGGCTCTGGGCTAGGGCTCTGGGCTAGGGCTCTGGGCTAGGACTCTGGGCTAGGGCTCTGGGCTAGGACTCTGGGCTGGGGCTCTGAGCTAGGGCTCTGCGCTAGGGATCTGGGCTAGGGCTCTGGGCTAGGACTCTGGGCTAGGGCTCTGGGCTAGGGCTCTGGGCTAGGGCTCTGGGCTAGGGCTCTGGGCTAGGGCTCTGGGCTAGGGCTAGGGCTAGGGCTAGTGCTCTGGGCTAGGGCTCTGGGCTAGGGCTCTGGGCTAGGGCTCTGGGCTAGGGCTCTGGGCTAGGACTCTGGGCTAGGGCTCTGAGCTAGGGCTCTGCGCTAGGGCTCTGGGCTAGGGCTCTGGGCTAGGGCTCTGGGCTAGGGCTCTGGGCTAGGGCTCTGGGCTAGGGCTCTGGGCTAGGACTCTGGGCTAGGGCTCTGGGCTAGGGCTAGGGCTAGGGCTAGTGCTCTGGGCTAGGGCTCTGGGCTAGGGCTCTGGGCTAGGGCTCTGGGCTAGGGCTCTGGGCTAGGGCTCTGGGCTAGGGCTCTGGGCTAGGGCTCTGGGCTAGGGCTCTGGGCTAGGACTCTGGGCTAGGGCTCTGGGCTAGGGCTCTGGGCTAGGACTCTGGGCTAGGGCTCTGGGCTAGGGCTAGGGCTAGGGCTAGTGCTCTGGGCTAGGGCTCTGGGCTAGGGCTCTGGGCTAGGGCTCTGGGCTAGGGCTCTGGGCTAGGGCTCTGGGCTAGGGCTCTGGGCTAGGGCTCTGGGCTAGGGCTCTGGGCTAGGGCTCTGGGCTAGGGCTCTGGGCTAGGGCTCTGGGCTAGGGCTCTGGGCTAGGACTCTGGGCTAGGGCTCTGGGCTAGGGCTAGGGCTAGGGCTAGTGCTCTGGGCTAGGGCTCTGGGCTAGGGCTCTGGGCTAGGGCTCTGGGCTAGGGCTCTGGGCTAGGGCTCTGGGCTAGGGCTCTGGGCTAGGGCTCTGCGCTAGGGCTCTGAGCTAGGGCTCTGCGCTAGGGATCTGGGCTAGGGCTCTGGGCTAGGACTCTGGGCTGGGGCTCTGGGCTAGGGCTCTGGGCTAGGGCTCTGGGCTAGAGATCTGGGCTAGGGCTCTGCGCTAGGGCTCTAGGTTAGGGCTCTAGGTTAGGGCTCTGGGCTAGGGCTCTGGGCTAGGGCTCTGGGCTAGGGCTCTGGGCTAGGGCTCTGGGCTAGGGCTCTGCGCTAGGGCTCTGAGCTAGGGCTCTGCGCTAGGGATCTGGGCTAGGGCTCTGGGCTAGGACTCTGGGCTGGGGCTCTGGGCTAGGGCTCTGGGCTAGGGCTCTGGGCTAGGGCTCTGGGCTAGGGCTCTAGGTTAGGGCTCTGGGCTAGGGCTAGGGCTAGGGCTAGGGCTAGGGCTAGGGCTAGGGCTAGGGCTAGGGCTCTGGGCTAGGGCTCTGGGCTAGGGCTCTGGGCTAGGGCTTTGGGCTACGTCTCTGGGCTAGTTTTATTTGAGCATAAGTTTGAACGTAAAGGGTAGTATATTGTATTTTTGTGTAAAAAGGTGTGTCTGTTTGTAAAATTATAGTATATAAATGTAGCAATGTTTGTAGGTGATATTAATGATGTACATATCACCTACAAATGATAAGCTTTGCCTACAGTACCACTGTTTTAACTACTACACTTTTTACTTTATATATATATATATACCATCTACATCTAAAACACCAAACTCTATATTTGTAAAATCTGATGTTTTAGATGCAGTTATTAATGTCACGTTTCTTTTTACAGTAGCCTTGTTACCTAGCCTGTTGTAATTTGAAGTATTATAATAATTATGTTTTTCTGTTTTAAAATAACAAAGTTACTTGAAAGTATAAGATCTATGTTTCCGCGTTAGCCAAAAACATGTAATTTGATTGTAGTGTAATTCCTAACATATTTATGTTGTTTCATGCCTTGTATTATAGTATAACATAAGTTGTTTTGTGTGTTGCAGATATTGAGTTTGCTATACATTATATTAACTTGACTAAGTGTTATCTTGACTATATACTTAGTTGACTATAAATTAAGCTGACCATCTACTATTTAGGTTAACTTAGAACTTCGAAAATAAGCCCTATTGTTATGGAGTCAATAAGGTTTGTCGTGTTTTGTTCATTTGGAGTTATTGGAGTATTATCATCACTTATGTTAGTTTCAGTAGGTTTACATGCACATAATATGAACAATTAAGAAATTAAAAAGCTTGGTTGTACCATCCTACCTAGACACCTTTTAAATTTGCTTGTCCCTTTTGTGAAGTCATAAAAAAAGGCCTCTGGTTTGAGCATGGCCATGCACGCATGGTCCTCTCGTTTATTCATGCCGGCCTGGTTTTTTAAATTTTTTGGCTTGCCTAAGCCCGCAACGTGGCTTGAAATTTTTTTTAAACCTAGCGTGAATTTATTAAGTGCCAACATAAAGAACCCGATATACCTTTTCTGTAAAAAATGGCGGATTGTTTATGTCGGCACCTAATCAAAGTGGTTTATGATACAGAAATTTTGTTGTAGGAGACACAGGAGCTACCTGTGCCGATTTTTTTTGACCCCCGGTTTCAGACCAAAAGTCCCCGCCCGTCCGTGGCTACTGTAAATTATATTGACTATTGAAAAATTAATTGAAAATTTCAGACTTTGCTAATCAACAGAAAGTTCAGAAGTCGTAACATTTTACGAACTATAGCTTCAACTAACACTGCTGAGCTGCTTTATTGCATATCATTCTGTTTACCATACTGGACATCAGTTTTTACTGACCATATTATTTCAGAACATCTCGTTTTGGTAAGATTTTCGTGTTTTATAAAAAAGACAATGTTATGATATTCTACGTTTTATTAGAGTACTGTAAGGTAGGTTTATGTTACGTTAAGGCTGGGTAAACAAAGGTCAACTTCAAAAGATTAGTATGTAGTATATTATAGTAAAGCGAGTGTTGGTACTGCATTGTAGGGTATGGTAGAGTAACGTAACTTAAGGGTAGAGTAAAGTAGGGTTGTTTAGGGTATGGTAGGTTTAAAATGATAAACCATGCTTTCAGAAAATAGCATTCGTAAATGAAGTAACATACAAAGCCCAAATATATCAACATTCTTTGCTCGAAATAACTCGACTGTACTATATTTTTAAACGACAAGTTCAGACCATTGAGAAGACTGTTTTAAATGATGTAAGTTACATTTTTCTTTAAAAATTCTTTTTTTTTCTATCAACTTTTAGACCACAAGCTTCCTTTTTTTCAGATTCTACTAGCCTTTTGTTGGCTGTTAGCTTTTGCTACAATAATTGTTTACTTTGCCTACGGCCGAACAGTATTTTTTGACTATGAACTTTTTGAATGGACTGGCCATAACTCTTGGAATTGGCCCATAAGGATTGCTCATTCGATTCAATGGGTAGCGTTATATGTTGGTTTAGGTGCTGCAGTTATTGTACTGTGCGCATTTTGTGGGCAGGTAAGGTTTTTTAATTGATTATTGGGTAGAGTGGGGTAGGTAAATTGGGGTGATTTAGGGTAAGGCAGAGTAAAATAGGATTGAGAAAGGTAAAGTGGGGTAAGGTAGTGTATAGTTAGGGTAACCTAGAATAAGGTGGGATTGATTTTGATAGAGCAAGGTTTAGAATGGTAGTGTACGGTAGTTAAGGTAGTAGGGCATGGAGAAGAAAAACAGGGCATGGCAGGTAGGGCGCTAAGGCATTTTAAGGCGAGTCCGGAAAGGCAGGGCAAGATAAAGTAAAGTCAAGCAAGATAAAAACAGAATAAAGCAAGACGTGGTAAAATTTCAAATTTTAATTTATTTTTCAGATGCCAAGCACCAACTACATGAAGAAAACAGTAGAAGGCAAGATATTTCTTCAAACAATCTTGTTAAGTTTATTTGATTGTTTGCAAATCATTTTTTCTGTGTTTATATCGACAAATGGGGTTCGATCAACAACGGGTAATATGTTGGCATTACTTCGATGTTCTTTGAGTGCTCCTTTCTACATCTTACTCAATCGGTATGTTACTTGCTATACCTGATCTTATCATACTCTACCCTACACTGTTCTACCTTGTCGTACCTTACTCTACCCTATCCTACCTTACCCTACTCTACCCTAAACTACCCTACCCTATTCTACCGTACTCAACCCTATCCTACTTTACCCTATCGTACTTGACCCTAATCTCTCTTACTATATCCTACTTTACCTAATATAAAAATTTTTAGTGAAATTCGTACCTCAACAATCAGACTGATGTGTGTTACAGTGGGACGACAAAAGATTAACAGCAACATTGTCACTATAATGTCTGGGGCCAGTAAAACACATTTTCCTCACATAAATTAAATTTTAGTCATAATTCACTCGTACCTTTAATAAATTCATAACTTAACATGCCTTTTCAAATAAAAAATCAAAACTTTCAAAGTTACAACATTTTAAAATTGTCTAAAAAGTCTTGTCGTCATTTTCCATATACTCTCAAGTAAAAAAACGCCAAAACTTTTTCCGACCTTAATGCCACTTTAAATTTAACGGAATTGCATCCTGGTTAGTAACGTCAGATATCCAGTGTCCGATGCAGCTAGAATTGACTTTGCTGACATGTCAAAACTGGTCAATAACCTGGGTTCATCGCTCAGTAATGTGTTCAAGTCTACGTTATTCCAAGCTGAGGTTGTTAACCATGGGTTCAGTTGTTGGTTTTCAATGTATGGCATGTTTGTTCTAAAAAATAAAAAAAATATCATTATAATGATTTTATATTATTTTAGGCATCAATTTCATATTTTTTTGTTTTGTAAAGGAATTTCTTGTCATTTTTGTTTTGTAAAGAAAGTTATTACCGTTTTTTGTTTTGTAAAGAAAGTTCTTGCCATTTCTTGTTTTGTAAAGAAAGTTCTAACTATTTTTTGACTCTAAAATCAACAGGGAATGATTTTGCATAAACGCCAAAAAAACTCACTTTGCATGCTTAATATCCATAACGTCCATGTGTAACAAACTGTCGTTCGATAACGCAAAGCAATTTCCTCCAAAATTTTTGTGAAATTTGAGCTGGAAATGACCATATAAACCTCTTTTTTCAAAATTTTAAAACTTTTTTCAAAAAAATGTAATAGTACGTTTGATGAAGCATAAAAAGATGTATTAACTCTCAAAGTTTTACTATGATATCTTGTTTGATCTTAAAGTTAAAGGCTGTTAAAGCCCAGAAAAACCAAAACTTTCTTGGCGGATTCTAACTTTTTTAATTTGTGACATCTTTAAATGAATGTAACTTAATTATAACTTAAGATACCAGCATCAAAATTTAAAAATAGATACAACATTTTACGCTTTACAAACCTCTTAACATGAATTTCTAAAAAAGTCTTTGAACTTTGCAAGAATTCAGTTTTAAAACAAGTACTTACATCAATCAACGGGGATTTACTGAGCTTCAAGAAAGAAGCAATTGGTGCCCTTGTATTCCTAACGTCCATGAAGGCAATTGATCCTGATTGGACTCCAAATGCGATCTGAAACAGTCCATACAAAATTTAAAAAAAATATTTAAGAAAAATATCGAAAAAATTTAACTTGGTCCCCCTGTTACCCTTATCAACAAAACATATTGTAAAATTCCAAAAACCGACCACATTAGGCTGTGAAGGATGCGAAGTGACAGAAGTTACGGCATCATGAATAGTTCCTGTTAGTTTACTGGCCACCGGAGACTCTCCGGTAACTATGGCCGGGTTAACTTGTCTTAGATCCCATAGATGAACATGACCTGATCCATGGCCACTGATGAATTCAAAAGGCCCACAATTTGCTGAACAATACACTGCTGACAAACCCTATAAATAGAAGTTAGCTTTTCGGTCCGAAAGTTTGTAGAAATGCCTGTTTTACTTATATTTAAACATTTTTTTTTGAATTTTTCAGATTTTTTGATGTAAAATAAGCCAAAAGTGCAGAGAACAATAGGTTATTGGTCAAACAGTCTACAGAAAACCGTCAAAAACCCTTACCGTACACAATACTGTAGGTTGAGAAGCTCCACTCAAATCCATCCGCATTAAATCTCCAGAATCCGAGCCAGATATAATTTCACCGTCACAAACCACAACTGATATTGAACTGAATCCCTTGTGAACGTTGTTAAAAGTATGAACTCGTGAAATGGCATTGTTTGCTAGACCACAAACTTCAACTACTCCATTTTCCAAACCTGCTACAACTGTTTTACGGGCTTCTACACTGAAAAGAAACTAATTTTAGAGTTTTTAGGTATATAAAGAAATTTTTCACCATTTTTTACGAATGTAAAGAAACTTTCGTAACTTTGTGATTGGTAAAGGAAGTTTATGTTATTCATTGTCTTCTCACGTAAAACCTTCGCATTTTGACAGTTGTAAAGTAAGTTCTCGCATTTTTATTTATATAAAGGTAGTCCTTGTTTTCTTCCACAACACAATTCAGAATATTAACACTATCAAAGCCTAAATTCCAAAAACAAACAAAAAAGTCTTACAATACATCATTGATGCCCTCAGAGACAATAACACCATTTCGTTTGTTGAAAAAGTCCAAATCCGACAAATCCAAAGCTCCATTATAGACGTTCCACAAAGCCAAGTTGTTAGACCTTCCATCCCAAGTCGCTGTGATATAAGAATCAACGTTCGTATCGGTTTGAGCCACAAATCTAACCTTTGAGACTTTTGATCCAACAAAAACTGACTTTGACACAGCTCCACCTTCATTCACAGCGCCTCTGCGGGCTTTTATTAGTACCATTGTTACCTAAAATATCAAATTTTTAACCATAATTCATGAAAAAATGTTTAAAATACTTATAAAAATTCGAAAATATCAAGAACAACATCAAAATCCAATTGGCCAATGGAAACCTTGTTTTACCGCCAAAAATAATTATTTTTCTAAAATATTATTTCCGCAATGTGCGTCCCCTCTTTCTGTCTCTATCGCTGCAGCCTGCGCTATCGTTTTATACGAAGAGTAAAGTTCTTTGCAGAATTTTGATGCGAAATGTAATATTGTGATGTAAAATACGTTATAGCGACTGAACGCCTATTTAATCACATGTGTTTTTAAAGGATTTTTGTATATTTTATTACCTAAAATTGTTAATTTCAGTTTGTTTTATCATGAAATGTCGGCCGTAGAAGAAATAATGGCTTCTTGTGAACAACATCGCGTAGACCAGTTGGATTTGGCAAGTTTAACTTAATTTATTATTTGTTTTCTGAAGATATCATAGAAGAACGGAGTTCTAAGTATTTTACGTTATATGTTTTTTTTCTTAAAAAAACGTGAAGAATAACATATTGTTGTAGACACTGGTTGACGCAACAACTCTATCTCCAATCGCTCCGACCGGCAAAGTTATCGATATTGTAAGCTTAAAACTTTCATTTTGTTATCTTTGAAGTTTAGATTACTTTGGACAGCACGGACAACACTCTTATCGCGGATTCTGGCGATCTTGATGGAACTGTGAGTAATATCAGCTAAATTAGGTGAAAACAGTTTATTTACAGATAGTGTTGGGTGATACCCCTTTAAATAGTCCTATACTTTCATCTTCACATCAAGAATTTTTGTTTGAGAAGGAGAACGAAAAGTTCGTAAGTTGTTCATGTTGTAGTAGGTGAGTGGCATAAAAATCGATTTCTCATTAAAGAGGCGTTATAATTTTTTGAAATTTGACACCAAAGACGGCAGTAGTATTGATAAGGTTTTGTTGAAATATACAATGTTAACATTTATTCAAAATGGAATTACAGGTAGCTTTGGCAAAGAAAGTTATAAATTATGTTTCGCCTTTGAATCCCTTGAATCAACGCAAATTGAATCAACAAAGACGACAGGATTTTGTGAGTTTTAAAACATTTTAAAAATAAACATTAAGTTATGTTAAATTTTGATCAAACACTCTGTTTTAGATTCAAAATCCGGAAACTCCTAATCTATCGGTATCATCGGTTAAATTTTTACCCGATTTGTCGCCAATTCAGGAAGATGCAGGTGTGAAACGTGCTAAAATAGAACGCATTAAACCTCCAATAGCCAAACAATTATCTGAAGCGAAAAAACTGGCATCTGAAGCTGAAAAATCGCCAACTGTCCCTAAAACACCTATTATAAGGTGCGAAAAACCACCTCAATTACATTTTTCAAAGGAAATTTCTAATGTGAAAGTTAGGACATTGTGTAATGTTACACCAAGGTATTTTCAAAGAAGTTATGGTTTTGTGGATGGACCAGAAACTCCAGCTAAATCGTTAATTGTGAGTTTTTACCTATAGTGCATTTTGGGGGTGTTGAACTAGTTTTTGTTATAACTTTTTTTGAAAGTTAGCTATGAATTTGAAATTTGATGGGATTATAGATAAGATATTGTATCAACTATCTCAAGAATCAAAATTTAAAAATTTGGTTTGATTAAAAAGTTACAGTACATTTAACGTACCTATACCAAGCCTTTTTTGAAAACTTTATTTCTTGGTTTTTTTGAATTCGATAACAATCTTTTCAGGTTTACACTGACGGAAGTTACTTTGAGCATACCAAAGAGTCTGGAATTGGAATATTTTGTCATACTGACTCTGACCTGATACTACAAAAAGCGATTTATCCGAAGAATCCGAGCAGCGAAACAGCCGAACTTGTAGCCATTATTTTGGCATTGAAAATGGTTTTGAAGTTGAATAAGGAGTAAGTTTTGACTATTTGTTTTACGGCCAAAAAGCTTGTAGAATTGATTTTTAAAGATTTTGTGAAAAGGTCCGAAAAATTTAATTTTATTTTTTTTTGTGAAAAAGTCCGCAGAATTGAAAACCGATTGGAACCTATGTATAAGTTTTTTTAAATGGTCAAAAAGTATGTGGAAAAACCATGAACATTCGAGAAAATCTCTAAAATGACATTCCTTTTTCAGCACTCTACCGCTGGTCATTCGAACAGATCAGTTGAACTTGATGCGCAATCTTAACAATGACTACACCTATGGCAAGATCAATTCACAGTTACTACAAGAGATTATTGATCTGGCCAAACAACATCGATTTGGAGTGACATTCCAGCATATATATAGTCATAATGGTCATCCAGGTCAAGAGAGAGCCGATCGTCTTGCTTCGATGCCATTTAAGAAGGCTGATGCTACTCCAATTCATAAGTACAACAGCACGGCAGATAGACAATGGGCGTGGGCTAGGGCGGTGAAGTGGGTTTTTGGATTGATTATTTGGGGGGGGGGGGGGGGGGGTTTTGTATTTTTTGATAAAGTGTTGGTACTATGGGCAAGGGCAGGGCTTTTATGTATGTTAGGGCTAGGTTATTGTAGGGTAGAGTTGGGTATTTTAGAGCAGCATATATTCGCGTAGGGTAAGATAGGGTAGGGTGGGGGTAAAAAAGGGGTAGATTTTTCAATTTCTTGGATTTTTTAAAATTTTTAAAAAAGATTTAACGATTTTAGGCACCCATATCGAAAAGTCTGGTTCAGAAAACCGAAAGGAGACAATCTTCAAGTTCATATCACATCATCATGGGTTCAGCCAACACGAGAAGACTTCACCAAAAAGGTTAATGAACGACTGAACAATCCATACGTAAACAGAGATCCATCAAGACGAGGAAGCTTTGGCACCTTACCTAAATTGGCATTAAGGAACAGAAATGTAGCGACAAACAATGTTGATTTACCTTCTGGTTTGACAGTACGAGCACCAATAGTACCACCGGGAGAAGGAGTATCAAAACCAGCAAAAATTGTACTGCCAGGAGGACCAGTTGGTACTGATAGGGTACCTGTACGAGCACCAATTCTACCACCAGGAGATCTAATACGTACTGATAAAGCCCGATCCCCAATTCTACCACCAGAACGTTCAGTAGCTGCTCATAGATCACCAGTACGAGCATTAGGACGACCAATAGATTCTGGTAGAGTACCCGATGGTATTGGCCAAGTACCATCGGATAGTGGCCAGGTATTATCAAGAGTACCAACAAATAGTGCTCAACTACCATCATGGGCACCATCTGCCACTGGACGAGTACCAATATGTGCACCACCGAATCAGTCAGAGCTTCCCAGTACATCAAAATCTTCTTCATGGAAATTCACTCGTACTGAAGCCGGTTGGACCTCTGCCAACAAGTATATGGAGCTTCAGAAGTCGGTGTGGACTACTGGTACTACTGAATCATCATCATGGTTAACTAATGATACTGAATTCTGGAAACAGAAGCTAAACCAAAGAGTATTTGACTTTGGAACTTCAAAAGATAGTGGATATTCATCATCAAATGGCAGTGGACAGTTATCGAATGGAGTCGAGTTTAGATCTTCATCATCGAATGACGATCATGTTGGATATTCATCATGGAAGGAAGATAAGGTTACTAAGAGTTGGATGAAAGGTCGAAAGAGAGGAAGAAACGAGAATCATGATGAATATAACGCTAAAAGGGCCAGATTCTAAGAGTTTAGGATCTAGTCTTTGATGAATTTTTGATACTGACTTGTATTAGGTATTATAATGCTAAAAGATGTAGAATAGTACTGGATAGTATCAAGTAATACTAAGTGGTGTAGGTTAGCACTGCCTAGCATCAGCTAATACTATAGGTGGTATAGTACTGTGCTGAACAGTATCAGCTAATACTAGATTGTATAGTGTTGTACATAAGCGTCTTGTGGTTTTTAAAGTTAATGTTGATCTGTTTATCTTTATAGGTATTGAACTCGAGTTTTTGGTGTTTTATGGACATTATTGTAGACATTTGATCAAGTTTCATTTTTCTTGGTTCTTTAGTTATGCAAGCTTTATATTTAGTCTTATATTGTGATTACTATGTTATTCTTTATGGTTATGGGGTGAGATATTATTACATGTCCGGGTGGAGGTATATTATAATAGAATTGGGTAGGGTAGACTTGATAGCATTGTGTAGGGTAGACTACTGTTTGATAGGTGTACATACGAGTATAGTAAGAAGATAGATTATTGTATGACAGGTGGAAAACAGTGTTTATAGGTTATTATACTTTACAAAGAGTTTCATTCTAATAAACTAACTGATGTATTGGCTTTGTTTATTTAAAGTCTTGTAAGTCTGGTCAGACTACAAGGATGCTACTGCAGTATACTGTTATGTTTTTTTTATTTGCTGAATTGGTTTTTTGGGTTGATCTGAACTTTTTTCGCGTACAGGGCCTGTGAATTTTTTTTCGGATCGGCTATTATTTAGATATAGCTTAAAATTTGAGTTTTATAAAGTCTTTAAATAACATATTTTTGTTATATGAATTAGATTATTTTTGCAATGAACAGCTTTAAAAATGCAAATCCATTTTTTTCATTTTTTTTCGATTTTTAATCGAGTCTTGTTTGTATATCAAGAATATATAACTTTGTTTTATTATCTACTTTGTACTAATATTTTTTTCTACGCATTTTAATTTTTATTTTCCTAATTTAATTTATCTAATTTTTACTTCGATACTATGAAAATCACTTTTCAATTTTTAAACTTATTATTTTGGTGTGGACAACTGGGCTTTTTGGTCACTAATGCTGATGAATTCGCTAGAGAAACAGCTGAAGACAGATGGAGAGAGACGCTTGTTCATACTACTATTGTAAGAATTGTTTATTTTGGCAGGGTAGGGAAAGTTAGGGTTGGGTAGAGGGGGTTAGGGTAGGGTAGTGTAGGGTAGGGTAGGGTACGGGAATGTTAAATACTAATCGTAAAATTTTAGTTCTTCCGCCACGGAGCCAGAGCCCCATTACATTTCATACCTAATGACTTCGAAAACCGTCTGGAAACTTGGCCTGATGGCTTGGGCGGTCTAACTGAACTAGGTATAACCCAAATGAGAAATCTTGGCAGAGAAGTTCGAGCACGGTACGATGATTTTGTTGATGAAATTTTTTCACCAAGACAATTGTATGCAAGAAGTAGTTCGTATGATCGAACATTACTGTCAGCTCAAGTTTTTTTGAGTGGATTTTATGAAAAACAAAGAAACAAGAGCGAGTACAACTTTGTTGATGTACCTGTTCATACCAAGCCTATTGAGGAGGATAAGGTAAGCTGTTCCTACCCCTACCACTATGCACTTTATCTTACCCAACCCTAACCTATGTTGCCCTACTATTTCATACCCCTACCTACTTTATCCTACCCTACCCTACTTACTATACCTTACCCTACCCTAATACTACTATTTTCAGGAGCTCTACTTCTACGTTCCCTGTCCTGCAGCTGATGATGTATATTCAAAGTTGATGTACGAAAACCACAAATACATTAAATTAGCTGAAAATTTGGTGGATGTACTGACCTACTTGAGCAAGATGGGCGGATTTTCTAAGGTTCCACTGCCTTTGCACGAGTTTATCAAACTCTATGATCCGTTGAAGTGTGAGGTATGGTTTATATTATCTTAGCTTATCCTACTTTGTCCTACCCTACCGTACCCTACCTTACTCTATTCTATCCTACCTTATTTTACCTACTCTACCTTATCCTTGACTTAACCGATCTTTCCCTGCCCTACCCTGATTTTTCTTTACTTTTGTCTTACGCGACCCCTACCTTGCCCTACCTACACCACCCTATGTAACATGTTCTGTCATGCCTTATCTGTACATGAAGAGTAAAAAAAAGTAGTTTTAATATCCTACCTACCTTACTATACCCTCTTTCCTAACTTGACTACTTGTATTTGCTTTACCTTGAGTTATCTAATCCTCCCGTCCTGTTTTATCCGACCCTACCTCAACATTAATTTAATATAGTACCTTCAATTGCATTTTTAACCCTAAATTTTGATTTTTCAGCAAATTCACGGCAGAAAATGGCCCGAATGGATGAATGAGTCAATGTTCGAAGAAATCGAAAGAAATTATGACACTGGCAGTTATCTACTGGTCGATGATGACAAATTAAAGGGATTGAGAGTTGGCCCATTGTATGATGAGATTGTCACTCGATTAAACAAGCTTAATGAGGGACTGGCGGATCAAAAAATGTACTTATATTCGTGTCATGACACTACTATTGGAGGCTTATTGGCTACCTTGGGAATGGAGGCTGATAAGGTAAGTTCTTGCCATTTTTTGTTTTGTAAAGAAAGTTCTTGCCATTTTTGGTTTTGTAAAGAAAGTTCTTACTATTTTTCCTTTTGTAAACAAAGTTCTTGCTCTTTTTTGGTTTGTAAAGGACGTTCTTGCTATTTTTAAGCAAAAAATTATGTTTTGTGTTACGCAGCCTGCAGGTGACAAGTTATACGATAGTTAAAATTTTTTTACTTTGTAAACAAAGCTACTGCCCTTTTTCACTCTACCCTACTATACCTTATCCTGCCCTAACATACCCTTGCCTTTAAAAACTGGCTTACTTTCACCTTGCACTACCTAACTATACCTTTTTTTATCCTACCCTGCAATAATCTATAATAAAAAACTTACAGTACCCCCAATTCGGTGCCATCTTAACCGTGGAACTTCATAAGAATGCCACTTCCAATTGGCTCCGCTTCTTTTACAACGAAGGCCTTGATGACACCGACACTTTTCAAGAAGTTTTCCCCAAAAATTGTCTATGGCCATGCACGGTCGATAAATTCGTCGAATTCGTCACGCCTTACATTCCTCACAATTGGGACGCTGAATGTGGATTCGAATGGGCAGTAAGGAGAGAACAAGTTGTTAACAATTCTGGTTCATTCGATGAAGCTCATGATGCTGTTGGACAGATTAGTAAGTTGTAAAGAACTGTTGCGATTTTTTGTTTTGTAAAGAAAGTTCTTGCAGTTTTTTGTTTTGGAAAGAAAGTTCGGGGCCGATTAACAATCATTCCCCCAGCTACAATCATTCCCCCAAGCGCAAAATCATTCCCCACAAAGTTAAGTTGAACTTAACTTGTACTAGTCCAGAAGGTATTGGCTCAGGTGAGGGTTGGGAACGATCCAAGTGTTGGAGCTGTTGTGACCATCGCGCGACTAGGGGCTGGAGAGAGAACCGGCAGACGACCTCGGAACTCGGCTCGAATGACGATTTCTGGGGAAATCGGTTGCTTTTATAGGGATTTTTTGCATAAACTTTGAAAGTGTAAACCAAGTTTTGAATAATGAATACACTTTCAAAGTGCAATGGGAAAGTGAATAAGGGTTTTCTAAGTGTGGGGCATGATAGTAATACAGGTGGGGCATGATAGTAAAACAGGTGGGGCATGATAGTAAAACAGGTGGGGCATGATAGTAATACAGGTGGGGCATGATAGTAATACAGAGTGGGACACAACGGTTGTTTTTTTTTACTTTTGGCAATTTCATCAGTGATTCCTTCGTAAGTTCGCGGTCCGACCATAATTCAGCAAACAAAATGAAAGAATGAGAAATTGAAAAATATCTTAAAATTTGAATAAGTGGGGAATGATTGTAGCTCATTTCCATGGGGCATTATTATTCACCTGCTGGGGAGTTATTCTTCATGAGAACCGAAAGTTCTTGCAGTTTTTTGTTTTGGAAAGAAAGTTCTTGCCATTTTGTGTTATGTAAAGAAAGTTTTTGCAATTTTTTGGTTTGTAAAGAAAATTTTCGCTATTTTTTGTTTTGTAAAGAAAGTTTTTGCCATTTTTTGTTTTGTAACGAAAGTTACTGTCATTTTTATGCTTGTAAAGTAAGTTCATGCCATTTTTCATACCTAAAACTAATATATTTAGCTGTGCTTGGAATTCAAGCTGTAACCATAATAACTTTGGTCTTGATTATCGTGGTGCAAGTTGTGACACTTCGACAACAACATGGTATCTTCATCATTAATAAGTAAAGAAGTATGTAATATCTAGCTTTTAAAACAAGTATTATATATACCAAATTCTCTAGCTCTTCATGTTATAATAATTTTATTCAAATTTCTAAACAGTATAAAAATAAAATAAAGGGTATCAAATTGAGAAAGCTATAGAGAAAGAATATGAAAAATATAGATTTTATCAATAAAATAGAGACTCAGCTGAAGACACAAAGATAAAACACCTCAAATTGGTCTCCAAAGATTTTTTTTTCATTTTTGATGATTTTTACTGCTGTAACCAAAGCTATCTTAGCGCCATGGCCTTAAATTTTAAAGGTCTATATTTCAAAGGTGAAAAGGCTAAAAATATTTCAAAATAATGTTCAATGAAGTGATAACAACCGTAAAAGCACATGTCTATGTGTACTGTACATGTTTATAAATACTGCACCTTATAGGTGTATGGGTACTGTATCTCACACCTCTATGGGTACTGCACCTCACATCAAATTTTCAGGTGTATTCATAAGGCATAGACATGTTGTTCACAAAACCTTGGATTCTATCTCATAAACTGTCTCAATGTTTGACACAAGGTTATGGCCTGTTCATTACCGTAAACCTGACCGATATTACAATAGCTCGATAACAAAGACTTCATTTAATAATAGGGATGGATATTGGCCTGTGTGGAGGTTTTAAAATACGTAGAATCCTGTTTTTAGTACCATCTTTCCATTCTTATTTTGAATTCGGCTTCGTATTTTAAAACTCCTGTTGATTCTACCGCCTCTTGTAGCTACAACAACGTAAAACATTTCCCCTTTTAGCTATTGTAATGTAAAACATCCTCCTGTAGCCCTAAAGACATACTTCATCGTAGAATCAACGTCACTTCTGGCCAGCTTCGTATCTTCACTTCGCATACACTTGAATCGCGTTCTGCAGTAGTGTACCACAAGTTGATGGTGATGAAATCGGCTTCTTGTGGAGTTTACCATGGCTTTCGTATGCAAATGGGAATCGTAGGACGTAGTAGCGGGAGTGTGATAGCTCGGCTACTTGGCCCATATGGAAGTAGCCACCACTGTCGAGCTGAAAAATTATGTTTCTATAGTTTTATATATATATAAAAAGATCACTGTAGTAAACTTTTATGTTGTTATAGGCTGTATAATCCAAAAGTCAAAAAAAAATTTTTTGCCCCTCCCCACCCCCAAAAAAATTTTTTACCACGCCCGTTCTTTTTTTTACAAGACTCCTTCTGAACTACTTTTTATCAACTGTCAGACTCTTTTTTTAAATGACCCGCCTAAAAGCCCAAAAATATCTATTTTCCCCGGCCCCAAAAAAATTTCACCAACCCCCGCCCAAAGCCTAAGAAACCATTATCCCCAGGCTAGTCTAAAAGCCCTAAAAACCTCCTCCCGACCTCTAAATTTGTCATAAATTCTCTTACCATAACCATTGGTACCAGCCGAACGCCAACTGGTGCTTTTGGAGTAACCAAGTGGATTCTCATTAGTTGAGCATTGACAATCACCGTCTTCGAGCATTTACAGCGAGCATATAGTGGTAGATTTGAAGCTACTAGCTCTGATGCTTCCGTCTGAAAATTTTGGTATTATTATTTGATACTAATTAGTACCATTTCCCCAGAATTTCATGATATATTGGTACCATTTTTTAAAAATTACCCTTAAAATTCCATCGTTTCTGTCATGATAAAGGATATGTTGAGGTTTGTCCGTGAAGAAACGGTGACCGCTCGGACATTCGTACTCGAAGCCCACGAAAAGCTGAAAAATATTGTTATTATCAATTCTTAACCATCTTACTGCCACATAACCTCCAAAAAGTACCCCCACTCCTTACCTTAACCTTTTCCCTATGCGTTCCATGAACCACATCTTCATCCAACCTCTTTTCTCTATATGGCAATCGATCCGTCTTTAGTATATCCATCATTCCATTAGTCCATCGGTCGGTTTTCACCGTTAAACTCAGGTCCCATGGCATTAGGAACTGTGATCCTTTGACAAAATTGGGTTGATCTTTTAGGCCATTGGCATGAATGTAGATTTTGCTTGGGCCGAGACATACCACCGACCATGATGAATATAATGGCAGTAGTTCTTTTTGGTTTTCCTTGGGTTTTTGGCCATTTTCGGTTGGTTTTTGGCCATTTTCGGCTGATTTTTGGCCGTTTACTGCTGACTTTTGGATGTGATTTTGTAGTTTTTGGTCATGAAATTTCATTTTTTGGTCTCCAACTCCGTTCTTCTCAACTTGAAACTTCATTTTTTGTCCTTTTAGTTCCACTTTTTGTCCTTTCATTTCTATTTTCTGTTCTTTCATTTCTGCTTTTTCTTTCTTCCTTTCTATTCTCCCTTCATTCTCACCCATTTCCTCATCTTCACTGTCCATTCCATCGCTTCCAATCACATTTTCCTTGTCAATATTCTCCTTGATCACTGTGTACCACATGCTTTTCAGGTATTTGTCACTGTGATCATGACACATTTTATTGTACTGCCATGTGAGTTCGTTGAGGACTTGAGCGCGGCTTTTCGGTCGATTTATTGTGTATTCACTGACTGATCGGGAGTCTTCGGTGCTGAAGGAGGAGTCTTCTCTTCTTGACATTACTTTAAGGCCTCTGGGTTTTGGCTGGTCACCTTTTCGGACTACCTTGGTTTCTGTTGTGTTTACATCCCCTGTAACGTATATTATGACAAAGCGATTTAAAAAAGTCATTTTAAAATATAAAAATGTGATTTTAAATTTGAAAACTATCTTTTTTGAGCTAAAATACGTCTTTTTAAGCCAAAAAATTCATTTTTAACCCCAAAACATCCATTTTTTAAAACTAAAAAAATAATTTTTAAAACAAAAATTTCAAAAAAAAATTTAATTTTTAAATTTTAAAATCTTACACTTGATTCCAGGATTGTAAAGCCTAAAAGGCATGTTTTCCAGCTTTTTACAGCATTCGAATTGCTGATAAAAGTCGTAATTGGCTTCTTTTACATTGAACGGGTCATTCCTGAGCTTCTGGGTTCGGCCACAACTACAAGTTGAGAGATGGGAAAAGCCGGAAAAGTGGTTGAAGCAGCGACCTCTGAAAATGGCAATTTAAAAAGTTTGACTTGGTTTTTAGGTTAATAATTAAGTTTTAAGCTTAGGCTTAGTTAGTTCTATGAAAAAAATTAGTTGAATTGACAAGAACTTTCTTTACAAAATGAAAAATGACAAAAAACTTCATTACAAAACACAAAATGGCAAGAAATTTCTTTACAAATCAAAAAATGGCAAGAACTTTCTTTACAACAAAAAATCTCAAAATTTTTAAAAATTTCAAAAAAAAATTTTTTAATTCCTTACTTCAATCCCTCGGACATTGATTTACCAGCGACATAGCATCCTCGGACTTTGTGGGCCAGTAACTTGCATTTACTGTCCGTAATGGATCTCGTATAACACTGATTGGTTGATCCTTTGAAGATCAACTGACATCTTCTGACTACGGCAGGCCAAATCGTTTCCAATTGGGAGGATGATAAGGTTAGACGGAGGAATGCTCCTACGTATTTTATCTGAAAGATTGGGGTTCTTTTAAAAATGTCATCATTGGTAAAAACTGAAAAGAGGAAAATTTACAAGTTCCAAAACATTAAATTCCTATTACGTTAACCCTCACCCGAGTTACAATTTGGAAATCCCCTCCCCCCAAAAAAAACCACCCCGCCCAGGGCCGGGCGCTGGGGAAAGGGGGAGGGAGGTGAGAACCCCCCCCTCCAGAAAAAAAAATTTCGAAAAAAAGCTGAACGGAGTCCCCCCTGTGGATTTTTTCGACCCCCGCCCCCAGACCAAATATCCCGCCCGGCACTGACTCCGCCCACAAAAAAATACAAAAACCTACCGCCTTGATATGTTTAGCTCCACTAACATCAATGTTCTGCATAAACTTTGATAGCGGCTTTCTATCATTCAATAATGTACAATATAGATCCGTAGCCGCTCGGAAATATTGCGATATTAAACTAAAATTAAATTTTAAATCATCGTATTACCTATACACCATTTTTTGCTATGTAAAGAAAGTTCTTGCTATTTTTTGTTTTGTAAAGAAAGTTCTTGCCATTTTTGTTTTGTAAAGAAAATTCCTGCCATTTTTCGTTTTGTAAAGAAAGTTCTTGCCATTCCTGGTTTTTTAAAGAAAGATTGCCATTTAAAACTCAAACCCTTACTCATTCTCAAAGAGCTTCTCCTCCGACAGCCATCTGATCATTTTGTCCTCCTTGATCACGCTGGAATCTCTCGTAACCTGCATCAGAACGCCAGCTCCTTCCACAAACTCTTTTAACATAGGTATGAGAAAAAAGAATGATTGTTTTGACTCTCGATTCATGATATCTTTGACGTGTCTTCGGAAAAAGTCAACCGATGACAATCGTTGTTCGGTCTTGATCAGTGATGACATGTTTTGGTCGATAAGTTCTGAGCATGCGGTCGTATCGATGACACCTTTACATAGGTTTAGAAGACATTCTTCTATGACTTGGGTCTCTGTCTCTGATGGATCAACGATGTGGACAAAGGGAATACGATGTGGAGAAAGGCTGGCCAAGGCGATTCCTCTAAAATGTCAGTATTTTATGTCAACATTAAAGTTTTTCATAATTTTCTTAAAAAAAATTTTCTGCACAGTGCAACCATGTAATTCTGTTGCACCGTGCAAATATTTTTAAAAAATTCCAGTAAATTTTGTGAACCATTTTAGGCAACAAATACTGTTCTCACTTTTAGTAGACAACGATAAAAACATAGCAAACCTAATTTTTAACCTATTAGTACATAAATACTGGCACAGTGATTTTTTGAAAAAGGACTGCACAGTGCACACTAAAAAATAATTGCACCGTGCAAAAAAGTTATCTTAACCTCACAAAAACTTTTAAAAAACTCACAAATGCTCAGCAGTCAATGATTGTGACCTCAGTAAATGTACAATTTGGAATTCTCTTGACCGTTCCAGTCGATCGACCTAAAATATCAAATTAACCTATGATAATATCCTTGAAACGTAAAAATTTTTCTTGAAACCTACCATAATATTGTAATCCGGAAAATTTTGTCCAGGTCTTAAAACAGAACCTCGTTTGACTCTATTTTCGTGCATTAAAAACAAAATTCTAGGTAGGGCGAGTCGTCCTTCGTCGGCCCAAATCGTAGGAAGGCCTGAGGCGGCCACAAGGCTTTTTGTGTATTTCGATCGTACTTGAGCACTAAAATCGATGATATAAACTTATTGACCAGGTTTCCAAAACTTCATTTCCAAACGTCTAGCAGTGAAAAAGCCTTGTCGTTTTTCGTCCCTAATTCCAACGTAAATTGGCGACAAGACTTTTCTTACCCTTAATAAAACCCTTTCTACAAACTCGTCGACCAAACATAATTCAAAATGACCTAAAAACCAAAAATAATTAAAACCTTACCGAATTTCATTAACAGATATCAAATTTCGAATCAAAACCGAATCAATTCGTGTGTCCGGCTGAATGAATATAACAACATGGGATAAGATAAAGATAGCGAATAAATACTTTATAAACAAATGTTCAACTTCTTGTAGGACCTCGAAGAATCTCTGAAAATAAAAGGGTTAATCTTAAGTCGATGTGAAATGACATTGAAATAGTCTTAAAATGAGGTTTAGCTTGTACAAAAAATTTTGAGCCACCCAAAATTTCGAAAAAAAATCCAAAAAACTTTTGTCCCACCCAACCTTTATACTTACTTTATTCTCTGTAAATAACTTTGGCTGTAATTGGCCATCATGATAGCTTTTCAGGTACAAGAAGACAATCTGATGGTATGGAGAGTAATATACTTCAATCTGAAATGATTTTCATTACTTTTCGATATAAATTGCTATTATATTTCAAGCTACAACAAGTTTATAACTCGTTAAAATAATTAAAAAGTAAAAAGTCTTTTTAAAGTCCTAATATTGTCCAAAAAAGCTAAAATATTGTAAATCCATTTATGTTTTCGCGATTCCATTTGAAAAACAAATAAATCTACCTCAATATCACCTTAAAAACCCAAAACACAAGCCAAATACACCTAAAAACCAAGCAAAAAATCAAAAAAGCTTACACTTCCACCCAGATTCTTCTCGTAACTGCCACAAAACACCGCATTTTCAACCAATTTTTCAATCAATTTGCCTCCGGGTTCACCAGTTCGCGAGCTTTTAGCCACCACTCCAACCACCATCACCGGCTGCTCCAGCTGATCCCGGTGCCGCCAGTGGGACTGAGCTGCGGAAGCTAGCCATTCCGTGAATTCCTCCGCTTCTCGCATAAACTACCACCTGAGAATTGAAAATTTATTGAAATTTTGACAATGAATTTCATAAAATTTTAAATATTGAGGAGTTCATGAGAATGACACTGTTTTTTTTACATAAATCGCTATAAGAAAATTATTAAAACATTTTACTATGTAAACAAGGTTTTCGCCATTTTTATACTTGTAAAGAAAGTTTTTGCTGTTTTACGCCTTGTAAAGAAAGTTCTTGCCATTTCACGCATTTTAGAGCAATCTCTTGCCGTTTTAAACTTATATTGACATTCTTTTGATAATCTTACCCCTAAAAACCAAACAAAAGTATAAAATACAAAAAAACATACAAATTAGAAAAGCAAATCAAGACTTTTGGCAATTTTCTCGACCAAACAGGTGGTTTTCAGGCCAATCAACTCGTTGTAATCCAAAAATTCCAAAGAAAAACGACAAAAATGGTGTTACTTCATCTTGAAAACACCTGAAAACAACTTTAAAATCAAGTAAAATATCTAAACTAATAATTACAATCAAGTAAAATATCAAAAACCTCGCAAAATCAAAGTTATTATCACAGAAAAGGGTTTTGATATCAAGTGTAATTAAAGATAAACCAAGCTAAATTTAAAAATCAAAAACACGTGTTATCTTGAACAGCAAGACAACAAAAAATGTCTCCAATAAAGGAATTAACTTTTCCGCCAAAAATAAATAATTTTTTCGGTTTGCGACGAAATGCCAAGAATATTGATTTCGTGGTGGGACCAAATAATGTAATAAAAAATTGAGTTTTTGAAACTAGGAGTGATAAAAACTAGTTAAAATTAAACTTTTCGAAACCTAAAATTTATTATTCTTAAAAAAATTAAAAATTTTTAAAGAATAAAAGTGTTTTACAGCTCTAGGTACTTTGACCGTATAAAAAATTACAGTACTCTGCGAGTAGCGCTGATAATAATACAAAATTTAATGTACAACTGCTTTACCCTATACTTTACCAGTATGTTATGTCTCAGCCCTTAATTGCCTTTTTGAAATTTGAAGTTTTGAATTTGGCGCCATTTGGCATTTTGAGGCAGTTAATGCTTGGATTTGACTAAAATTTTGTGGACAGCTAATCTAAACCATGCACAACAAATGAACTAAATTTCATTTTGAAATTTGCACTTTTACAACTTTTATGATTAAAAAATTGTCCTGAAACAGCAGTGATATAGCTTTCTTGATCAATTTTTCATGTTATACCCAAAGATTTCGATACAACTTGATCAAAAATCACATTTTCAAACCGTGATTACTCATAACAAGTTGCTAAACCGTTTTTCGTATATCGTTTTTGTAACAAAAACGACGATTTTGACCTATAAAGTCGATTAAATTGGAACAAAACAGCGACAAAAATGCCGTTCAGCCGGGAGAGCAGCTTTGAACATCGCACTTCGAGATGATGTAAAAGTTTTTACTTTTCAATGGTCATCCTAAAAGATGTTTTTTTTATTTTTATTAGGTTGTTTGGTTTTTGTGTGAATTTTTAATATTAAAATAGTGAAAATTTGAAAATTTTTTGCTATTTTTAAGGAAAAAACGTATTTCTGCCATTTTTAATCCGATTTTTTGTGTTAAACTTAAAAATTAAAAATATAGAAAGTGTTTTTATGACAATTCGTTAGCTTTTTTAAAAAAAAATTACATTTGTTCCTTTGATCACCTAGAGTAAGCGTTTGATCAACAAAAGTACTCTCTTGATCAACAAGGGTACTCCTTTGATAAAAAAAGATATTCTCTTGATAAATAAGGGTAGCCTGGTGGTCAACAAGGGTACTTTTTTTATCAACAAGGGCACCCCTTTGATCGAAAAAGGTATTCTCTTGCTAAATAAAGGTACCCTGTTGGCCTTTTATCAACAGGAGCACTCTCTTGATCAATAAGGGTACTGTTTTGACGAACAAAGGTACCCTCTTGATCAGCAAGAATACCGTTTTGATTAAGAAGGGTGCTTTTGGATCAGCGAGAATAGTCCCTTAACTAGGAAGGGTACCTAATTGATCAATAAGGGTATCCTCTTGGTCAGGAAGAGTACCGTTTTGATTAAGAAGGGTCCTTTTGGATCAGAAAGGGTAGCGCTTTGATTTGGAAGTGAGCTTAATTGATCAGCAAAGGTGCCCTCTTGATTCACAAGGCGACTCCTTGATTGAAGAGCGTGAACCCTTGGTTGACAACAATATCTTGTTGATCAACAAGAGTACCCCCTTGATCAAGAAATGTACATTTTTGATCAGCAAGGGTATTTATTTGATTAACAAAAGTACGTTCTTGGCTAAGAAGAGTACTTTCTTGATAAACAAGAGTATTCTCTTGATCAACAAGGATACTTTTTTGATCAACAAAGGTATCTCCTTGATCAACAAATGTAACATCTTGATCAAAAAGGCAACCTTTTTCATTAGGAAACGTACTTTTTTGAATCATAATTTACCCTATCGGCAAGAGCGCTTTTTTGATCTACCTGGGTATCCTTTGATCAGCAAGAGTTTTTTTTTATCAAGAATTGTCCCCTTGATCAACAAGGTTAGTTTTTAACGTTAACTTGTTGATCAATGATAATTTTTTCAAAAAAATTAAAAATAAAATTAAAGTGCCATTTAAAGTAAAAATAAGAAAGTTGTGATTCACCGCTGACCAACCTTATCAATCAGCTTCGTTTAATCCAGAATAACAACGTCAAATCCGTTTTTTACGGGAAACCGGTAAATTAACCCAGATGGAGATAATGGCGCTTTCATTAGGGTTTTGTTTGTCATGAAGCGAACACTTTATTTTAGTCGTTTTTAAGTTTTAGTGGTTAGTCAATTATACTGGTTTAGGTGGAAAAAATAGAAAAAATAATGGTTTTTTTTGCAACATAGAGAAAACGACCGGTAAACTTTTGTAACAGAACTTTTGGCGCACCCTGTATACTTGTTTTTCTGTTTTGGTCAAAAAGTTTTGGCATTTACATCGTGCTCTGATTTATAAATTTTATTGTTTTAAAATTAAAAAAAATATAATTTTTGATCTTTTAGGTTATGAAGACTTCAATATTGCTCACATTTCTGCTAATAGGTATGGAATTCATAAAGACTAAAAAATTTGTTTTGCTTACGTTAAGGCCTAAACTAAATGTTAGGTTTATGCTTACGTTTCCGTTTAGGCTTAGCTTACACTGAGCCTTAGAATTGCTTTTAATGGCTCAGCTTAGGCTTAGCTTAGGCTTAGCTTAGGCTTAGCTTAGGCTTAGCTTAGGCTTAGCTTAGGCTTAGCTTAGGCTTAGCTTAGGCTTAGCTTAGGCTTAGCTTAGGCTTAACCTTGGCTTATCAGCAGAGTAAAGCTAAGGCTCAGACGTGAACTTCTGTTATAGTTGACTGAAGCTTAGTTTAGGCTCAGCTTAGTCTTAATTTCTAGCTTAATTTGAGGTTAGACTTAGCTTAGGCTTAAGATCTTAAGAGTTAGATATAACAATAAAATTTATTTTTGTTTGGTTGTTTTAGGACTGTGTCAAGCCATAACACAAGAATCGTTGGAAGAAGAAGAATCTCTTCATACGAAACGAGGCTACAACGTATGTTATTTTGACTCAAACACCTCAATAACACGTATTTTACAATAAAAACTATTTTTTCAGTTTCAAAATCCAATTCCATCAACACCCCACTCTCCATGGATTAGTGGTCCTTCCGACAAAAAGTACCAATTTCACATTGGGCAACAGTCTTGGTTAGCAGCTAGAGAGATATGTCTCACCAACAATGCTGACTTGGTGACTATTTCAAACCAAGATGAGCTGGACTGGATCATCAGTCATTATAAGCCACAGTCAAAACATATCAAGGATAGACAAGTTCAGGTAGGGGGTTTGATACCTTTTTCAATTTTACTTATTTGGTTTATAGGTTAGTAAATTTGGCCAAATTTTATAATTTTCCATTTTTGGTTGTCTAAAGATTTTAAAATTTATATTGTTTTAGATTGGCCTATACGCTGATGTTGTTGAAGACGAGCTGACTCGTGAATGGAGATGGGTTAATGGTGACTATGTTAACAATTCTGCTTTGTAAGTACATTTTATATTTTGTAGGTTAGGATTAAACTATGATATAATGGGCTAGGTTAACCTAAGCTGGACTTTTCTTAACTGGTCTTAGCTAGGCAGGGCTATGTTGGGCGGGCTTGGCTTGGGTTGCTTTGTTTGGGCTGGCTCTAAGCTGGGCTGGAGTAGGCTGGGCTTGAACTCGCTTGCCTTGGCTAATCTCGGCTTGCCTTGGGCTAAGTTTTAATTGGCTGAATGTAGTTTGGCTGGGCTTGGCTGGGGTTCTGAGCTAAAACTCTGGGCTAGGGCTCTGGGCTAGGGCTCTAGGCTAGGGCTCTGGGCTAGGGCTCAAGGCTAGGGCTCTGGGCTAGGGCTCTGGGCTAGGGCTCTGGGCTAGGGCTCAAGGCTAGGGCTCTGGGCTAGGGCTCTAGGCTAGGGCTCTGGGCTAGGGCTCTGGGCTAGGACTCTGGGCTAGGACTCTGGGCTAGGGCTGTGGGCTAGGGCTGTGGGCTAGGGCTGTGGGCTGGGGCTGTGGGCTAGGGCTGTGGGCTAGAGCTCTGGGCTAGAGCTCTGGGCTAAGGCTCTGGGTTAAGGCTTTGGGCTAGGGCTCTGGGCTAGGGCTCTGGGCTAGGGCTCTGGGCTAGGGCTCTGGGCTAGGGCTCTGGGCTAGGGCTCTGGGCTAGGGCTCTGGGATAGGGCTCTGGGCTAGGACTCTGGGCTAAGGCTCTGGGCTAGGGCTGTGGTCTAGGGCTGTGGGCTAGGGCTGTGGGCTGGGGCTGTGGGCTAGGGCTGTGGGCTAGGGCTGTGGGCTAGGGATTTGGGCTAGAGCTATATTGGCTAAGGCTGTGGGCTAGGCCCTCGGGCTAAGGCTGTGGACTAGGGCTCTGGGCTAAGGCACTGGGCTAAGGCTCTGGGCTAGCGGTTTATTTTGTTTTAATCGATTATATCCTTTAGATCCTGGGTCTCCGGAGAGCCATTTGATCACTCGAACGGTCGGGAACGTTGTGGTCTCTTAAACATCAACACGAAAACGTTGGACGACGTTGACTGTGAACTAGGTGGGAATCCAGTTCGCTTCTACAGATTCATCTGTCAACGTACTCTAAGTCAACATATTAAGCATGAAGAGCTGAATAACCCACTATGGAAGAAACTTGAAGATATATTGGTGTTCTTTGGTATTAGTGACAGAACGACGGCTAAGAACGACACAAAATCTCACGAAGATTTGAAACCAACGCCATTGGAAGAAGAGGAGGAAGAAGATGAAAAGCTGACGAGAGTTACACCTACAGCTGAGCCTACTACGCCTACGGTTAAGTCTACTGAAAGTCCAAAAGAAGTGAAGTTAGAGCCAATCAAGCCTGAAGAAACGTTGAAGAAGGATGATATTGTTAGTGAAAGTGATAAAAAGATAATCAAGGTAGGGTTTTTAATTTTGATATGCCATATTTAAGTGAACTAAGCTTAAGCCTAATATTGCTAAGCTCGCTAAGCCAAACTTGTAAATCTTAAGCGTACACTCAGTCAGCCTAACCCGTTTATTATAATTAAGCCTAAAAAAATTTTAAGTCTAACAAATCTAGGCTTGCTGAGCAAATTCTACTAAGCCTAAGTCTACTAAGCCTAAGCCGACTTATCCTAAGTCTACTAAGCCTAGCCTATTAAGCCTAAGCCTACTAAGCTTAAGCTTACTAAGCCTAAGCCTACTGAGCAGAGTATACACCTATAAATAAGGCAACACCAAAGAAATAGAAAAATTATTGCGCTGTTACCTAATGTATTGATATAACAAAACAACTTTAGGTAAATTGCAAGAAACCGTATTATGCAACTTTTTCTTATGTAATGTTATTACTTTTTGTAATATTTGCCTCGGTGTAAAACGACCCAACAAATGACTGCGAGTGCTGGGATTTGCTCCGTATTTCTGCGAGCGGTCATTACTTAGTGGTTAAAAAAAATTTTGATACGATTGAACTGGCTTTTCATTTACCATATCCTTAACCGCAAAATTTTAAATAGAACTAAGCCTAAGTTTTTCTAGTCGGTTAAGTCTAAGAATATTAGGTTTAAACATACGAAGCAGAAACTTACTAAAGTTAAGCCTACTAAGCCTAAACCTACTAAACCTAAGCTTAATAAGCTTAAACCTACTTAGCCTAAGCCTACTAAGCCTAAGCGTACTATGCCTAAGTCTACTTAGTTTAACTTTACTAAGCTTACTAATCTAAAGCCTTTTAGTCTAAAACTAAAAGTTATAAACCTAATTCGCTAAAGCTTGCTAAGCTTATACATAATAAGTGAAAGACTATTAAGCCTAAGCCAGCTAAGCTTATTATATGTAAGCCTACAAAATATAATTTTCACTTTCTTCAGCCCCACTCCCAAGCCTTCGGAACCAAAATTGTTGAAGTAGTGCCAACAAAAGAAGATTCAGACCTTCTACCATCCTCCAACTTTGAACCATTGCAAGATTCAGCAAAAGTGGAATCAGAAACCCTATCACCAGTAAGAACAACTCGTGCCGACCCATTGGCTCACTTGGCCGATACCTTGGAGAATGTCAGTTTTGATGGTGCTGATGATGACAAAATGAAAAATTTGGAGAGAATCATCTCGGCCGTTCACAAAATGGTCGATGACGAAAGTGACAAGGTGGGTAGGGTAAGAGCGAATGGAAAACGGATTGTTTTTGGTCCTGTTGCGGCGGATTTTAAGCGGAATGCCACTTTGAATGTTGAGTCTGTTTCTTCGAAGTCTGAGGTTGAAAATGCGGATTCTGAAGCTTCTAAATCTCACCATCAAAGTCTAAATTCAAGTTTATCAAAGTCTGATTTTGAAACTTTGAAACCCACTTTTGAAGCTTCAAACCCAGTTTCCGAAGGTTCAAGCTCTGATTCTTCAGCTCAAGATTCTGATTTATTAGCTTTGGCTTCTGATAACTTTGAAAATAGTCCTTCAAACCCCGAATCTGAAGTCCATTATCATCATATTTTCAAAACTTCTTCTGAATCCTTAAACGAAAACATGTCAAACGGCCCAATCTTTGATAAAAATTCAAATTCTAGGTCTTTCACCAACCCTAGACCAATCTTTCTTAGCCGAAATCCTAATTCTCATCTCTCAAACTCCAACTCAAGACCTTCAAACTCTAATTCAAGACCCCATTTTTTCGATATAAACACAGAAATGTCGTCTTCTGAGTATGATATCCCAAATCCTGGTGAACTTTTTAGCAAGTTATTTGATGGGCTCTTCAGTAGAATTAGGCCACAGCTATTTGATAAGCCAGATAGTAGGGATAGTAGATGGCTTAGTCATAGACATAGGAATAGAAAGCTTGAAAATGATGGTGCTAACTTCAATAGTAATGGTAATAGTCATGGTGATAGTAGCAAAAATAGAGAAAATGGTCCTTCAGAAGATAAAAAAGAGGCTGTAACGACTAAAAATGGTCCTAATGGTCCTAGTGGCCCTAAAACGAAAGATAACCAAATAGATGAAAAGCAGCGTATATATGGATCTAAAAATCAGAAGTTGAACCCAATTGCACCTTCTGACACTTCAGAATCGAATTTCGAATCTTCTGGTCAAGAAATTGAGATTCCTATCACAGTATTCAATAAAGAACACAAAGACGATGAAGTAGAATATAAAGGAGATAAAGGAGATGATGAAGAGTCTGGAGAACATGAAGAAAAGAAAGAAGGAGATAAAGAACAAAAAGAAAAGGATGAAGAAAATGAAGAACATAAAGAAGAAAAAGTGAAACAAGAAGAACATAAAGAAGAAAAAGCAAATCAAGAAAAACGAAAAGAACAACACAAACAACAAAAAGAAAACAAGGCCCAACATAAACTAAACCAAGAACAATTTACTGAAGAAAATATAGAAATAAACGAAGAACCAAGAACCACCACCCCAAAAATAGAGCCTCACTGGGTAGTCAGAAAGACCTTTTACGCTCAACCATACCAAAAACGAAAAATAAAAGTGTCAGAGCCACACAGAAACCCGGAAAGACACACTTTACCAGAATCTTTCGAATTCGACCAAGATGAGCCAGAAATGAGAGTTCTGAAAAGGCTAGGGGGACTTTACAGTAACTTGTTTGGAATGATTAATCATGAAATTAATGACTTTGGGGGTATGTTTGATTAGTTAAGTTTGGGAAGTTGAAGGCATGGGAGGGTAGAGTGATTGTTCAAATAAAAACGCGAAAAAAAATTGGGCGGGGTAAAAAAAATTAAATTATTTTGGGGGTAAAATTTAAAAAAAATATTTTTATTTCTTGAAACTATTTAAACACATCTATTTAAAAATTTATTTTTTTTTATTTTTATATTATCATTAGTCTATATAATAATATATATTCTTAAATATTATAGCTATAATAATACCTTGTCTATTAGTCATTAATTTTGAAGGTTGAGATTATCATTTTAAATTATTATCAATAAATATGTTAATAATATCTAATTGGCATTTAATTTTTGTGTATTTTCAGGCTAACAGCACTGAAATTCCACCAGAAAAAGTACAATACGTAGAGTCAAAACAAAAAACTGAAATTGAACAGAATGTTGTCGAGAGTAATGGTACGTTAGTAGAGAGTAAAATTCAAAAAAGATTTAAAATTTTAAGGAGTATATTAAGATAGAAGTCAGGGCTAGGGCTAACACTAGGGTAAGGCAAAGGATTACAAGAGGGAACCAAAGTTAAGGTTAGGGACAGACCAAGGGTAGGGCAAAGGTAAGTCAAGGGTAAGGTTAGGGTCAAAGCTAGAGACAAGCTCTGAGTTAGAACTCTGGGCTAGAAACTAGGGATAGGGCTAGGGCTAGGACTAGGGCTAGAGAAGCTGGGGCTGGAAGCTAGGGCTAGAAGCCAGGTTTACCTTTTTTGGGGTAAACCTCCCCCTAGCTCTAGGCTAAGGCTCTGAACTAGGACTCTGGGGTACGGCTCCGGGCCAGGACTCTGGACTAGGACTCTGGGCTAGGGCTCTAGGCTAGGGCTCCGGGCTAGGGCTCTGGGCTAGGGCTCTGGGCTAGGGCTCTGGGCTAGGGTTCTGGGATAGTGATCTGGGTTAAGGCTGACCCTAGGGCTAGATATGAACTTATCTTTATTTCCTAATAATATGTCTTCAGACGTCACTCAAGCGGAGCAAGTTCAAATCGCTTTGAACATTGACGATGACTTCCGGCAAGCTCAAAAAGAGCAAAAAGCTCATCCAGGAGTAAACAGTGGTGATTTACTAATTATTCCTAAAACCTCAGCAGAAGAGCTGATTGGTTGTGGTGCCAAAAACCTTGGTGGTACTAAGCCACCAGCTGTTACCACTACTACCGCGTCGCCTCAAGATTTAGCAGAGAAAAACAAAAAGATCGACCAAGTTTTGGAAAATTTGCGAAAGGTTTTGAATAACAGTGATAGTACTTTGTTGAATAGTTTGATTGAGAACAATGGTTCTTCGGAAGGCTTGGCTAAAGAGCTGGTTAAAGCTGCCATGGTTTCAAGGGATGAACGAGGTATGAATGTTAGACACTAATTGTTGAGTGGTAGGGTAGGGTAGGGTAGGGTAGGGTAGGGTAGGGTAGGGTAGGGTAGGGTAGGGTAGGCTAGGGTAGGGTAGGGTAGGGTAGGGTAGGGTAGGGTAGGGTAGGGTAGAGTAGGGTAGGGTAGGCTAGGGTAGGGTAGGGTAGGGTAGGGTAGGGTAGGGTAGGGTAGGGTAGGGTAGGGTAGGGTAGGGTAGGGTAGGGTAGGCTAGGGTAGGGTAGGGTAGGGTAGGGTAGGGTAGGGTAGGGTAGGGTAGGGTAGGGTAGGGTAGGGTAGGGTAGGGTAGGGTAGGGTAGAGTAGGGTAAATTTAGTACCAAAACCTCAAGCTAATATTACTACCAAATCCTACCAATTTTCAGCTCAACCCGAAAACCTAGCTCCTTCAGCCGAAGAACTAGAATCTCTTCGTCAAAAAATTGAGCCCGACGTCTTAAAAAGCATTGAAGATCTAGGTCGTACTGAAGACAAAGAATTTCAAAGTATGGAAACTCCGGATCATGACCTCGAGGCCATTGGCTCAGGCTTAGAGCCTCCATCAGAGAAACTAGTACTACTTACTCCGTTGGCTTTAACTGCTCATCAACAGATTGTGACTGAGAAGAAGAATGATGACAATGCTGATATCGTCAGTGGGTATACTAATGAGGAGAAAGAGGATACAAGTTTAGAAGGTAAAGCAAGGGAAGGCGAGAAAGAAGATAACAAGAATGAGGAAGACAAGAAGAATGAAAAGAAGTTGTTTGTGCTGTCATCAAATGAAAATTTAGAGGCTTTGACTGAAAATGACGAGCTTTTGCCAAAGGTAAGAGATGACTTTTTTTGGTTATTGTGCGACGGGTAGGTAAAAAAACAACTATTAAATTTTTTTTATTACATTACCCTAGCTTACCCTACCCTGCTCTATCTCTAAAGATGTTTAATATAGAGTAAATCTGAAGTCTTTACAGAGTAACGAAACACCATCCTTCTCGATAGCTACTAGTACTGTGATTCCGGAAAGCGAAGAAGATTTGCCTGAAATCAAGTCAACCACAGGAACTGAGGTTCAAATCGGAAAGTCGGCTGTTAAGGTAAGCTAAAAGTTTATTCAACAAGTGGGCGTATTTTGCAAAGACAGGGCAAAGGCAGGGCAAAGGCAGGGCAAAGACATGACAAAGGCAGAGCAAAGCAGACATTTTTTCATTTTCTAATTGTTGTAACTCTTTTGTCAGTAACCATATATTGCCAAAACTGTAACACAAGATACTTCATTTTATGCTTTACAACACGTATTAGTTTAAATTTGTATTTTACAAAGTTTAAAATTTTTATTTTTTCAGCTTCCACCACGAAAATCCCTCTTCCCAGACCTTGACTTCAGCCTCTTAAAAAACAAAAAGCTGGTAAAAGAAGCGGCCGAAAGTGATAAGAAGCAAAAGAAGCAAGCAGATGAAGCCTACCAAGCTCTAAAGCGACTGGATCAAAACTCTTTGGCCGCCAGAATTGCGGCTTCTGAAGCGGAACGGAAGAAGTTGGAGCAGAAGCCAAACCTAATGAAACAGCCGGTTACTGTAAAGAAAGTTCAGCAACAGCCATCGTTGATCAAGAGTAAGAGCACTGACGATATTACGAAGCAACTGGAGAGGATGTTTTACGACTGGAGCAATGGTGCTTTTGGGGTTCTAAATGGGTAGTTAATGTTAGCCAAAATGACAAAATTTAATTTTTTTTATTTTATAAATTAAAAAATTGAAAATTGAAAAAAATGGATTTCCTTTACATTTTTTGAATAAAAAGGCCATTTAAAGCCCTATGTTACTTTAAAACTTCCAAAAATTTTGTTTGTAAGGACTAATAAGTTTTGGTACTAGGTGGTTCAATAAGTTCCGCGCCATCTCGCAAAAACAATTTTCAGGGTAAAGGGGCGCAGAATTATTTGAACAATCTTATTAATTGTATTGGTAAACAAGCACTCTTAAGATGCCACTTATATATTACTATATTGATTGTGCAATTGTAATATTATTGTAGTATTCGTAGACTTATTATTAATAAATAAAAATATAATGAATTATTAATCTATTTTTGCGTCGGAATGTCAGTCTGTAACATTAAGCTGCTAAATAATTTGAATTTAAAATTTTGTTTTAAAGGTCGTATTATACTATGTAAAGAAAATGTTTTCAGTATGATAAGGTTTTATTGGAGTGAAAATAGCAATGCCAAACCGGGCATATTAAAGTCAAGACGGGGAGAGATTGCAGGGCAGAGTAGGACAGGATAGAGAAAGGTAGATTAGGGCATGGTAAGGCAAAGAAGAACAGGACAAGGCTAAACAAGGAAGGTCAGAGCGAGGCAGGGCAAAGAAGTGCAAAAGCAAGGCAAAGCCAGGGCAAAGGTAGGACAAAGGCAGGGCAAAGGCAGAGCAAAAGCAGGACAAGGGCAAGGGGGACAGATTTAGTCTGATCTACGTTTATATAGTTGAAATACCTGTCTAATTTCATTATAAAAGCTACAAATAAACCTTTTGTCATTAAAATACAGTAAAATAGTAAACAATTAGGTGTACTTGTAGTCAACAATTTGTAATTATTGTCGTAATAAGCGTAATATAAAAATTGTCAATATATTACTTTTTTTATTAAAACCAAAGGTTATTAAGCCTTAGCGGACTTACGTCCTCAAAAATCATTGGCGTTTTGTGTCAAAAGGGTTGGGTTGGGTTGGGTTGGGTTGGGTTGGGTTGGGTTGGGTTGGGTTGGGTTGGGTTGGGTTGGGTTGGGTTGGGTTGGGTTGGGTTGGGCTGGGCTAGGCTGGGCTGGGCTGGGCTGGGCTGGGCTGGGCTGGGCTGGGCTGGGCTGGGCTGGGCTGGGCTGGGCTGGGCTGGGCTGGGCTGGGCTGTGTTAGGCTGGGCTGGGCTGGGCTGGGCTGTGCTGGGTTAGGCTGGGCTGGGCTGGGCTGGGCTGGGCTGGGCTGGGCTGGGTTGGGCTGAGCTGGGCTGGGCTGGGCTGGGCTGGGCTGGGCTGGGCTGGGCTGGGCTGGGCTGGGCTGGGCTGGGCTGGGCTGGGCTGGGCTGGGCTGGGTTGGGCTAGGCTAGGCTGGGCAAGGTAGGGCAAGCCTAGTTAGTAACTGTTACTTAAATTTGCATAAAGTAAAGCTTCCTTATTTTTATGTTTTTAGTTTTAGTCTGATTAGAACTTCTTAATTAAGTTTGGACCAAATTTCGACTTAAATTAGTCGGAATTGTGTTATTCAATTTTAACCCTTTATTAGAATTTATAACGCAATTAACTATAACAAACCCATTAAGGTTAAGCAGTACGTTTTAATCAATTACCAGAACATTCATGTCTAGTGTTTTTGTAATGTCGTATTATTAATAAAACAATGCTTTTATGCCCGCTAAATCTATTAAACGAAATGTGTTTGAATTTTGACCGTACGTCAATGTATTATTTTTCATAGAATAATAAATAACGGCGTTGGTAGAGTATGATATGGTAGGGTAAAGTAGGATACGTCTAGGGTAGAGCAAAGGTGGGGTAAAAGTAATGAAAGGGTAAGGCAGCTGTACTGCAAGGGTAAGGAAAGTGTACGGCAAGGAGATAAAGAGGGTAAAACGAGGGTAAAGCACGGGTAGAGCAAGAGTAGAAAAAACTAGGGCAAAGGCAGGGCAAAGGCAGAGCAAAGGTAAGGCAAAGGTAAGGCAAAGGTAAGGCAAAGGCAGGGCAAAGGCAAGACAAAGGCAGGGCAAAGGCAGAGCAAAGGCAGGGAAAAGGCAGGGAAAAGGCAAGGCAAAAGTAAAGTAAGGGTAGTACAAGAGTAGGCCAAGAGACAATGATAGAGCAAAGTTAAAGCAAGGATAGAGTACAAAGAGCAGAGCAACATAAAGTTGTTACGAAAGAACATCCGGCTTTGAGTACGTGATTTTATTATATATTTAAGTTTATTATAAATGATTCATAGAACATTCTATGTAATTTTAAATTAAATTTTGCAAACTGTATTTTATAAAATTATATTCTACAGTTCCAAGGTTTTATTAAATTAATTTTTAGTTCTGAAGGTTTGTTTATAAATACTGTGAAACTCTTGTACAGTTGAACATTGCTATGCCTATCTTCTGCGCTCGTATTGCTCGGGGATTTTAAAATTGTTTGTTATACAGAAGTTTTGGGATAGACGAGTTTTGAATGCGCTTGGTAATGTTAGCAAAGGAGGTTCGTTAAACAGGAGTTCTACTGTATCTGTTTTCAATCTTTATTTTATAAATTTTCTATTTTGGTACATTATTATTGTTTGACTTTGCTACAAACCGTTTAAAGTACTTTACATTCACTTACTTACACGGCTATTGCATCCTTGAACTTTCACTTACGTTGTTACACTGTTCTTGTACTCTTGTACCTCACAGTTTAGATACAATTTTCTTAAAACTTCACGGGGTAAGTTACTTTTTTCTAATTTTTTTTTAAAATTTTTGTATTACAGTGGGACTCCTGTGTAACAAATCGCTCGTTAATTTTGAATTTCTATGGTGTTTTTGATTATCGTTATAGAGGAGTTCGTTATATACAAGACCTCTACTAAATTTTGAGAACGTTTTGATTTACCCACGTTGTATTGTACTATAATGTACATTTTTTGTTGTTCTTGTCATTAAAATGAAGTGTTTTGCTTATTAATTACCCTAACTTGAAAAGTGTTTTTTCAAGTTTACTTGAAGTTGACATATAATTATATTAATCATTATATACTAAGCTGGAGAAGGGGAACTAGGAAAAAAGAAGAAGGGTACGGGGATTGCTTGGTTGAGTAAGAAGCGTTTTTAAACTTTAAAATGAAGCACAACATATACGTGTACTATAACTTATTGTACATTAATGTACTAAGCAATTTACTTACTCTATTGCCAACAGTTAAAATAATTGTCATAGAGTCATGTGTTTAAGAGTAGAGCAAGCGTAAGACAAGAGTAGAGAAAAAGCAAAACAAGGGTAGGACAAGGGTAAAGCAAGGGTAAGGCACGGGTAAGACTAAAGTAAGAAAAACCAGGGCAAAGTCTGGGCAAAGGCAGGGCAAAGGCAGGAAAAAAGGCAGGGCAAAGGCAGGGCAAAGGCAGGGCAAAGGCAGGGCAAAGGCAGGGCAAAGGCAGGGCAAAGGCAGGGCAAAGGCAGGGCAAAAGCAGGGCAAAGGCAGGGCAGGGCTTTTGAACGATACCAAGGTCTTTATACCGATTTTATCGGTGCACGTGTTAAAGATATTCATTTCTTAAAAAGATTTATATTAATGTAAGATATTTTAGAATGATAAATGAATGGTTCGAGAAACATGTCGACGAGTTGTGTCAAATCTTATCATATGGAGAGCTAATTGTAAATGTGCCCACATTCTTTGTTAATATTTACTTTTCTTTGAGATTCAGCTCATTATCTACGTTTAACCTCAATTTACGGATTATCCTGGTAAGTTTAAATTTTTCAAATAAAAAAAAACTTTTAAAATTTTAATTTTATTAGAAAAATTAAAAAAATGTATTATTTTATAAAAAAATTTTGGTAAAAATGCCTTTCAGGTATCAGAGATGATATTTATATTAATTTGCAATATCATTCATCCACTATTATTTCTGTTTCCAAAAAGCTACTATAACTTTGAAGAATGTTTTATCAGAAGCTGTTTGGTCTACATAACAATAGGTATTGGACATTTTGGTGTTTTTATGTTTAATATGAAGTATATACTAATTGGTATTGAACGTACAATCGCTTTTAAAGAAATGTCAACGTACGAGGGGAAGGGACCTCAATTGGCTTTTAAAATGATCGCTATTGCGGTAAGTACCTAACCTAACTTCACATTTTGACTAGCCTTGCTTTAGCCTTGCCTTAGCTTTGCCCTAGTCTTACGTTAGCTTTGCCTTAGCCTTGCCCTAGCCTTGCCTTAGCCTTGCCCTAGCCTTGCCCTAGCCTTGCCCTAGCCTTGCCCTAGCCTTGCCTTAGCCTTGCCCTAGCCTTGCCCTAGCCTTGCTCTAGCTTTGTCCTAGCTTTGCCTTAGCCTTGCCTTAGCCTTGCCCTAGCCTTGCTTTAGTCTTGCCCTAGCCCCTAAGTCTTAATAAACAGCTTAATACAACTTTCTTTTCCAGTTACTAGTAGCAGTAACCCAAATGACAGTTAAATGTACCCTCATATGGGTAAGTTTAGAAGGCCATTCAGTTCAATATAAACTTATACATGCATTAAACTTAGACAAGAGTTTTTACGGGTATTCGTATGCTTACAGCTTGGGTTGTTGCAACATGATCTATGCAGTTTACGTAAGTCAATGCTTTTTTACAATTTTTAATTGCTAGTGTGACGTATATTGTTATTTACTTGAAAGGCAAAATAATTGCTTTAGTGCAAGTCATAGATTGAAATACAATTTTAAAATTTTTAAAAATTTTACATTTCAGTTGATAGTATACCTTGGAAAGAAAGTTTCAATCGAAGAACAACAATGTTATACGTTGAAAGAAAAATTTCAAATTCGGCAAACTAAAATGGTCTTACGGTGGCTACATAGGCTTGTAATAGCGTTCGTATACGCCATGTTTGCTTGTTGTCCACCGTATATTTTTATAGTGTACTATTACTACACTGGCTACAGCGCTGACAGCAATGAAATCCAGTTTTTTATGACTGTAAATTTACAAAATTTACCCTACCCTACCCTACCATACCCTACCCTAACCTACCCTACCCTACCCTACCCTACCCTACCCTACCCTACCCTACCCTACCCTACCCTACCCTAACCTACTCTACCCTACCCTACCCTTTCTAATTGAAAAATATGTTAGTAATACCTTTACAGTTCTGTTACATGGTGATAGGAATCTACAACCTCGTTACCACATTTTACATGGTTGACGAATTCCCACAGCTTCAAAAAGCAATATACAAAGATCTGCCATTTCTGGAAAGACCACCCAATTTAGTAACAACTAACTGTACGATAGAAGAAACGAATAGTCATTTTGACTATCTTCAGAAGACATGGCAGGCTACAATGTAACTTATTATAATACAACTTTTTTAAAATATCAATTATGTATTATATTATATATAAAAGTGCAATTATAATGTAAATTGAATGATTTTTTTGTAAAATACGGTTTGAAAAAACTTGCTGTTTTAACAAAATAATATTAAAGATAAGTCCGTTTTAAGCCAAGAAAATGAGTCAAGGTCAGTAAATGAGGTAAAAACAGATAATATCAGAGTAAATCGGAACTAAAACATGGCGAATTCAAACTTCTTTTTGGACTTTTTTAAACAATGCAGATTAAATTATTGTATTGTGTTTTAATTATCACTATAGTGATAATACCAGTAGTGTGTTACAAGGCAGAATGTAATTCAAGTAAGCTTTGTTTTCAGTTATTAACGCTGGGCGGGTGATTTTTGTTTGGAGGGGAAAGGAGAAGTGGTAAAAATGTTTTCCATAAAAAGCCGCCTTCAACAAAAAAAAATTTTTTGAAAAAAGTAATTTTTTAAATTTTTATTTTTTTAAAAAAAAAGTTTGAATACAAAATCAACACGTAGTTTAGGTCAAATGTGCCCTTTGGGCTGGAGCGTCTTAAGACGAGAAGACGGCTCAGCTCACACTTGCGACCCCAGCAACCCAAGCCGCAGTAAATGCCCAAAACGTCATACTTGTGTCGCTGCCAAATGTGGAATTAAATTTTGTTGCATAAATGACAGTAAGTGATTTAAATAACATTTTTGAAAATTTGTAAACCCTAAACAGACATAGTTAACTATTTACAGTGAAACTCCTGTATAACCAACCGCTTAAGGCTTCAAAATGTGTTTGTTATGAAGGAGTTTAGGTATAGAGGAGTTTGTTATACAAGAGTTTCACTGTATACTATACAATAAAAAAAATTTTTTTTGAATGTGGAAAAAAAAACTAAAAAAGTAAGATTGTTTGTTTCAGAAATGTCACAAAAACTAAAATTCGAGAAAGAAATAGAAGAAGAAATGAATAATGACAAGGACGATGAATTATGAAAACGGTTTATCACAATATTGATATTAGCAATAAACATATCGTTTTTAACGTCAATTTTACTTCTCATCGTACCGTGTTCACACTAGCTCTAGCTCTAGCTCTAGCCTTAGCTCTAGCTCTAGCTCTAGCTCTAGCTCTAGCTCTAGCCCTAGCTCTACCTGTAACTCTAGCTCTAGTTCTAATCTACCCTATGACGACATCACTCTCCATTTTTGTTATTGTGACCAGTGAAACCAGTGAACAGGTCACTACCCATCGTCAACAATTACAGCCCATTCATCTTGTTTACGCTTTCGAAAACATTGTAATTGACTCCTGTAAACTGATCCCACGCAGCGAATCTCTTATTGTTTCGAATCATACGCGCAATAAGAGTTTGTTGTTGCTTAGGTAATCTCTTCCTGGTGGACACTTTTGCTTGCGCGATTCAAGAGTAATATTAAGGACGGGTTTTATTTGTCCATTGGTTTTTTGGGTAGGAGGGAGGGTTTGAGTGCAGATTAGAGGAAGTTGAAGTGGAAAGTGCGGTTTGGGTATTTTTTTTGAAAAAATAGGGGTATTGACGGTATTTTTTGTATTTTAAAGCCAGGAAGGTCCATATTTTGAAGCTAGTAGAGAATAGCCAAGTAGGGAGAAAGAGGTAGGAGAGGCAGGGTGTAGCTGTAAGGGGCAGGGGAACTTATGGTGGAAAAATGGGCAAACTTAAAAAAATTTTCGTAATGAAAAAAACATTTTGAATTCGCTTCCCGTCTTTTTTTAAGACACCCTTGCATTAGCAAAAAAGTCAAGTTGTAGCAATGCCAATTCAAGGGTTTATGCATTTTTAGATTATTTTTGTAATTTAAATTTTTATTGTGTTTTTAAAATTTACATTCTATGATAACAATGAGTCACAATTTACAATAAATTAAAATTATATTGCATTTTTATCACATTAAACGTTGTTCATTATCAAAAAACACGAGTTTTTAAACAAGATTTACTGCGTAAGTTACAAAAATTTTAATTACTCCCCCTGTTCCCCTACCCCTTTCTCTCACTTTTCCTCTTCCCTCACCCTCTGCAAAATAAAAAAATTTAATCACATTCTTTATTCGAAACACTTTTTTCCAAATTTTTTTTTGAATTTACTGCAAAACCTGTCCAAATTCAAAAAAGACGGATTTAATGATGTGAGGTAAATGATTTAGGAACGTGTCGACGAGTTAATGTGAAACCAATCAGCTTTAAAAGATCAATGAAGCGATTTACTGTTCGACAAAAAATATTTGTTGTTTCGTTGAATTTTTTGAATCTTAGAGATATTTGGGGATAGTGATTAGATTTTTGTGATAAGATATAGATATAGCTTTGTCAGTGTTTTGCTTATCTATACTTTTCGATTTATCAACTAGAGTAGGGTAAGCTCCACCATAAGTTGGCTCATTTGACGGTAAGGTATGGTAGGGTAAAACATAAAAAATTAGGTATGGTAGGGTTAAATACAGTTTACTAGTCTATTATAGTAAGCCCCAAATGAGCATTAAAAAACATTTCTGGTTTTACACCGAACAAAGCAAATTATTCAGAATCTCGAGGGGTTTGGCGCCTCGGAAAAAGATTTTAATGCGCAGTTTTTCTTGGTCAATTGTACTTGTCGTCTTCTCAGTTTCTAAGATGTAGGAAGGGAATAGCAGATGTTGCGATCCAACGTTTATATCTATATGGTTTTGTTTTTTAAAGCATTTTTTACCATTACTTCCATTGATATATAAACATTTTTTTTTGCTTTACAATTTACAAGTAAACTGTAAAATGTTCCAGTTTTCCATTTTCATTAATGTAAATTGAAGAATTGTAACATCTAACCCAAGTAATAAATCTTTACTATTGACCGAAAAGGTAATAAAACTCGCGTTCTCAAGCCAGTCATTGTATTTTTAATGTAACTGACCTCTGTTTGAAGACACTTTAACGGATTTCCCCTTTCCTATTTATGAAGAGTTACTCATCACACAGCGAATGGAAAAATAAATACCTGTCTATTTGGGATGGCTTGGAAACTGTTTTTTGAGAATTTTTTATTAGACTGTGTGGGGGTGTTTACATGTATCGATATTAAGACATTACGTGATTGTTAACTTGATTTTAACAATTTTTTTTGAAAAAGGTTTAATGAATTGTTTGACGATTGATAGAAACTTTTGACAATAGTCATCTTGATGAATTTGTACATTGCTCTACATTTTAGCAATGAATGTAACGCACTATTAATATCTTCAACATGGTAGACCGTATTCTAGAAAAGTTTCACAACCTTTACAGTGGCTATAGGTAAGTTTTTTTCCCATATTTAATAATATAACACTGTTATGGGAAACATTTATTATGACACACATGTTTTTATTATTTGTTTCAAAACAAGCTCATAACAATGATTTTATTTTAGAATTAATTTAAACAATTTAAAATTGAATTTAAGAGAAGTAATAATAAGTGTAGACAAAATCTTGTTTCACAGGGAGTATACCTGAAAGGTCAGAGGTAGGCCCGGCCTCTTTACAGAGCTACTTATGAAGTCACATTTAGTTTTTACGTCTCTTATTTTAGAATGGTTGTTAGTATAAGTTAATCAAGCACCATTTCACTGAAACTCTAAAAGAACATAGTTTATATAGTTAATCAAAAGCAAGTAAAGTAAAAAACTTACCACAAAAGAATTATAGCGTATTATTAATGAGACAGCAAATTTAGCTTTAACTATAAGTCTACCGCCGCTGTATTCAGTATTCACCAGCATATAGCCAAAAAAAATTGAAATGAAGCAAAAAAACATTTCCAAACAAAACTTGGCTCAAGAGCTAGACTTGACAGAAAATAAAAAACCTCAAAAAAACATTTTTGATTTTAACAAATTAAAGTTAAAAAGTGAAGTTATTTTAATTTTTGCTACAAGATATACAATAACCTAACAATTTTTCAGCGCCTACCATGAATTATCGCTGGATTCATGTAACGATGAGTCAAGTTCTTCAAGACAGGTTTGTATAATAATATATTATTTATGTCGCCACCTTTGGATGATTATTACTTTTCTGAAAACATATTTTTGAGTTATCTGCTATTCTTACCTTGTATTACTTTTAATTATATAGCTTGTCGAGGATTTGTCAACATCTTTTCTATGCGTGTTTAGCATTGATTGAGGTAAAGACTTGTAGAGGGGACGGGCCTGGTGTTTGACCTGGCCGTGGGCCACATATGCAGGGCCGGTTCTTTTAGTTTTTTTAGCCTAGCTGACATGGTCGGTGGTGGTCTGGGCCTAGTGGAAACTGTTTTAAGTATAGCGTGGCAACGTATGTTTAACAGAGGGTGCCTTTGCTGCTAAAATTTTTATTTTTTAAATATTTTTGATAAAGTTGTTAAACCGCAAGGTAATCGAAGCCTTTTCACAGTTGGAGCTCAATATGTTTTGTCATATCAAATAACTCTGCAAAATATTTCTGTTGTGTACCAAAACCAACAACTCGTGTTCACAACAATCAACCACCAATACTACCAAAATACTTTTTTATGAGTTTACAAACACCATCGTGACCTTTACCTACCTTCAAAATGAAATTATAAACTCTGCTCCATAAAAACTATTCTTTACAATGGCTATAAAAAACTTTTTTAATCAAAAAACAGAAGCCGGACGGTTTTTTTTGACGTTACGACGTTTCTCATTTTTTGAATCGATGTTGTTGTAATCGAGGAGGTTTTAGGCTATTAAGTTTTTGGATTTTGTGGGTTTAAGTGGGAGTCTTAATGGCATTTGAGAAGATAACTGAGTGATAGGTGTTTAATTTATATTTTGTTGATTTTTAAAACATTTGCCATTTTTTCACCTATGAATGACGTTTTTAAATTTAAATTTATGTGCATTTTCTAGGAAACAAGAGCCTTACAAGAGAATCAGCAGCTTTATGCCCACTACGTTCAACGGCTTGCGCGGCTTCAGGAGCGAATTCAAAAGATTATGAACAGTAAGTGGATTATGTTTTTCATGTTTTGTGATTTAATGTCGTACTTCAAATTTTTTAAAAATTTTTTAGAGCTAGGGTTAGGAAAAGCCTAGAGAATGGGTTAAGGCTAGGGCTAGGGCTAGAGCTAGAGCTAGTGCTAAAACCACGGCTAGAGATTAGACATGGCAAACGGGCCGGCCGAGGCCCGCGTATAAGTTACTACTAGAGATACTGCCAAAGCTAGGGTTATGCTAACAATATGCTTAAAATAACTCTTTTAGCAATTTTTCTTTTAGTATAACCCCAACTTGTCATTAACCTTTAAAAATGTTTTGACACAAAACACATATTTTAACAAGAAAAATGTTGAACATTTCAAAAATTAGAAAAGGCAGGTAGTGAGCGGTGATATGTGGGGCATGAAGACGCACGGAGACCTGGGTAAAGAACGTTAACATTCTTTAATGTTATGGATTGCTTGGGGCGTTCAAGTTCACGTTAGATGTTTTTTACTGGTTTAGTTGGTATTTCGGTCTAAAATTAATAGAAGTAATTTTTGAAATTTTGGCCCAAAAGTTTGTAAAATTGATTTTTAAAACCTTGGATTTGTAGAATACATATATATAGTGCTTTTGGTCTAAAAGTTTATAGAATTGATTACTTTTGGCTTCAAAAGTCCATTTTTAGTACAAAAAACCTCAAAAAGCTTAGTTTCCGAAAGTAACCTCTACGAAGGCCGTGTACTTTTCTTCTGATTCATTTTCTGTATCTCAGAAGTGATGATTCCGTAAAAAACTTTTTTTTCCCTTTTGTTTTGGCCGGCCATATACAAAAAAAGTTTTGTCATTTTGCGGGTCGGAGATTCTGATTACGTTGGGCGATAAAATTTGTTTTAAAGGTTTGTAGTATCAATATTTGGATCGTATTGTTGGTCGAGGAAGCCGTTGCTTTTGGTCGGAACTTGTGGCTGATTGTAGGTCCAATATTATTTTGGGTAAGCGGGAAGATGAGCGTCTAAGCTACGCTTAAATGGTATTTAGATAGTTTTACTTGAGGTTAGGTTAGGTTTGAACTTAAGATTAAGTTTAGGCTTTAGCTTAGATTGTGGGTTAGAATTATGTTTAGGTTTTGGCTTTTGCCGTGAGCTAAGGCTTATACTTAGGCATCGGCTTAGGTCAAAGTTTAGGCTTAAGCTTAATTTTAGTTTTATCTTCAACTTTAGGCTTTAGTAAACTGTTCTTTAAGGCTTAGGCTACAGAACACATTTTGAATGCCTTTTTTGTATATACGACCTTTCATTTAGATTCAGGCTTTGGATTGATGCATAGAATTAGACTTATTTTTAGCTTCAGGCTTAAACCCAGGCTTAGGCTTAACTTTAGATTCAGGCTTAAGCGCAGGCTTTTCCTTACAATCAGTTTGTCAGTTTTACCTACAGCTTAGGCTTAAGCTAAAGAATTTCTTATACATTTCGAAAAAAAACATAATTTGACAACTCTTCCCTATATAACATTTACTCATCACAATACCCCATAATTTGCCGCTAACTCGCCCCTCCACTTTCATTTTTCGATTCAAAACTTTTCTCTCGCGCAAAAGGCCGAGAATGGCGTTAAATAAAATACGGAGTTCGTGAATGGCCTTGCTCTAACCTTTCAAATGCGAATACAGGTTCATTTCGTGGGTTCGGTTCTCAACGATGTTTTTTCGCTCTGTTTTTGTGGATTTGGGCGTCGCTGAGTTTTGTTGAAATTTTAATTAAAACAAAGAATTTGTGAAGTAGGGGGTTTTTGGTAGGAAGTTGGGTCAGATTTGGGCTGATTTTTAAAGTTTTTAAAGAGATATATGATAAGAATAGGCTAAAGTAGGATAAGAATAAAGCTTCAGCAAGGCAATACAAGAACAAGGCAAGGAAAGAACAAAGATAAGACAAACGTAGGACGAAAGCAAAGCGAAGGTACGGCAAAGCTAGGCTAGAATAGTTCTAGGACTAGGGTAAGGCAAGGCAAGGCAAGGCAAGGCAAGGCAAGGTATAAATAATGAGTTTTAATTACCTACAGCAATCTAATTTTAAAATTGAAGAGTTTTAAGTAGTCGCCCATAAAAAGTAAAATGAAATTTTACGACTTTAGTCTTGTGGAATTTGATTGAGAATTGTGGAGAAGAAACTTTCTCCTGAATCCATCTTTCTTTCACTTTCAAAAAAGGTCAAATATAATTTTTTAACCTACAAACTCTACTTTATGTATTTCCATTATTGGTGGGTTTTTTCGCTAAGGCTAGGTTTAGCGCTAGAGTTAGAGCCAGAGCTAGAGCTAAAGCTAGTTCAGGGGTATAGCTAGGGCAAGCTTGGGCTGCTTTAAAGTAGACTTTTCTGTTTATCTTATATGTAAACATCTCCAAATCTCATGATTGACACATACGGTTCTAGATTCAATTACTTGACACAACAATGATTGCTTCCTAATTAACTCGCTTAATTAACTACAATGTAACGTAGTCACATTGTACTGTAACAAATCGCTTAACTTCAATCTTTTTTGAATTATAATAGAACTCGTGGGAAGTAATCAAATGTTATGTAGGTGCTGATATAATACGTATAAGGGGATCATATGTTAAATGGCATATTTTTTCTGAATTTTTGAAAGTTTTTTTGAAAAAAGTGCTAAAAGCGGACCTTTTCACAAATTTTTAGATTTTTTAGAAAATTTTTTTGAGGTTCAGGCTAGGCTAGGGTTAGGACAAGGCTATTGTTAAGGTTTAGCCTAAGACTAAAAATAAAATAATTTTAACAAAAAAATAAGAAGGAGGACTTTTTCACAAAAAACAGCAAGGAGGACTTTTTCACAAAACTACAAAAAATTTTAATTTTTGCATAAATTACCCCACCCTTGAGACAATTCGGGATCCATTAGCGGTTCAACCAAGCATTCAAATTAAACTCACTTGAAGAGTTGATTAGCCGAATTGTGTCGTGGTAAACAAAACGAAATTGAGACGATTTTATTAGTTTTACAGTAGAATCCAAAGTCATTTGTTGTTTTTTGAGTGAAATTTGTAATGTTTTAGTCATTCTTCAAATGTTTTCGTTTTTGTCAATTTTTCTGTTAATTGAGGTGTTTCTGATAAAAGTGTTGAAAAGTTGTAGTGGGGTATGGTTGGTAGCGTGGGTGGGGTTAGTGTATGGCTAGAGTAGAACCAGGGCAAGGCTAAGGTATTGCTTGGGTAGGGGCTTGGATAGCGTTTGGGTATGGTTAGTGTAGGGCTAATGTAGGACTTCAAAGGGGTTAGTTTAGGGCTAATGTAGGGTCAGTGTAAGGCTAACGTTAGGCTTGGGTAAAGCTGAGTAAGTGAAAAATCTTACAAGGAAAGTGCCCGACCTGCCCCGCACTGATTGACTTGAAACTTTTTATAAAGAAAGAAACTGTAAATATAATATCTTAGCAAAGTACTAAATCGCGCTTTCCAGGAAATCTCGAGAAAATCGAGATTAAAAAATGACATTTTGAATTTCCAGCCAACTTGGCATTGTGTTCCAAGCTTGTAACTTTGTCATTTTTTGACTTTTAATTATTTTTCTTGGATATACTAGTAGAATACCTTTAAATGAACCTACATTTTTAAATTTGTAAGCATATCTTGTCTGGAAAGCCGAAAAAAGTGCTTGAAACACAATGCCAAATTTGCCAAATTGGCGGGAAACCAAAATAATTTAAATTTAAAACTCAAAAGCGCAAACTAAAATTTTTTATGGGTACTATTGGTGGTACAAAGAATTCATATAAGAATTTTGAGCTGATTCTGAGCGGGGCAGGTAGGGTACTTTCCTTGTTAGTGCAAATGGTCTCATCTTATTAGAAATGGACTTCTTTTCTTAGAAAGGGTTTCATTTTCTGAGAAATGGTCCCATCTTCTTAAATATGGTTTTGTTTTTTAAACATGGTTTTATGTTTTTATACTGGTCCCATCGTGTCTTATCCGGTTGAATATTGCTTTATACTTTCTCGTTTCGTAAATTTTTAATCATTGTAAAGATTGAAATTATAAGTTTTACTTGATCACCTCCCAAGAGATTGTAAGAATACGTTGGGAGATCACGGGTATAAGAGAATCCAGGAAAAAGATATGCCGCCCGTTTTATTGCCTCATTCCTTTCTTTGGCGTTGAAGGTAGCAATTCGGTTTTTAATGCGTTTTGTAATTGTTGAGGGGATTCCGGCAGGGGGGTTTTGTTTACTGTACAAAGACGTAATACAACAAGATTTTTTTTTAATTTTTGATTTCAAAATGATTTATAGCTTTTAGTTTTGATTAGGCATAGGCTTGAGTTTAGGCTTAGTTTGAGACAGCGGTTTTTATTTAAGCCTTGACTTAAAATTGGGTTTGAGCTTGGGGTAGGCTACGGTTTAATTTTAGATTTAGCCTTAGCCTTAGCCTTACCCTTAGTCTTAGCCTTAGCCTTAGCCTTAGCCTTAGTCTTAGCCTTAGCTTTAGTCTTAGCCTTGTAACCAAGCCACCATATATAAATATTGCTATATCACATACTGCAATCATTTCTCTCGATTAGTCTTGTTCCCAACCCGAGTGACTGGGTCAGTCAGTCTTGTCTGAATGTAGGTTATACCTATCAACCCTTTCGTCGTATCATCTTGTGACCTCCGACCCTCATTTGCATATAAAAGACGAGAGCCCGGCCCTTTTCGGGACAATTCTCTTTCTTCTTTCCCTCCCCTCACCTGGGCGTGGGGGCAGGGGTGCGCATTCCGATCGGTCGCGTCGTTAAATGCCGCACTGTAAAAAAAGGTGTGGGCTTTTTTCGAGAAGGGATCCTCAATTTTTAACTGTTTTTATAAGGGGTGGGAAAGTTGGGGGTGGGGTAAGGGTATGATTTTAGGCTTTTTTAATGGAGGCTGAAGCTAGGCATAAGAAACGGGCCGCACGTATTTTTTAGGCCCGGCCCGCGGGCCGCACTTGAATGTTAGGCCTGGCCCGATCGAAATTTCGCTAAAGGCCGGCAAGTTTCTTATATCTAGCTGAGGCTTTGGCTAGGTTAGACGTTAAGGTGGCGGTGGTAAGGGGGATTGAAGGGGTGTTATTTGAGAGAGATTGATTATGTTGGGGTAACAGGGGTTAAACAAGGCTAGATAGTAAGGACAGGTTAAGATAGGGTAGGGTAGGGTAGGGTAGGGTAGGATAGGGTAGGGTAGGGTAGGGTAGGGTAGGGTAGGGTAGGGTAGGGTAGGGTAGGGTAGGGTAGGGTAGGATAGGGTAGGTAGGGTAGAGTAGGGTAGGGTAGGGTAAAGTATAGTTAAAAATACAAGGTTTCTGATGCCCAAATTACCCTCTCCGCATCGCCAATTCTAAATGTCTTACCCTCAGTAAAAAATTTGCATAAGTTTTACAAATTGACCTAGTTGTAAACTAGAGGTGTAGGTGCCGGAATTATTGCGAGTGTTGTTTTAGAATCGTAAAAGGAAGCAAAGAAGAGGTAATTAAGCTGGTGATGGGAAGGGACAGACGATCTATTTCGAGCGCTAGGATAATGTTTATTCAAAGCATTTTTTGAGGCTATATCAAGAGGTTTTAAGGTTTTTTTTTGGATGGGGGTGGACGATAAAAATTTTTTTAAGTGTGGGTAGGATAAAAAAAATTTTTTTGTGAGGAAGAGTGTGGGCTTTAAAAAAAAGTTTTTTTACGTGGGTATGTGGCTTTTAAAAAAATATTTTTATGGGTGGGGGTGGACACTGTAAAATTTTTTTGTAGGGGCAATAACAAAAATAAAATAACAAAAATTTTTTGGGAGTGAAATGGATTACAAAAAAAATTTAAGGAACGCGGGTGACTACGGTTTTTTTTATTTGGGGTGGATAAATCAATATTTTTCACGATTCGGCCTTTTTTATCTAATCTTTATGATAAAAAAGCTTGTGTTGCTGTTTTATCAAAAGCTTTATCTTTTACCTTGCGCTTACTTTATAGTACAACGTAGTTTCGGTTTACTTTCCCTATAATTTGCGACCTTTTTTAGCCATTTTACGGAATACCCGGCGATTAGTAGTGCCGCAATGCGGTTGCTATGACAATCTTGCAGCGAATTCCTCGAACATATTATAATATATGTTGTGTTCCGAGGGTGGAGTGATCAATTTGTACTTATATACGGGTTATGTATGGGTAGCGATTTGATTTTTGTAGGATGGAAGGGAGGACTTTTGGTCTGGGGGCGGGGGTCGAAAAAATCCACAGGGGGAACCAAGTTCAACTTTTTCGAAAAATTTTTTCTGGGCGGGGGCTAGGAATAAGCAAGGCAGTTTAAGTTCAGGACCTAAGGAGGAATAGGAGAATCTTACCGTACTTTACCTGTTTTTGTTTAACCGTTTCTTTACACTGATTTTTTTACTCTGCTACGCCCTACCCTACCTTATTTTAAATTGCCATAAATTACCCCACCCTAACTTATTGTAACTTGTCATACTTTGCCCTACTCTAGATTGTTTTAATCTTTACTACTTTACCGTACTTGTACTTATGTTTGCTCTGCTTTGCTATATCTTGCCCTACCTTACTTTACCTTGCTTTGCAGTGCCTTATCTTACTTTATTTTACTGTACCCTACCTTCTTTTAACTTAGCTTTACGTTTTTATTTTACCTTATCCTATGTTATTCTGCTTTACTTTATCTAGCTCTACATCAAATAGTTTCGTACCGACTAATTTTTTCATTTCTTCGACCTTAGTTTCCGACCTTATGACCACCTTCTTTCGCTTGTTGACCACCTCCTTTCACCTATTGACCACTCCTTTCTACTCTAATATTCTTCTTAATAATCCTTCTGTTTCGCAGCGTTTGGCCTTGGTAATCTTGATTATCGAGAATTATTTTCGCTCTTTCTTCCTCAGATTAATCTAAACAAGAAAAAACGAAAGGGAAACAGAAGTGTTCGATTGGAGATTAATAAGAGCGGCGAACGGTCAGAACAACTTCTAAACAAATGCAAATTAATTTCTGATGCGGTTTTAGGGGGTCGGCGCACTTATTGTCATCGTATTCTTGTATTGAAATGCATATAATGAGGAATTTTTGGTTTTTTCAGCAGAGGAATTAAAGATATGCCACTGTTAGGTTACGGGGAGGGCTGATAGTTGGGCAGGGTGGGACTAATTTTGGGGTAGGGTATGATAAAGCCAGTTTAGGTAGGGTAGAGTAGAGAAGGCTAACGTAGTGTTGGAGGAGAATAGAGTGAAATAGGGTAATATACTTTAAGGTAGGGTACTATAATGTACGGTAGGATACTTTAAGGTAAGATACTATAAGGTAGTGTAGGATACTGAAAGGTAAGGTACGGCACTGTAAGGTAGGGTAGGGAACCGTAGCGTAGGGTAGGATACATTAAGGTAGGGTAAATTAGGGTAGGGTAGGGCAAGATAGAATAGATCAACTTAGGGTAGGCTGGAGTAGAGCAATACCAAAAGGTTCACTTACTAAATTACCATAATTTTTATATTCTGTTACAGTATGCTTATTCATTTTAAAATTTTTTTGATTTTTAATTTGTCAGTACGATTTTTAATGTACTACTATTAAGAATTTCATATTGAAACAAAATTAAAATTCATATGCCTCTAAAATCTGAAATTTTAACATATGATATTAGGTGACGAGAAGAACAAATCGATCTATCATACCAATCAAAACACATTAATATTCTTCGAATACTTAGATAGATGACTCACTTTTATTATAAGGTTTCGGACATTAAACTATGGGTCACTTTGCACTTTAATGATAAAAGCTTATAATGGAGGGGGGGGGGGGTATGGTGGTTTTAGTATTAGGGAGGTAGTATGTTTAGATTTTAGAGGGGTGGGGTAGGGTGAGTTTTACGAGGGGTGAGACAAGTTTTAGAGGGGATAGGGTGGGGTTTATGAGGAATGGATGGGCTGAATTTTAGGAGGGTTAGTGTGCGATTAAACCATGGTAGAGTAGAGTGCAGTTTAGAGGGGGGGGCGGGGGGAGAAAAGTCAAATTTGTTTCAGGCAGGGTGTAAAAACTAATTTTAAGGACAGAAAAGATCAAAAGCAATCTGTTTTTGTCTAATTATTTTTTTTACTTGGATTTTGAATGTTTTGTAAATATTAAATTTTCCGCTACGCATATTAGTCATCGGAGGAAAAAACATATTCAAAAGTGGCACGATTTTTTAATTAAAATTTTGAGAAATTTGATTTTTCAGTAAAATACGCCGCGGAAACGTTTTATTAATATAATATAATATTTAACTGTAAAAAATTTTTTTTCGAGCAGGTCAGAGTATGACTGTAGTGTAGATTAATGTAAGGGCTGTAGTAGGAATAAAATAAGGAAAGGGTAGAGCTAGAATAAGATAAAAAAGGTGGAATGAGGACATTAACAGGCTTTGAGCTTTTTAGTCTAGGGGTAGGATTTCTAGGCCGAGGTAAAGCTAAGGTAATCATAAGAGTAAAGCCAAGCTTGCAGTTAGGGCTGCCATCTTAAGTTAGAGCTACGGTAAGCCTCAGGAAAAAATGACTTGGTCTAAAGGCTAGGGCCAAGGCTAGAGTCAAGGATAAGATCAAGGCTAGAGTCATGCCCAAGGCCAAGGCCCGAGTCAAGAATAAAGCTAATGATAAAACCAAGGCTAGGGCCATGGCTAGGGCCACGGCTAGGGCCAAGACTAGGGCCAAGACTAGGGCCAAGACTAGGACCAAGACTAGGGCAAAGGCTAAGGCTGCGCTATAGCTAGGCTGGAGCTAGACTAGAGCTAAGCTAGAGCTATACTAGAACTAAGCTTGAACTAAACTAGAGCTAGACTTGAGCTTGTCTATAGCTAGGGTAGGGCTCGGCGAGAGCAAGGCAAGAGCTCAGCTAGAGCTGAACAAGATCTAGGCTATATCTACGTTAGAGCTAGTCGAGAGCTAATTTAGGCTAGCCTAGAGCAGAGCTAAGGTAAAACTAGAGTATGTCTAATTAGAATCACACGCTTCTTAATTAACCCTTTCTTAATACGACCTTGTCCTAATCTTGCTCCATCTTCTCCTTGTCGTATCTCGACCGCAACGACCTGGACAAATATTTGTTTGTTTTGGTTTAGAGTGCACCGAAAAGGTTTTGTTTTTGTATGCGTAAAGTTTTCGCCGAAAAAACGACGTAGCCGAGATTCGCGTTATCTTTGCGCGCTCTTCCTCTTTTTTCCCCTCCCTTAAGTTTCCCCCACCCTACCCTCCGTGTCTTGAGTTTTCGAGTCTCGAGATTTTTTTCGATTGTTTTGCGTCAAATTGCGCGAATTTAAAAAAGTGATTTTAGTTGATTCACTTGGATGTTACTTTAATTAATAGCGGATATTGTGTTTGTTTAGAGCGTTTAAAGGTGGGGTAAGATAAGATAGGGTAGGATAAGGTAGAGCAAATTAGAATAGGATGAGCCAGGGTTGAGTAGGGTAAGATAGGTTAGAGTAGAGTAAGGTAGAGCAGGATAGGGTGGGGTAAGGCAAGGTAGGGTGAGGTAGCGTAAGTTAGGGTAAGATATCATAAGGTAGCGTAGGGTAGTTTGGTATCAATTTTTGAAATTTCGAAACTTTTTTTTCTTAATACAAATTTCATTTTTTTCTTTTTTTTTATTAATTTAAAAAATTTTTTTTGAAAATTTTCAAGTTTCAGCTCAACCGACCGACACCCACGAAGCGGTCCTCAACACGGCCGAGATGAACGCGGTCGAGGCCGAGCTGGACGGCCTGGTTGGTCGGCTTCACGTCGAAGTCAAAGCCATTATTGGCTTTGCTCGCCTGGCTTCTGGAGACATTTTCGAAGTATCAGTTAAGCATGGTTCGCAGAAATGGAAAACCCGCGGTAAAACTCAGCCTGACCGCGCTCAACGATGGGATAGTGCTGGACATAACTTTACCTGTTATCCTGATCACCCGATTCATGTTAAAGTGACTGAAATAAGGCTGATCAGATCGGTTAAGTTGGCGGAGAAAAGTTTTGATCCGACCAAGTTTTTCTCACCACAGCCTCAACTGGTCACTATGAACTTGAATGCTTTGGGGAGTTTGAAGTTACAGATGGTTGTTTCTTGGTTACCCCTAATGACATCAAAGAACATGCCCCAACCCAACTGTGTGCCATTTAACCCGGTGAACCGAAGCATGTCCATGGTTCAACGAAATGGCGAAACTGATAAGCCAGAGCCCCCAGTTAAAGTTTGTCTTCGAGAAAAGAAAAGAGGAAGACAAGCCACACAACAGCTGAAAGATCAACAAAACTGGCGTTCATCTACCACAATATTGGACTCGGTTTACAAGGATCTGAGCAAGAGTATACCTACTATTGATGATGTAGGTGTCTTTTTTTTAATTTCACTTTTCTCATTTTTTCAAAAAAAAATTTTGAATTTTGACTTTTTTAACTTTTTTTTGTCAAAAAAATTTAAAACTGACCCTTTCAGCTAACAGCCCTGACTGAAAACCGTGACAAATACAGTCATCGTTACAATCAATCCGAAGGCTTATCAGATCGAACTTCATCGTACCATAATCGTCAACCTAAGCCCCATCTAGGTACTTATATGTTGACCAAGCCGGACGATGAGAATTGGTCTCGGTCGATTTCTATGCACCATTTGGCCATGAACGACCATAACAGTACTAGGAACCATATTGATCAAAACAGTACCATCCACCACCTATCCGACCACAAAAAGCTTCAGAAGCCGGAACAATGTCTCGACCCGCCACCAGCATGACAGACTCTGACGATTCCTCTGGAGTATCATCAATGACATCACAGAAGCTATCGTGCCGTGCTGCCGACAATATTCTTGACCTTATGGACAAGGTTCGTGCCGCATTAGTACCACTGCGCGGCCAAGAGTACGCCGAATTGGCCGCTTTCGAAAGCTGTATGCTAAACTGGGAAGCCTTGATCAAACTTAACCGTGCCGTGCTGTTAGAACAGTCACGCTCATTTTCACAACGTTCGACCGGTAATTTGAATCGTCTGAACAAACGTGCCAGTATGTATCATGTACAACATTCTCCATCAGCGTTGAGCGATGAGCTAGATGAACCTGTGTTTGAAAATGACAGTGGTATTGACTCGATGAGACAAAACTTCTCACCGTACCGGAACGATGGCATGGGAGGTGATGTGAATGGATTTAAGGGGGATAACGGCCAATATAAACTTGAGAACGCCCAATACAAGCGTGAAAACGGCTTTTATCAACCCGCCAACCCAAGTCAAGCCGGCTACAATATCCAGAACGGAAGCTACAGCACCAAGAACGGCCAAAGCTACCTTACCAAGCCAGAGAACGGCTATATTAATCAACAACAGGGTTACACAAGCCAACAAAATCTACCCTACAATAACATCAGTACCATATCTTCTCCGTACTCTCCACAAACTCAACAATACCACCAAAATCTACCTAACACAACATCTTACAGCCATCGTCAAGACTCCAGCTACGGTGGAACGGCCAGTCGCGGCCCAGCCCAACGTCGTTTTAAACAATTCAAAGAGCGAAGAAAGAGTTTGGGTATCGTACTCGATTCGGATTACGACCGCTTCTTTGGTGCTTATAACGAAGGTACCAGTTTGTCAAGACAACCATCTACAGTTGGATCGTCGCCGGATACACAAAGAAAGGAATCCACTGCTACTGGAAACTATGAGCTGGATTTGTGCTTGGAGCATCATACTAAGCATTCACTTGAAGTTTTGAGTGAATTGAAGAAACAAAAAGGACCTTTTGAGTACCAATTGGGGTTGTTGTTGAATCAAATAGAACTGAACACATTAGCGTTGGATGAGATGTTGAAGATTGCGGAGCAATTGCCGAGTCCTATTAATATTGGAACACGTAAGTTAAAATGGAAAAATAAAAAAAGGTAGAATATGGATCCATTTCTAAGCAGATGTAACCATTTCTAAAAAGATGAAATTATTTCTAAATATGATAGATATGCCCATTTTTCTTATCCTTCTATACGACCTTACCCTAGTATTACCTAAAATAATATAAAAATCTCATGTACACCTCCAATAAACCTAGATGAACACTTCTAGAAGCATAATTATATCAAGACCCTATTCATTTCCCCTTCAAATCTGTTCTGTAGATCCATATTAATCTAAAAATTCAAAAAAACAATGAAATCGCGTCCGGACAACTGGGCCGATCGGACAACTGGGCCGGTTCCAACTGGGCCGATTCCAACTGGGCCGATTTGCCTTATAGTATGTCCGGGCTATATATTCTTAATAATATCGTAGTAAACTGCAATGTTAAGTGTTAAATACCACAGTAAAGTCGTATTTACCTTAAGATATTTATATATACCATAGTAAATGATGGTATATTTGCAAAAAAATATTAAATATTTGTAATATATAATAGTTCTATATAATTTTAGTAACATATTACTATGTAAGTGACTTTTAAAGTAAAGCCATGATTTTACTACATATATATACCATGGTAAGTCATGGTATCTTGGCAAAAGTTAACTAAATTAAATGTGGCGGAAGCTTTAGGGGATTCGGCGGAGGGTCGGCGGAGGCTTTAGGGAATTCGGCGAAGAGTCGGCGGAGAGCCGGCGGAGAGTCGGCGGAGGCTTTAGGGGATTCTGCGGAGGTTGTTATGAATTTGGGGAAGGCTTTAGGGTCTCTACCCGACCTTACCTCTAAACGTTTTAGCAGTACACAACTTTACCCTTGCCCCTTTTATCCTACCCAGCTATATCATACCCATCTTACATAATATACCATACAAAGTCCTGTGCAATATCCTATCCTATCTACCATACCAAACCCTACAATACCTTAACATATTATAAAATGCCATACTCTACCATACAATACCACGCCATACCTTCCATATCATATTATACCATACCATACAATACCATATCTTACCATACCATAACATACTATGCCATGCTCTATACTATCTACCATACCATACCTTACAATACCATACAAAACTGTACTATACCTTACCTTATTCAATCCTATACAACACTATCGTGTACTATCCATGAGTAAGGTAGGGTATGTAAGTAAAACAAGGTAAATGGTATAATATAGTCAGGTATAGTATGACATATTAAGGTATAATATGGCAGGTTATATAAGGGTGTAGTAGATATCCTAAAGCCTCCGCCGACTCTCCGCCGAACCCCCTGAAGCCTCCGCCGACTCTCCGCCGAATAACCCTAAAGCTTCCGCCGACCCTACGCCGAATCCCCTAAAGCCTCTGCCGACCCTCCGCCGAATCCCCTAAAGTCTCCGCCGAATAACCCTAAAGTCTCCGCCGACTCTTCGCCGAATTCCCTAAAGCCTCCGCCGACCCTCCGCCGAATCCCCTAAAGCCTCCGCCGACTCTCCGCCGAATACCTTAAAGCTTCCGCCACATTTAGTTTAGTCAACTTTTGCCAAGATACCATGACTTACCATGGTATATATATGTAGTAAAATCATGGCTTTACTTTAAAAGTCACTTACATAGTAATATGTTACTAAAATTATATAGAACTATTATATATTACAAATATTTAATATTGTTTTGCAAATATACCATCATTTACTATGGTATATATAAATATCGTAAGGTAGATACGACTTTACTGTGGTATTTAACACTTAACATTGCAGTTTACTACGATATTATTAAGAATATATAGCCCGGACATACTATAAGGCAAATCGGCCCAGTTGGAATCGGCCCACTTGGAACCGGCCCAGTTGTCCGATCGGCCCAGTTATCCGTGCGCCAATGAAATAACTTAACGAATTTTTCGTGAAATCGAGGCCAAGCCGTTTTCAATCGTCCATAACCTTTGCTACTCTTTTCCATTTCTAATTTATATTCAAATTCCATAAACACAAACTTGAATCTTTGATATTGAAGCCTTCTGTCACGTTTTGAATCCAATATTGTGCCTATATTAACAAAAAAAACACAAATCTTATCTATTACCAAAGTTAATCCCTTTTTTATCGAGTTTTTGCCATTTTAAAACAAATATTCTTGTTGAAGTTGATCAAAAAAGGTTGTAAGAACATGTAAAGTTTATAATCTACCCAATAAACTTACAAAATATCGATGTATTTACTGAAAAATACATCAAAAAATCGATAATTCCACAAACACTGAATAATCAAGAAAAACGAATTTTTAAACGAATTTTTGCCGCGTTTTTCGTTGATTTCTTGAATGTAACAAAACAAATAGCCTTAACTTTTCAATAATTTCTTTCTAAACATAATAAATTACTAATTTATATTATTTTAGTCCTCCGAGAACTATCCGCGACACCAGATCAACAAGATGTTTGGATTGGCACAGCCCGCGCAGTTCAACAGACGATTTTGGTGCCAGCTGAAAGATTGCGAATGAATTTGATCTCATTTATGACTCCAATTGTGGAGAACTGTTACCCAAATTTGGTCGAAAGAGTTGCGGATTCATTGATGGCTTTGATTAGCAACAGCAAGGATAACATGATCAGTGTTTTTGAATTTACTGCACTGTTTCAAGGCAAATTGATGGGGCCGTTTGTAGAGAATTTGGCACATGAAGGTAAGGGTTGGAGATCATTTTTTTATAAAGTGCAAAATAGCAAGAACTTTGTTTACAAAACGAAAAATAGCAAGAACTTTCTTTAAAAAACAAGAAATGACAAGAACTTTGTTGACAAAACAGAAAACGGCAAAAACTTTGTTTCCAAAACTTATAAAAAATTTATTTTTTAATTTTAGCATTCATAACATCTTCATTGGAATCAAAGAACATTAATCTGATCCGTGATGTTATGGATCGATTAAAGAAGGTACCAATAGTACCACCTTTGGAAAGCCTGCGATTTGTGGCAAAGGTACTATTGACTGATAGCCAGGACTGTTGTAATGCTGTTGGTAAGTTTTTTTAATTACTCTCTAACTTACCCTAGCTCATTCTATCTTACCCTACCTTTACCCTAACCTCTATTTTTCTTATAGCCCTACCAATGTCTTACTTTATCTTACCTTACTGTATATGTAACGTACTGTGTTATAAAAGCCTTACTAATCAAGTTGCATTTTAGAAAGATACCTAAACTACGCCTCAGGAGGGTTGAAAATCGATTTGGCAGCTAGCTTCTGTAGTTTATTGGAACATAAACAGCTTGAATCGAGGATGGGAGCTTGTCGAGCGTTGTCTATTTTGAAGGTAGGTTAAAGTGTACCTTAAACTGCATTCATAACAATTTTTTTTATCTATATCAAGTGTTTTACCTCTAGTACAACATGGTGAATATATGGAATTTACTATTTAAAAAAGGTTTACCGTAACGTTTTAGCAAGACAACACTTTGGAGCTCCTGGACTGCGTAGCCAAACAAGACGAGGATCCTAACGTTCGAAAAGAAGCCCTAGAGGCATTCGAATCGATCCAACGGTTTTTCGGTGATTACAACGAAGAAATAACTAAAATATAAGCATATCTCTACTTTATTTTACTATATCTAAACTTAAAAGTAGACACCACTTACATTTGTGCCATTCTTTATTACTACGCAAACTATTTTTGTAATTTTATTAGTTTTTTAAACGAATTAATGTTAACTTTACTTTGTAACTAAACTTGTATGTATATTATATTAGACGAGTGAGATATATCCACGGTATTGTAGCAAGAATTGTAATATAACATCTATTTTATTAGTTTTGTGATGAGGAAATAAATATATATAACTTTTAGTATGTTTCCAATAGAATATAAGGAAAGTCAATATAAGGAGTTATTCGATGGGCAAGGTAAGACATGAAAAGCAAGGCATTACATATGTAAAACGACATAGTAGGACCAGGCGAGGCAAACCAGGGCAAGTCATTACATAAAAAAGCATGGGCATGAACAGGTCAGGACGGAGCGAAGCAGGGCACGGTAAAGTAGGTGGGGTAATATAAGATAGATGAAGAGAAGGGTATTATATAAAAGAGCATAGGCATAGATAGCTCAAGGTGTGTCAAAGCAGTGCGTTATATGAAAGAGCATGGACAAGACAAGGCAGGGTAAAGCAAGCTCAGTTTGGTCGGTAGGGTAGGATACGATAGGGTAGGGTAGGGTAGGGTAAAAGTACTTTTTTTTATTTTTTAATTTGTTTATTAATCAAAGAATAGATTTTTTTGCTCTAAATGGCACGAGAGTTGCCTCCAAATTCGACTGGCACAACTTTGTCAGCATCTGTTTCAACTGGTGCTGCACTGGCTCGGCTAAAATTTTTAATAGTTTGTGAGACACTGCGTATTTTACAAAAAAAAGTAAAATTGTCTTAAATTTTTTTTTAAATTAAAAAAAATTAAATTTAAAATTTAAAAAAATTAAATTTTTTTTAAATGTCATATCTCACCTTTGTTTAGCATTTTTCAACTCTTCAGTAGATGGCACTCTGATTGGTACTGAGCTAACTCCTTTGATAATACGCCCTTTTGAATCGACAAGGTTAGTTTGTAGAATCGTGTTTACTCCGTAGTTACCGCTTGGTGGTAATGGACCCTAAAAACGTAATTAACATTGGTTACTGTAACTAAAAATTATTATATTTGTATATATTACAGTAACTATAACAGAAAAAGACTACAGTAATTTAAATTGATAACGGTTACTGTAGTTCAAACTAAAGGCAGTCCTAGTACAAACCAAAAAAAGTTTAGTATCTAAAACCAAACAAAGTTACAGTAACCTCAACCGAAAAAAATTACGATTAACTCAAAAAAAAGTTTCAACAGTGCAAACTAAGTGTAGTCACAGTACCTTAAAACACAATAAATTACAGTATCTTAAAAAAATATTGCAACACATCTTAAAAAAATTACAGTAGCTCAAAATAAACGTAGCTACCTTTACCTAAATTACAAGCTATTACAGTACCCTAAACAAAAAAGGTTACAGTAACTAAAATCAAAAAACTTTCAAAAATTTAGTAAGATACAGTAATTTATTCGTCATTTTCGGCAATTGCGTCAGCTGTTCGAAAATTGACACGGACACCAGGCAATACAGGAATTGTTTTTTGATGACCCTCAGGGCCGATACGTACCGTAACTCGTGGCGTTTTTGGAGCTGGCGCATTCTCGACCGCTTTGAAGGCTGGAGGCTTGGCTTTCTCTTGCTTTTTTGATGATTTAGACTTGGCAAACACTACTGGCTCTTTGAATTCTACCTGAAAATTAATTAAACTACAGTTCTTTAAACTAAAACTTGATTGACGTACCCTACTCTACAATAACACAACCTCACGCTAATAACATACCTCATTCTGCTCGCTGGTAGAATCTTGAGATTCGGCTGGAGTGTTTTGAGCTGCTACATGTCTGGAACGCAGTGAAATGTTGGGTGGTGCTCTAGCGTTAGCTGGAGGAGCCGGGATCTGAAATTCTTAAGTTAACATAGCTCCACTTTTGCTCTGTCTTCGTTATACTTTTGATTTACCCGTGCCTTACCTTTGCTCTACTCTTGCTGTGTCTTTGCACAGTCGTTCCTACGATTCTCCTACCCTAGCCGTGCCTTAGCTTTACTTTTGCTTTGCTTTGCCCGACCCTCCGTTCATACTCTTACCCTACCCATGACTCTATTCTATCCTTGCTCCATTCTTTTTTTTACTATTGCTCTACTCTTGTCCTATCTTTTTCATATCATTGTAAAACCCTTCTTTCTTAGCCTTTCTTCTTCTATCGATGCTTATCCTTGGCTTTTAGCTAAAAGATTTGTTCCATTCTTGTTTTACCCTAGCTCTACACTAACCCTATTGCCGAATTTTGTTCTACTATTTTTATTGCTACTTCTTCTATCTATTAAAAATATAATAAACAAGTTTGAAAAACCCACCTCAGCAACAGGAACCACCTTATCCTCGCTTTCACTTGCACCAACGGCCTTAGCTGGCCTCAATCCAGTCGGGATCTCTAACGCGAATGCTACACCAAGAAGCAGCAGTAGCAGACCGTAGCGCGCCATTGTTGAACGAATGTTATTCTGGCGACAAATGGTAGTTTTACAAATCCGGGTCAATTCTTATTTTCTCGTTGTTTTTTCATCGAATGATTAATCGACGGATATTACCTTTTTTTCCTAGAGGTCGTTGATCGGGTTAGGGGATTAATTATTAGTTTTTTTAGGGGTGGATCATGTATGTTTAAAAAAGATTGTTAAAAGTTTTTTATTTTTTAAAATTATTGGTTTGAAAAATTTTTTTTAAGTTGTAAAGAAAGTTCTTGCTTGTTCTTGTTTTGTAAAAAAAGGTTTTTCCATTTTTTGTTTTGTAAACAAATTTCTTGCCATTTTTTGCTTTGTAAAGAAAATTCTTGCTATTTTTTAGTTTGTAAAGAAAGTACTTGCCATTTTTTGTTTTGTAAAGAAAGTTCTTGCTAGTTCTTGTTTTGTAAATAAAGTTTTTGTCATTCTTTGTTTTGTAAAGAAAGTTCTTGCTATTTTTTTGTAGATATGTTTATTGCAAGTATAATATAAATTGTAAACAATTTATGGCTTATAAACAGTAGCTCCACCATCAACCTTCAGAAGTTCTCCAGTAATGAAAGACGAGTCGTCAGTGGCCAAGAAAGCAATGGCTTTGGCTGTTTCATCTATTTGGCCGACGCGGCCGAGGGGATGGGTCTTTTTACAGTTTTCAAACATCTGTAAATTAAGACGGCATTGCTTTACTCTTGCCTTACTTTTGTACTACCCTTGCCTTACTCTTGACCGTAGCCCAAAAGTAATGGCATATTAAGTTAAAAGGCTCACCTCTTTTTCTTGCTCTTCAGTAATTCCAATTCGCTTCATAAAGTTGGTGACAATAGCTCCAGGGCTAAAATTTATATTTTGAAGTTGATTTTTTATTGTTTTTTGTTTTGTAAAGAAAGTTCTGGTCATTTTTGGCTTTGTAAAGAAAGTTCTTGCCATTTTTTTCGTAAAGAAAGTTTTTGCCATTTTTTGTTTTGTAAAGAAAGTTTTTGCCATTTTTTGTTTTGTAAAGAAAGTTCTTGCCATTTTTTGTTTTGTAAAGAAAGTTTTTGCCATTTTTTGTTTTGTAAAGAAAGTTCTTGCCATTTTTTGTTTTGTAAAGAAAGTTCTTGCCATTTTTTGTTTTGTAAACAAAGTTATTTACATTTTTCAAAAACATCAAAAAGCTTTTGTTTTTTACACTTACTTGACAGAATTAACCCTAACGCCTTGCGAAGCCAATTCCATAGCCAAACACTTTGTGAATTGATCTAAAGCACTCTTTGACATACAGTAGTACACACAAGTTGGATAGGCATTCAGACCAGCAATGCTACTGATATTCACAATAGTACCTTTGGTCTTGATTAAGTGGTCCAGAGCGTGCTTTGTTAGTCGGAGAACACTAAAAATGAGTTTTCATTGATTGAAATGAATACCATACTCTCGCCACTCCTACTTGTGCCCTATTCTTATCCTGCCCTTGCTCTGCCCTTGCCTTACTTTTGTCCTACGCTTACCCTAACCCACGCTACCCTACCTTTTTACATTATTATCAAATTGAGTGTCAAAGTCTTCTAGGGTTTCAGAAGCATTTGGAAAGCTTGTCAGCACTGCCATGCCAGCGTTATTAATCAATGAGTCAATCTGACCAAACGTTTCGATAGCATGATCAACAATGTTTTTAGCTGTAGGTGGGTCAGTGAGGTCACCCAAGACGAATGTTACCTAAAAATAAATTTTACAACGTATCAAAATGTTTGTAGCCTATTATAATATTAGGTCTAACATTGTGTTCGAAGCAAATTTTAGCTCTGTATTGACTTACAAATGTCAAAAAAACAACAGTTTTTTTCAACCAATCTACAATATAAGCTTGAAAGCTTAAACATATGTTTTTCAAATCGCAAAGTATAAAAACTTTCAAAATTTAAAATTTTAATGCAACTTACATCCTCAGCACCCAATTTTTTACATTCTTCGACGACTTCTTTCATGGCTTCAGAATTACGACCGCTTAGCACTAGCCGCCACTTTCTTCTGGCCATTTCAAAGGCCGCTCCCTTGCCAATGCCGGATGTTGCACCAGTTATTATCATTACCTTTGCCATGGCTTTTTTCTGTAAATTGATTTTACAATTGAGTAGTGATTTTAATTCGCAATTTACAGATTGAACAAAGTAAAATATGAAATGTAATCAATGCCTCACAAATTGAATTAAAATTTAAAGTTTAAAATCTTGGTTGTTATAAGTCATGACAAACGCTATTACACAAAAATTTAATCAAAATTTGCAAAAACTATACATTAAAAATCAAAAAAAAGTTCTTCTTGCACAATCAGTTTTTGCTAAAAAGTACAAGTCGACTATAATGTTTAGTGTATCATTCATAAAGATTGAAGTATATACGTATATAGAAAGCGACAATGATTAGACTGAACATGTTCGTAATTTGTTTTTCAAAATTCATTTTTGATTAAATCAGACAAGCTAATGTGAAATGACAAAAAAAATGTTTTTGCAAACAAAAAAAATAAAAAATACAACAAAAAATTAAATTTTTTTACAGTTGTTTACATACAGGGTGCGTAAAAAGTGGTGTTACCGTATTTGTCCTACTCTACCGGCTTTTGCCTGACCTCATCCTCATTTTTTCTTTTTCCTTGCCTTACCCTTGACTTGCCTTTGCCTTAACTTTTCTAAAGCCTTAATTTTCCTCTACTCTTATATATTCTAGCCCTATTCTTCTTTACCCTTTTTATACCTTAGCTTCACATTATTCGGCTCATCGCTTTACCCAGCTGTACTCTAGTTCTACTCTAGCTTTACCTTAGCACGACCCTACACTAGCCCTGCCCTATCTTTGCCCTTTATTATTCATTGCGATACTTGTGCTCCACCTAATGGCTTTATCATTGCCATACTCTAGTGTTGCTTTTGTTCTGATCTTGCTCTACCTTACCCCTATCCTAATACAACTATTCAACCAAAAACTGTTTCTATGAATAACGTTTTTATGTGATCGTTGTTATACTTATTAATGCTCTTATGCGTATCAAAATGATAAGGTTCTCATTGTGTTCATTTTGTTTATTTATCGTTTTAAAAAATTTTTATTGATAGTAAAGACAATGGTGATTTCGAACTACGGCAAGTTGGAAAACACAAACTATGATAGTTATCTGAATACTAGTGATGATAATCAATATTTAGAGCAACAATAAGCTTGCAAATTGAATTTGGAAACATTGAAAGTTTTACAATTATTCCAAACTGAAAATGGCTCTTCCGCCATCAACCTTCAGCAGTTCTCCAGTAGTGAAAGACGAGTCATCTGTGGCCAAGAAGGCAATAGCTTTGGCCGTTTCTTCTGGATAACCAACACGGCCCAATGGGTGAATTTCTTCGCCTCTTTTTTAAGAACTGAAAATTTTTTTTTGATTTTAAAAATTTTTTAGTTTAAAAAAACTAGAAAAAAAACTAGTTTTTTAAAAAACATACCTGTTGATAAGTGTCTTCAGTAAATCCTGCCCGTTGTTGAAATTCAGTTCGAATTACACCAGGACTAAAGATATTAATTTTAGCTAGCCCTAGCCCAAAGCCCTAGCCCAAAGCCCTAGCCCAAAGCCCTAGCCCAAAGCCCTAGCCCAAAGCCCTAGCCCAAAGCCCTAGCCCAAAGCCCTAGCCCAAAGCCCTAGCCCAAAGCCCTAGCCCAAAGCCCTAGCCCAAAGCCCTAGCCCAAAGCCCTAGCCCAAAGCCCTAGCCCAAAGCCCTAGCCCAAAGCCCTAGCCCAAAGCCCTAGCCCAAAGCCCTAGCCCAAAGCCCTAGCCCAAAGCCCTAGCCCAAAGCCCTAGCCCAAAGCCCTAGCCCAAAGCCCTAGCCCAAAGCCCTAGCCCAAAGCCCTAGCCCAAAGCCCTAGCCCAAAGCCCTAGCCCAAAGCCCTAGCCCAAAGCCCTAGCCCAAAGCCCTAGCCCAAAGCCCTAGCCCAAAGCCCTAGCCCAAAGCCCTAGCCCAAAGCCCTAGCCCAAAGCCCTAGCCCAAAGCCCTAGCCCAAAGCCCTAGCCCAAAGCCCTAGCCCAAAGCCCTAGCCCAAAGCCCTAGCCCAAAGCCCTAGCCCAAAGCCCTAGCCCAAAGCCCTAGCCCAAAGCCCTAGCCCAAAGCCCTAGCCCAAAGCCCTAGCCCAAAGCCCTAGCCCAAAGCCCTAGCCCAAAGCCCTAGCCCAGAGCCCAGTCCTAGCTCTAGACCAGCGTTATTCAACTCTTCTAACCCTTTGTCAAAACAGCCTAGTTCTACTGCTATCTTAGCATAATTTTATCCTGGTTATTAAAGGTAAACGTGTTTCACACTCACTTGACAGAATTGACCCTAACGCCCTTTGGTGCCACCTCCATGGCTAAACATTTTGTGAATTGATCCAAAGCACTCTTCGACATACAGTAGTAAAATGCACCTGGCATTGGATTGGTGCCACAAACACTACTCACGTTGACAATCGTTCCTTTGCTTTTGATTAGGAAGGGTAGAGCTACCTTGGTTAGTCGAACAACACTAAAAAACGTTTTTCGTTAAACTTGTTTTGCGAGAGTACTGTAGAATTACTGGAGGGATAAAGTATAACTTACAATTAGGGTAGGGCAATTCTAGAGTAAAAGCTATGGTAAGGTGAAACTATAGACTATTGTTAAATGTAAAGTAGGTGAGATTTTGACCACGGTTAGGCTAATGTAAGATAAAAACAGGTCAACACACCTTTTAACATTCCCATCCATTTGAGCATCATAATCTGATAAATCATCTTTAGCACTTTCCAAGTTGCCTCCAACTAACATACCAGCATTGTTGATCAATGAATCGATTTGCCCAAAGGTTTTAATAGCATGACCAACAATCTTTTTGGCTGTGGTTGAATCAGTGAGGTCACCCAAGACGTATGTTACCTAAAAAAATTTCAAAACTGCAAGAATTTTGTAGCTCAACATTATATAATACTAGGTCCAACAGTGTGTTTAGAACCGGTTTAGCCTTTATGTTAGTTTAAATCGGCAAAGACAGCAATAACTTTCGACTAACCTACTACAATATAATCCTAAAGGCCTAACTTAAATTTTTAAAAACAAAAAAAATTTTACTTTTAATTTTAAAAATTTAAATGCTTCTTACTTCTTCAGCACCCAATCTCTTGCATTCTTCGACCACATGTTTCATGGCTTCTGAGTTACGACCGCTTAGCACTAGCCGCCACTTTCTTCTGGCCATTTCAAAAGCTGCTCCTTTGCCAATGCCTGACGTGGCACCAGTTATGATCATTACCTTTGCCATGGCTTTATTCTGTAAAATATACAATATAACCAGGATTGAACAAAAAGGGAATACAAAAAATTTTTGGCTTGTAACGTATACTGAAGGCATCGAATTTTGATTAATTCCTTTCTCCTTCCCCCATATAACTTAGCTATGAACGAATGGATTAGGATCTACTTTGGTATATAGTTTACTGTCAATTTAATGACAACACAGACAAAGCCAGGAACTAAAGGATTACCGTTAACAGACAAAAGACACACATTTTCAAAAAATTGAAACAGTTTACAAACCACAAAAACAATCACGTCTTACACATTCAAAACGATTAAATATCATTTTTCAACACTTTATATACCCTCCAAATTCGAGAAATTTCAGAAAAGCGCAAAGAAACGTTTAAGGTGTAGTTTAATATGCTGACGGCTTTAAAATTAGCTTTGAGCTTTGTAGTTTGTTCCGCAAACCACTGAAAGTTTAAACTCAACGCAACAAGTCACAAACTGAGAAAGCGAGAGATAATATTGTTGAGAAGATATATACTATTTGTAGGATAAAGTAAGGCAAAGAAAGGTAAGATAGAATAGGATAGTGTAGGGTAGGGTAGGGTAGGGTAGGGTAGGGTAGGGTAGGGTAGGGTAGGGTAGGGTAGGGTAGGGTAGGGTAGGGTAGGGTAGGATAGGGTAGGTAGGGTAGAGTAGGGTAGGGTAGGGTAGGGTAGAGTAGGGTAGGAAAGTACTTTATCATTTTTTAAACATTTTTCATTACCATCAATTTATTATTACTATTACAAATTAGAGGCTACAACACCCCATAAAAACAAAAAAAATTAAAAAATTTTTACAGCATAATGATCAAAACTCGATAGGAATAGGATAATCTCCAGTTAGACACGCCGTGCAATGCCCAATGCTTTTGGCATTCCTTGATCTCAATCCAGATTGTACTGCCTGTTTCAACCCTTCCACACTCAAATATTTGACTGAATCTGCCCCCAAAAGGTCACAAATTTGATCGACCGTTCGATTCGAAGCAATCAATTCCTTAGTCGATGGTATGTTGATACCCATATAACAAGCGTGTCGGAGTGGCGGCGATGCTATACGAAGGTGGACTTCAGTAGCGCCGTATTCTTTGAGTAGGCGGACGATCGTGGCCATGGTGTTGCCGCGAACGATGGAGTCGTCGATGAGGATGACTCTTTTGCCTTTTATGGCTTCTCGATTCACGCCGAACTTCTTTTCGACCGCCGATTGTCGCAGTTTGGAGGTGGGTTGGATGAAGGATCGACCAACATAGGTGTTACGTTGAAGGATTTGTTCGTAACGGATTCCACTCTAAATTTGCATTTTGTATTTTGGAAAGATTTTTTATGTTGTAAAAAAAGTTCTTACCATTTTTTGTGTTGTAAAGAAAGTTCTTACCATTTTTTGTGTTGTAAAGAAAGTTCTTGTCATTTTTTGTTTTGTAAAGAAAGTCCTTGCCATTTTTTGTTTTGTAAAGAAAGTTCTTGCCATTTTTAATTTTTTAAATTATAAAAACCCTTACCTCATCAGCAAATCCAATGCTGGCAGCAGTAGCCGAATCCGGCACTGTGCTTACAAGATCAGCGTCTACATAGGATTCTTGAGCCAAAATTTTACCGCATTCTTTCCGCACGGCATATACTTGTTGACCTTCTAAATATGAGTCGGCTCTGGAGAAGTACACGTACTCAAAAATACAGAATGAGCTTGTTCGGGGTACCATCTACAACAATGTAAATTATTTTATAGAAAGCTAGGGCTAGAGCTAGAACTAGAGCTAGAGCTAGAGCTAAAATTAGAGTTAGAGTGGGAGCTAGGGCTAGATCGTGAACTATAAGCTTGTACTATAACACCCTACCTGCCAAACAGACTTCACTCCAGTAGCACTAATCTCTACCATCTCTCCAGGCTCAACTTCACAATGAAATTCAGCCCATTGTGGAAAAGCACAAGATTCCGAAGCCGCAATATAGCCAATATCCGAGTCCCCAGCCTTCAACGTTCCAATACACAACGGCCGATTACCATACGGATCTCTGAGTGCATAAATCCTATCGTATGTCATAACCAACAACGAGTATGACAAATCCATAGCAGACATTGTGGCCGACAGTTCTCGTGAGATGTCGCCCTTGGCCCGGCCGGATCGGCATTTCATGTTTTGTGCTATTGTCTTTGAGATCATTTGGCCAATCAGTTCACTGTCCGTGTCGGTCGATAAGCCAATACCTTCGCGGAGAACGACTGCTCGTCTTTTTTGTGCGTTAACCAGTTCTCCATTGTGAGCGATGGCTATTAAGCCTACTGTGGTGTGAAGAAGGAAGGGTTGGACGCAATTTATGGCCGCTTTCATACCAGCTGTAGAGTAGCGGTTATGGCCAATTATTGCTACGCAATCTGAAGTATATAAAGTTATATTTATCTTATATAAAAACTTATATCTTATCTAACTGTATTCTACCTTAGCTCTAACTTAGCCTTACGCTAACTTAAAAATTTCTTAAAACGCGGTTTTCAATTGAACATACCATTAAATTTGGCCAAGTTTTCAGAGTTATACACATCTCTAACCAATCCATGCCCTTTTACAATTTCAAAATGGTTTTGTTCTTTACCATCGGTACCAACTAGTCCTGAACTCTCTGTGCCTCTGAAAACAATCTTATAGTGCAACACTTGTATAACAAATTATTTTACAATACAACTCCTCTGTAACAAAATATTTAAAAATTTTTAAATTTTTTTGTTCTACCATACCCTACCCTACAATATAATTTTGCTAGAACTAATTTTGTGCTCCTTTCACAACATTTCCAAAACTTTTTTTATTGTTTTGATATCTTTTTTAACACTTTGTAATATCAATAATATAAGAACAACATACCTATGCTGTAACTTAGTTAGTCCATCAACAGCCCACGCTCCAATATCACCAGATGGCGTGTTTTCACCCAGTAAAATGCCTAGTATACCGCACATTTAAGACTGTATAATTTTAAATAATGTAACAAAAGGTGGTGAAACGAAAATCTAAAAAAAAGTTTTAAAACTTTAAAAATTTAGTAAATCGTAGCAAACTAATTTTTTATACTTAAAATATTTAAAGAACACGCTATAAACAAAAATAACCCCACTCTAATTAATGTTTAGGTTATGCTAACAAGATTAAAAGCTAAGTCAAGTCATTAGCGATTATATCGGTTGATCATAACGACTTAGATTTACAATGCGAATATCTTCAAACCACCTTGTGTAATCGGCACGTGGCTTATCAATCGTGTCATCTTTATAATGAAACCAGAAAGATTGAAGATTGAACCGTAAAAACACATTAATAAAAGTCGTTTTACCCTACTCTACCCTACCCTATCCTACCCTATTGTACACTTACCCTATCAAACGCTATCTTATCCTTTCTCTACCTAATTTTACGCTCGTCATGCCCTTACACTCCATAACTCTACTCCAACTTTACTCAACTTTACCGTTACTTTACCTAACACTACCCTTAACCTACTATTTATACTCTACTCGTCTCTATTCTTACTTTACCAAAGCCTACTCTCACCTCACGCAACGGTACTGTTACTGTACCTAAAATCTTACTCTAGCATTAAAATTGCGCTAGACATACTAAAATTTTGTCTCGAAAACCCCAACAATAAAAGCACCTCAACCTGCTCTTAAAAAATTTCTCGTCAACGAAAAATTTCTTCTCACCAGATCAAGTTCGCAATAATAATTCCATAAAAGCGTCGTCAATCAACAAAGTTATTCTTTCTGTCAAAGTTCTTTTTTCAATTTCTGTGCCGTCTCTTCAGAATTTATTGTTGAAGAGGTGTTTCTTATAAGTTATTACAACTTAAAACCAGACGAAATGAACAAATGTGATGCGTGTTAACAATAGACGCAACTTTGCAAATTGTAAAAAAACTTTTACTGATTTGAGAAGAATGTGTAGCTTGTTATAGTTCATTTGATTTTTTAATTTTAAGTTTTTACGATGACAGGATTTGTAATCAAAACTACGGCATAGTTAGTGTACAGTGCTGCGGCCCATCTCTGAAAACTTTTTAAAACGTTTGCGCTTATGCCAAGCCGCAAAAGGGGGAAACTCAGAAACCGATTGACTATGTTATAACTAGTACTGTATGTTACTATTTTTAGTTGTTGTTTTAGTTGTATTTGTTGTAAAAATAAATATTTGATTAAAAAACCATGTAACAGAACTTGTGGCGTACGCTTTAAAAGTAAATGCGAACGGGCTGGTGTTGACTTGATCAAAATAAAACATGATTCAAGCTTGAAAATTAAAGCCCAGCCCTTGCGTTAAGTTTTGGAAAGTCGAGCCGTAGCTTAAATTTAAAAAATACGGGCCCGGGTTAAAAATTCGTCTTGGCTGTTGATTATGCTAATATTTAAGTAAGGTTAAGAAAAGTTAGAATTTGGTTGATTATAGATAATATAGAGGAAAGAAAGCTTAGGATAGCCTCAACGCAAGAACAGAAAATGACTTGAGTTTGGGTATGGCATGATTAAGAGCTAGGGCAAGAGTAGGGTGAAGCTAAAACAGAACTGCCGCAGAACTACGGTAGGTTTTAGGGTGGGGTATTGTAAGGATAATAAGATAAAGTAAAACCAAGATAGCACTAGAGAAGGGGTAGGGTAGAGATTCAGTAAAGCAGACTAAAACCACCGTAAGACTAAGGTCAACCGTAGATAAGGCTAAGAGTGAGCTACTACCGTAAAGTGTAGGGTTTTCATTATCATACTAATTTTCTTTGAAATTGAAACAAAAAATAATTTATTGAACATCAAAAATAAAAAAATAAGTAAATTAATAATTAATAAATATTTAAATTATCATTGATTTTACCTTTCATTTCTCAAAGCAATTGTTTGATAGAAGCAGCAATAGCCCCACAACCAGACCATCCATACCCAACGATGAACTCCATATAATAGGTCAAATGATCAGCTACAGAATACAAATCACCGTATTGATTGCTACAATCACAACTTTCAGCAGGACAAGTCTTATACTCAGAGATGTTTGCCATGCCATACTCATACCACACCTCTTGACTATGATGAATATAGTCAAACAACCGAAGTGGTGGCAAATGTGGCACAATGTCACGCTGGTTCACAACTCTATAAGTGTTCGGCACCAAGGCGTCATAGTTGTTGGCATATTCAGAATCTCCGGTTCTAGGCTCACCAAATGTGATGATCAAGATACGATCGGAGGAGATGTTTTGAATTTTTACCAATTCAGCAGCCGAAATAGAAGCCAAAGCACCGCCGAGTGAATGACCGGTAATCCAGATACGGTAGTCTGGGTATTGGTTGGCTAAGGCCAAGACTTCTTCGTTTAGGCCGGCGGTTTGAAGATTTTCGTAGACACCGTAAAAGTATTCGGAGACATTGCCACCTATTTTGGCTTCAACCATGGGTTGAAACGCGGTTTGATAAGTTTCGGTTATTAGCTGGAAGAAGCCGGCTGTTCCTCTGAAAGTAATAATATGTATTAAAAGTCAGATTAGGAAAACGATAAACGATAAAATAAAGCTAATACAAAGCTAGTCTAACTTGCAAAACCTCACCTATAAGCCAAAAAGACGACCTTATCCTCATGAGCTACGCCAGTGAAGCCATAACATAACTTGTAATCACCAAGGTCTACAACACATTTAGAAGCTACACTTTTTGTTACATTAGCATCGACAAACACGTTGTTTACACACTTTTCCGGCCAAGTGGAGTAAGCAGCAGCGGCCATTGGTAAGAATTTAGTTTTGGCCAGAGTGTCATTGAATTGGGCTTTGGCTACTGTGGCTAGGGCCAAGAGGGTAAAGATTGTTAGAAGCATTACTGTAATTTTTTACTGTAGTAAGGTTGAATTTTAGTTACAAAGTATAACGTAGATGGTATGATAAGGTCTGTAGAAGGTAGTTAAGTTTTGTTACAGTACTTTTTGTTACTGTACTCTTTGCTAAAGTACTTTTGCTACAGTACTCTTCGTTACAATAATAGTATTCCAAACAATTGTAGCTCACTCAGTAACGCCGTCACAACTTAACTCAGTAGCTTCGTTACAATAACTTTGTAACTTGATGTTAATGTTTACTACATCTTTTGCAGCTTTATATACTGTTGTTTCAGTAGTATCTTTGTATCATAGTTTATGTAAACCCAAGTATTTGCATTAATAATCAACACGTTGGTGTTCTGAACATCGCGTGCGTTTGCTTTTTCACTTATTAATACCTAAAAATACGTTTGCATGCAGCTTTGTTTTATGTTTTGGCTTTGTTTTCTAATCCATCATAATGTTATTCACGCTGAAGAACGATAATATTCACGCTGATACTTGACGATATTAATCACAGTGATACTTTAAACATTTACTAATTTATTCACGCTGATACCTACAACACATCGCTGCAAATGCTTGGTATTTGAATAATTTAAACAAGATATTTGAATAAATTAGCCAGATTTAGAGTGTTTAACTTGTAGTGTGTACCATGTACCCAAAATGTATCATAAACATTGATCTTAAAGCTTTTTGACATGTGATAGAGGATGGAAGCATCGTGGTTAACACGAGTTAACAAAACATCATGGTTAACATGAGTTTACCAGGATTATATTCGGGTCCAAAATTCATATTATACTGTTTGAAAAGCGAGCAAAAGCATTCCAAACAGAAGTTATTTTTTTTTATTGACTTTGTGCCTTTAATCTGATGATTTGTATTTTAGCCTTTAGCTTTTGGTACTGTATGCTGGTCACACCGCCTATCTTCTTGTAAAGGATAACACTTTGTTATAAATGGCCCCACCTTTTTATAAATGGTTCCGTCGTCTTAGAATTACTACCAGCTTATTAGTTCTGCTTCGTTGTTTTAGAAGTTATCCCACATTCTTACGTATGGTCCCATCATCTTAAAAATCGTTCTTTGCCAAAGTACCTCTTCTTACTCTCCTTTACTCTACCATACCCTACCCTACCATACCCTACCATACCCTACCCTACCCTACCCTACCCTACCCTACCCTACCCTACCCTACCCTACCCTACCCTACCCTACCCTACCCTACCCTACCCTACTCTACCTTACCCTACCCTACCCTACCCTACCCTACCCTACCCTACCCTACCCTACCCTACTCTACCTTACCCTACCCTACCCTACCCTACCCTACTCTACCTTACCCTACCCTACCCTACCCTACCCTACCCTACCCTACCCTACCCTACCCTACTCTACCCTACCCTACCCTACCACAATCTACTCTACCAACCCTATCTCACATTAGCTTACTCAACTCTACCTTGCCGTAACATATCCTACCGTCAACTGCCAAAATTTTATTTCTGCCTATACACACTAGCAAGCTATCAATGTCACAATAAATACCAATAAAAAGCGGCATTCAGCTCTATTTCTCGTCTTTCAAGCTTCCACTGTAGTCATCGTCAATTTCGTGGTGAGCATGTGCTGGGCGTGGTAATTTCTTGGGGGCTGGAGTATTCGCTGGACTCTTCTTTTCCTTGTTTTTTCGTTTCGACTCGGTGACTTTTTTCAAAGCTGGCATCGCGGATTTGGTCTGGCCCTTCTCTGTTTGGTCCACTTTTTCCGTTTTATCTGGCTTTTCCTTCTCCACTGACTAGAATTTTCAAAAATTAGTACCAAAATCTTAAAAAATACTACAACTATGCAAAACGGTACCAAAAAGTACCAAAACCACTTTTAAAATTTCACAAAAAAACCACAAGTACACAAAACGGCACCAGAAAAACAAAAAAGTACCAAAAGAACCAAAACTGCCAAAAAAATAAAAAAAGTACCAAAAACACCCAAAACAGTACCAAAAGCTGAAATATTACCAACTCCGAAAAAAAGGTACCAAACCCCCAAAAAAAGTACAAAAAGCACCAAAACTTGCATAAAGATTCAAAAAAGTACCATAAATGCCGAAAATAGTACCAAACCCCTGAACTGTACCAAAACGCCCATAAAAATACCAAAACCCCCCTTACCGTTTCTTTCGGTGACGTGACAGTTTGATTCGTCACTGTACCAGTCGTAGTGGTACCAGCAGAGTAGTTCTTCCTCACCACACTGCCTGTCTTCTTCTTTTTTGTGATGGTCTTACCCTTCCGTTTGGTCGATTTATTTTCCGGTTTTTCCGTCTTCTCATCGCCAACTTTTTTAGGCCAGACTGCGGCGTTTCGAAGCTCGGTGAATTGTTGAAGCATCTCTTCGTGCTTTTGTTCGACTTGACTTTGGATTAGGGGCTCTACGCCGTTCACGGCTTTTAGGACGTCCTGGAATTGAGATATCAAAGTTTGCTATATTGTAACAGAAAAGTAAGGTAAAATCATAACTTTTAAAACAATAGTATCAATGGCTATAAAAAGCCCTCATTTTAAAATAAATGATACCACGGTCCAATAATTAGTCCTAAATTTCTAAAACTAGTGCTAGTTTCCTAAAAATAGTCCCATCTTTTTAGAAATAGTCATATATACTAAAAAAAATGGTTTCTTCTCCACAGAAATACATAGTACCACCGCCTAAAAAATCGCCGATACTTTAATAGGCGGTCCCAAATTTTGCAAATAGTCCCATCTTCTTAGATTTCTATCACTAACGAAATAATCCCATCTTCTTAGAAATAGCCCAATTTTCTTATAAATGGTCCCATCTTCTTAGAAATGGTACCGTCTTCTTAGAAATGGTCCTATCTTCTTATAAATAGTCCCATATTCTTAAAAATAGTACCGTCTTCTTAGAAATGGTCCCATCTTCTTATAAATAGTCCCATCTTCTTAGAAATAACCCCTATCTCCCCTTTTCGAATAAAATACTTACCTGAGTCCCGTCACTAGTACCGGCGTTTTTGATTTGCTCCTCGATAAACGACTTCAATTCGCCAACCTTTGCTCGATTCTTCGGCTCTTCAACCCAACACTTTGATTCCACAAACTTTTTCGCGTCGTCTGACATGGATGAGGGTAGAGAAGGCATACGGATCTTTCGAATCGCTGTGGCAATCTTCTTCACCTCCCAATCACGCCATGGGCTTTCGCCATTCGAATAGATTTCGTAGAGGAAGATACCAAAGGCCCTAAAATGAAATGTTTAAAGTTTTTTTTGCCATGCTATACTCTTACATTTTCTTACCCTACCTTACCCACCCAAAAAAACCCTACCCTACTATACCTTACCACACAATAAGCCCAAGATCGTAACCTACCATATGTCACAGCTCAATGAATGCTTTGGTTTGTGAATCAAACACTCCGGAGCCATCGCTCTGATAGGGATGTTCTGTTGGGTCAGGATCTCAGGTTTTGTTTCGTTCAATTCGTCAGGAGTTGCTGACAAACCAAAGCCAGACAACTTTAAATGACCATAATGACTGACATAACACTTGTCGGCCACTACTTGTCGGTGAACAATGTTTCTAAAAAACGTAAGCATAGAAAGTAGAGTAAGGTAGGTTAGGGTAGAATAGGCTAAGATAAAGCAGGGTACTGTAGGATAGAGTACGGTAGAGTACGAAACGGTACGGCAGAGGCAGGTAGTACAGAAAACCTTACTGTTCATGAACATAAACCAGAGCATTCGCAATTTCCAACGCAAACCTAAGTCTGTCAGTGTCCGAACATGATTGTCCATGAAGCAACAAAAATTCTTTCAACGTTCTTCCTGGAAAAAATTCACAAACGAGTTGAACTGGAAGCTCTGTGCACACTAATCCGTATACCTACAACAGACAATTAAAAACTTTATAAAACTCAACTTTTTATCGGTCAAAAAGTTTATAGAACCCAATATTGCAAAACACAAAAGCCTAAGGCTAAAGCTAGAGCTAAGGCTAAAACACAAAAAGTAAAAAATAAATAAAAACCCACCAAAGTCAAATTCAAATGCTTCAAATTGACCAGGCGTTGGCATTCATTAGACAAAACTCGATTCGTTTTCTCAATCGATGCTCCAGCCAATCCTTGAGAAGTTGTTCTAATCAGTACTTCAATCTTTTCGAACAGTCTTCCATTGAACGTCTTGTTGTAGTCTAAAAATTAGGCTTGTTTTTCATCGGCTATGGCATTTTTTTCGGGGGTAGATAATGTTTTTTAATTTTCAATAAAAAAAATTTTTTCAAAATCCTCAAAAAAAATTAAATTTAAAATTTGAACTTACGAGCATCCCCTTCGACAGCCGAGCCAGTGATAATGAAGCTTTGTGTAGGATCCAGGGAGGAGTTTCCATTGGCTTAGCCAATCTTAGCTTTTCCACGCCCTTTATCAGTTTGTATTTCTTTTTCGACAATTCTTCCACCATTTTTTTGACTCCAGGAAATGTCTAAAATTCGAAAAAAAATAAATTTTACCGGTCAAAAAATTCATAGAACTCAATTTTTTTCGGTCAAAAACTTCCTAGAACACAACTTTTTATTAATCAAAAAGTTCATAGAACTCAATGTTGCGAAACTCAAAAAAAGGGCTGTTTCACAAATTCTTCAAAACTTCAATTTTAAAAATTAAACTTACCGTATTGACTGAGCTTATCTTAATTTCAGTATTGTCAATCGTAGCCGCTATGATGTACTTGGACTTCTCTCCCATCACCACAATCTCCAGTTGGTCTATGAAACTTATGCCAAAATCACCAGCGGTTTTTAGGTATGGCTAGAAATTTAAGAAATTAAAAAATTGTAGTTTATCTTGTCCTACCCTACCTTATTTTACTTTACCCTACCCTACTCTACCCTACCCTACCCTACCCTACCCTACCCTACCCTACCCTACCCTACCCTACCCTACCCTACCCTACCCTACCCTACCCTACCCTACCCTACCCTACCCTACCCTACCCTACCCTACTCTACCCTTTCAAATACTCTTACCATAAGCGACTTGCCCTGCACATAGCCAAAGAACCAGGATTCATTGCCACACTCATCAAAGACGGCCTTCTGATTGATAGGGTTCTGCTCCAAGGAATTGCCATCAGAGGTCTTCATGGTTTCCAATAGATCCTTCTCCTTGTCCTTCGTCGTCTTCTTCGATTTTTTTTTGAACATTTTTGGCTTCCAGCTCTAAAAAAGAATGGCACTTAATTTTTAAAAATTCAAAAAATTTTCAAAAATTTTTAGAAATTACAATTTTTTAAATTAAAAACCTCGTTTAGAAGTCAAAAACATTTTAAAAACATAATCACCCAGCACTTTCAATATCCTTCGTCCGAAAACGTTGGTTCTTGATAGTACGAACAGGGTACGACTTCAGCACGACGACAATCTTGACTAACAAAATCGACGATTTGTCGCCAAGAGAAAAACCGACCGTTTGGCTTAGCAAATATTCAAAACTGAGCATTTTTGACAATTTGTAATGACGTTTTTTCCCAGAATTTGCATAATTTCAAAATTTGTAAAAAAAAATTTTTTTTGAAAAAAATTATTTTTTTTAAATTTGATTAAGTCATTTCTGATGTCCGTATAGTACAAAAACTGTTTTATTATGATTTTTTTCCATTTCCACAAAATTTCCTCCGAGAGAAAAAACTTGACCCAAAAAATAAAAATCAGGACAACACTTGACCCAAAATTAATTTTGACGCCTGAAAGGCACCAAAGAGCAAAAACATGAAACTCCAACTGATTAGTATTGACAAAGTTCCAATTTTTTAGCGTTAAAGTGTTTATATTATAGTACATAAGGCAGTTAATCAGTGTATTTTAGCCTGAGAACTAAAGGTTTTTGGAGATTGGTCGATTCAACTAGGACATTGGTGCCATTCGGCAAATCTAAATCGTGTAGATTCTTGTTGAGATTCCGTTTTGACATTTCTTTCATCTCTGGCATTAAATCGCTGTCGGTGAAAATTACTTTGCCTCCGGCATAGATTCGAGGTTGCTCGACTTTGCTGAAAAATATATTAATTTAGGTAACAAACTGTCAACTTTAAGCTAAAAAGCCGATTTTAAGTAACAAATTTGTCGTTCCAATCAAAAAAATCAAATTTTAGGTAACAAAACTCACTAATTCGCCTCCAAAAGCTTAATAAACTCTTGCAAGGTTTGTCCCGTAGCCACATTGACCAACTCCACCTTGTCCTTACACACCAAACACTCTGGATTCCTTTCCAAACTGACAGCATTAAAATTGGCACCTGTTACATCTTGAAAGTTGACATAATTGTCCAACGTCCTCGACACATTGGAAGCCAATTTAAAAGCTTCTAAAGCACAAACACCAGCTATAACGGCATTGGTTGACGCTACAGCCGGGATGATTCGTTTTAACACCCCCAACGTCAATCTCATCGTTACCCCGCCGATGTTAAACTGATCCGCCCTTTCTAACGCCTTCTGGTACACCCATTGTACATGTTCTGGATTGTCTGCATCTAAAGCATCTCCAGAGAATGGGGCTTCTTTGTCCCATAATACCACCTTGATGTACTCTATACAATGCTCGGGCAGTCTTGGTATGTTGGCTATGGTGCACATAGGAAAGTTGACTTGGGGAGGATAGAGATCTAATGTACATTCTACGCAAGCTGTCATGTGAGGTAGAATTACTCTGGCGTTCCCTTTAAAGCCTTCTGTTCCTCCATCGATTAATGGAATAATCGTGGCTTCGTTTATATTACCCTCTCCGTCGAATTCAACCAAATCACACTGAAAAGATAACTTATATTAACAAAAAAAAACTATAGGAAAAGTTATATGAAGTATTAATAAACAAAAGGTTACAGTTAAAACAAGTTGCAAACAAAACAGTTGATGAACAACTTTTATTTTTTATCTACTATAATATTTTGCTCTAAATATTATCTAAATTAACTTGAAGCCAAAAGATCTCACGTTAGAAAGCACTCCCTATCTTATATCTATCAAATAAATACCAATTAAACCTAAAGAAATCAAAAACCACCTTACAATCATTTGATTTAGCCATCTTCTAGCTTGAATCGAGTCCAATCCGCATATGACAATCGGAAATTGCTGGTAAAAGCTAGCCGGTTTGTCCTGAATCTTGCAATTGTGTCTAAACATAAAAAAACAATAAATTTTGATAACCACTAAGACTTACGCAGTAACAGTAACTCCATTCACACGTTTCATCGTAAATTCGGCCGCTACTTCAGCTTTACTCCTTCCAATGTCGCTTTGCCTGAATAAAAACTGTCGATTTAGGTTAGATACGTCGATTGTGTCCATATCAATAATATCAATATTCCTGAAGCCACTCAATGCCAGATCCTTCAAGATCTCACATCCTAAACCACCTGCACCTACCACAAGGATCTTACAGTTTTGGACTGTTTCAAAGTTCTGAAAAATTACAAAATTTATTAATAGAAAAAAAACATTACTAAACATGCATTTTTAAAAATCAACCAGATATATTTTCTATGGTACCCAAAAAACCAGCTAAAAAATCGTTTTACCTCAATACCAGGCTGAAAAGCTTCATGAGCCAAATCTGATTCACGGTTGGTCAAGTATAATATATTCTTCCATCTTTCACCTTCCATTTTATCGACCGATACCCTTTGTTGCATCCTTGAGCACTGAACAAACCAATGCTAACTACAACGACGCAAAAATATTATTTTCAAGCCGTAATTTCGTAAAACTTGGCTTTCGCAGGCTGCAACTTCTTATTTCTTCTGAAAATTAAAATCGGACGCAATTCGCCGGGTTCGTTTTTCTTGATTTTCTTTTATTTTTTAGAGGATAAAACAATGTTTTGTTGGTTTATTGTTATAACAACTTTATTTTGATGGTGTTAATTTATTAAAATTAAAATTTTAGGTTTATATCTTGTTATAATGGGCAAAAATAAGAGGAAAGCGTTTGGAGCCAAGTCAAAAGACGGTCAGAAAAAGCAGAATCCCTTTGATTTGAAGTTTACAACACAGAAACGTCAAGTAAATATTTGTTTTATTAAAAAAATTATTGGTTTGTGTATTTCAATTGTGCTTTGTTTTGATTAGTATGATGTTTGCAGATTATCGAAGCCAAATCAGCTAGTGGAGCTCCATTGATTTCCAAAAAAAGGGCTTTCGAACAAAGAAAGAAGACTTTAGGTACCGAGTTGAGAAATCTTGGAAAGAAGAATCTGGTAAGCCATTTTACTTTGTGTTTTATATTTTTAGAAGATTAATATTGCTATGGATCATGAGCTACGGTAAAATTACTGTAACTTTGAAAGTTTGATTAATCTTTAAATTTTTGTTTTGAGTTACTTGCCCAGAAGCTACGTTGTGATGAAATTACAAGTTTTTAGTTACTTTTTGAAAAGAATTATGAAAAAACTGTTGTTTCATCAAAATTTATAAAATATAATACTCTTTTAATGGTTCCAGATAAAAGATCGTCGTCTTGGTCAACATAACGCTAATTTAACGGTTGCGGAGAAAGCTGAGAAGCGTTTTGTAGCTCAACGAAAGCATATTTTTGCCAAAAGCAACAAATACTTGTTGAACGATAAACCTGAAGATGATCTACAACATTTGTCAAAGAAATTGACTGAAACCGAAAAGTTTCAACGTCAAATGGTGGAGAAAGACGGGGAGGATGAAATTGACGAGAAGTTATTTACTGCTGCGCATTTTGGAGGTGGCAATATTGTGAATACAAGGAGGGATAGGGAAGGAAAGAAGTTGTCAAGGTGAATATGTTGTTTTTTGTTTCATTTTTAGGTTTTTTGAATTTTTTGACGGAGATGGTTTTGTTTTTATTACAATGCATTTTTTGTTCTATTGACAGAAAATTTTTTTACAAAAACTATTTTCTAGGAAAGAAATGCTAGAACAGATCATACAACAGAGCAAAGAAGCTAAAGCCATTAAAACGAAAGAACGAGAGCTTCAGTTTGAAACTTACCAGAAGTTGGACGAACAATTTGACGAAATTCGAAAATCCGGCGAACTGGAATTCGGCCGAGTTAAAGAAGCAGAAGATGATGATTACATGCAACTATACCTACAACTCCAAAATGACCCCAAGCGAGCTGTAGCACTAGATCCAAAGAAGGACCCCGAAAAAGCTGCCGAATATGAAGCCAAGCGAATCGAAAAAGCCGAAAATGAGCGAATGAATCGGATGACAATCGAAGATGACAACTATATTCCACATGAAAGTGTTGATGATGATCGGAAACGCGAAAAGAAGGACAAAAAGAAAGTGGCATTTGAGTTGGTATACGATAAGGATGGCAAATTGATAGTTGAAGACGAGAAGGAAGAGTTGAAGCCAGAAAAGAAACGAATGAAGAGTGCTGATGAAGAGGAAATGGGGTATACTTTTGATAGTGATGATGAATACGATCGGCTGATAGAGGGAGATGAAGGGACGGAAGACGAAGAAGAAGATCTGGAGGGTGAAGACGATGATGAGGAAGAAGGAGAAGATGCAGATTCGGTGTTGGATGGTAGGCTTTTAGGGTGTATAGTTATTCAGGTCGGAAAAAAAGTATTGTCGTTGATTTATATTACTTTTATGGTGAAAAACGACAAGAATTTTTTGGTAACATGACATGTTGAAAGTTCTTCATTTAAAAAACAAAAAATGGCAAAAACTTTCTTTACGTACAACATTTTTTTTCAGAAGAAGAAGGTGAAATGGAAGTAGATGATGATGAAGAAGAAGAGGAAGAAGCCGAAGAAGAAACAAGAAAAGGCAAACTAAAAGTGCCAGCATCAGAAGAACAAGTAGAGCAAAGACTAGATGAGATACCATTAGACGAATGGGTCCAACATTTTAATCAAATTATCAAAGAAAACAATGCCAAGAAGTCTGATCTGAATAAAACAAAACTGGCTAAGATTTGTGGCTGGATGATTGAGGTCTTCATAAAACGGTCGGAAGGCTCAACCAAACCTAATGAAACTTCAAAAGCGTTGGCTGAAATCATCTGTAATTTGGCCAAGGTATGTGATATTGTTGTAGGGTGGACAAGAAGCTCTGTAGTCATTTTATATTTATTTTCACGAGGAAAGGCGACAAGACTCTTTTGATTACTTAAAATTGCAAAAACTTTCTTTACAACATAGGTAGACATGGGGAACGGGCCGGGCTTGAGCAAAATTTGGGCCGGGCCTGAAAATCAAACACTGGCCCGAAAAGCCCGGCCCGCTTGCACGTAAAAAAATGTTCGGGCCGGGCCGACTTTGAGAAAAAATTAGATCGGGCTGGGCCTGAAAAATGTGTTCATGTCTAAACATTTGAAATGGCAAAAACTTTTTACAAAACAAAAAATGGCAAGAACTTCTTTTACAAAACATAAAATGGCAAGAACTTTCTTTACAAAACAAAAAATGGCAAGAACTTTCTTTACAAAACAAAAAATGGCAAGAATTTCTTTACAAAGCAAAAAATGGCGAGAACTTTCTTTACAAAACATAAAATGGCAAGAACTTTCTTTACAAAACATAAAATGGCAAGAACTTCCTTTACAAAACGTAAAATGTAATTTTTTTGCAAATACATTAAAATGTATCTTATATTATTGCATAAATTGTATTATTATTACAGAATTCGCCAAAAGAATGTGCAGAACGGTGCAAAGACATCATCTCCGACCTATATTCAACGCTAAAATTGGACAAGAAATCAAATCAACACCACTTTTTTGTACTCGCCTTTTTGAGGTTGATAAGAACGTTGTTCACGGTGTCAGACAGAGTACATTCCGTCTGCTTGCCGTCGATTGTAATCGCAACGGATGTTATTACCAAAACAAGGATTTATGAACCATTGGACTGCGCCAAGGTCTTATTATTCTGTGATGAATTGGCTACATGGTTTGAAGAGTCGAAAAGGTATGGGGTTGGGGTAAAATACGCGGATCTTTAACAGAAATTGGGCGGTCGAGGTAAAATATATTGATCTTTAACAAAACATGAAAGGGCGGGGTAAAATATGCGGATCTATAATAGAAATTGGGCGGTTGGGGTCAAAAATGCGGATTTATAATAGGAATTGGGCGGACGGGGTTAAAAAAATTTAGAGGGCGTGGTAAACATTTTTTGATTAGTTTGTAGATGGGAGGGGGGGGTTGAATTTTTTTTTGTTAAGCATTTCTAAAATAACTATGGGGGAGGGTTATAAGGCCGGTTTTTATAACTTTTTGTTTTGGGCGTGGTAAATTTTTTTTTTGGTAAAGGAGTGGATTTTTTAGATGGATTGACTGAAAAAGTAGCTTTAGAGAGGCGGAATAAGGTTTTTTAAACTTTTTTTTGCGTTGGGCGGGGTAAAAGCTTCTTGGGTGTAGTATTTTTTTTAGGAGGGGGGGGTGGATATGTTTTATTTTTTTTTGCTTATTTTGTCTTTTTTATCGTCAATGTTCCCGTTATTTTGCAAAAAGTCAGCGAAATTTAACGTTTTATTTGACGAGAAATTGAATATTGACAGTTTTGACTGATTACTAATACTAACTTTATATTGGTTTTTAAGTTGGTACACACTAACTGTTACATTTTTAAGAAATTTATGTTTATAAAAAACGTATACGGAACCTCTATCGTATTTTACAACTTTCAAAATGAAAAAATAATCATTTTTTATCAAGTTTTTGGATTTTTTTACAAATACTTCGTTTCAGGTATTGCCCAGAAGTGTTAAACTTCCTACAAGGCACTTTGATAATGGCGGCCAAATCATCGGCCGCTTTTCCGAGTGGAGGTTTTCCGATTTCAGAACCGTATAGGTTTATGTTACACATTAGTGCTAAAGTACGTTTTTTTGGATTTTGGGTAGGGCGTGGGTAAGGTAGAATAGGCGTTGGCAGAGCAAAATGGGGTAGAGAAGGGAATAGTAAGGAGTTAAAGTAAGATAGAGTAGGCAAAGTAATGTAGTGTAGGGTGAGGTATGGCAGGGAAAGGTAGAGTAGGCCAGGGTAATGAAAGGTCGGGTAGGGTAAGATAGAGTAGGGTAAGGTAGAGTTGGTTAGGCTGCCGTACGGTATTGTAGGGTAAGGTATGGTAATGCAGGGTAATATAAGGTAGGCAAAGATCTTTTTTTGTAGAGTTCATGATGATAATGACAATTTGTATTTTAGTCCCGGCTAAAATCGATACCCCCAATGTCGGTAAATGCCATATTTTCGGCCGCTGACTCGAAAGAATTGAACCAAAGTCGAACATTGGACTTTCAAGCCATCAGACTAACTGTCAGATTGGTCAAATTCTTCTCGGAATTATATCAAGAACATACTGAAACATACTCTGTTATATTTAGGTAGGTTTAAAATTTTATTGGTAGGAGTAAATAATGACATTTTATAGCTAAAAATTTCGGAAAATTGAATTTTTTGGTTAAAAATCGGCTTTGTTTTGGTATTTTTGGCTGGAAGTACCTAAAATTTGATGTTTTTGACATTAAAATTTTTGAAATAGTTTATGTAAAGTAATATGTGTGCGTTTTCAGGCCAATTCTTGATCTTCTAAAGCAGTTACCGGTCAAAAACTACCCAGAAGTCTTGGCCAATGAAGTGAAGGAAACGATCGAAGTGGTGGAGACAAATGTGACAAAGTTTAGCCAAGTTAGACAATTAACTCACAATGTTTCGAAGAAAATTAAGTAGGTTGTTTAGTTTTTCGAATTTTCTAAAAATTCTGCGTTTTAATATGAAAAGAACTTTGTTTACAGAACTAAAAATGGCTGACCTTATTATTCGTCTTATAACTTGTAATCCGCAGCTTGCAGAGGGGCTGAAATTAGGAAAATGTTTTTAAAGTTAAAAAATGGCAGTAATTTTCTTTACAAAGCAATAAATGGCAAAAATTTTCTTTACAAAGCAAAATATGGCAAAAACTTTCTTTACAAATCTGGAAATATCAAGAACTTTCTTTACAAAACAAAAATAACGAGAACTTGCTATAATACCTGAAATTTGGAAGTTTCTAATAAAAATGCCATTTCCAGGATGATAGATATGTTTGAACCTCGAATCGAACAACACTTCAACTTCAAACACCCAACTCACAAGCGAAACGATCCGAAAGCGGCCGAGAAACGCCTCACCAAGAAGGTGCGCAAAGAGACCAGAAGCGCCATCAAAGACCTTCGAATGGACGCCAAGTTCTTGGCCACGGAACAACATCGCGAACTCAAGGCGGTCAGCGAGGAACGAAAGGAAAAGACCAAGAGAATCTTGGCCAGCCTTCAAACTCAAGAATCCGAGTATCAGAAGAGGAAGAAGACGAAGTTCTAGAGGAAGATATAAAGAGAGAAGACTGTGTTTTGTCAAAAAAATCTTATTTTTCTTCGCAATTTTACTTTTTTAAAAGTTTTTGTTGTTTTACCGGACTTTTATACATTTTTTGTTATTGTTATTACATTGTTGTTGATTGTCTTGTTGTGCCTACCAAGTTGTTGTTGATTAAATTTTTAAAAAATGAATGTGTATATTGCGGTTTACGAGGTTTAAAAGCCTGATATTTAATGATTTTTTAGGTGTTTTGATGGTTTTTAAGGTTCAATCAGCTTATTTTATCGATATTTGATTGTTTGGTGTGACGACAATGCGAGGGAGTTGATGGATTAGGAGTTATTCATTGTTTTATACCTAAATTGAGGTGTTTCAGATGTCGTTGGCGTCGAAAGTGTTGAAGTTTTCGGCTCAACGCTCTCAAACCATCACTCCGAAATGCTCTATGTACCAAAACCCCTACATTATTGAGCATCAGAAGAGGCGTCGCGTCTCTGAGGACTACCCCAAAAAGGTATTTTTAAGGATTTTTTGGTTGAAAAAAGGTTAAAACTAGTGCTTTTAGGTCATAAAGTACGTGGAATGATAATAATTTTAAGAAAATTTTAATTTGAAGTCAATTCTACGGACTTTTTGACCTTTTTTATAAAAATAAGGATTTTGGAGCGTTGAGAAAGGCATGTTTTACTTGTTGGAAAAAGTCTTGTCGTCAATTTACATTGGCTTCCGAGACGAAAAACGACAAGACTTTTCATTGTTCTATTTTTAAAGAAGCTTTTGATAAAATTCGTCATTGATGACATGTTTAATCAAAATGAATGCCAACTGACATAATATGATATGATCTATGACAATATTTTCAGAGCACCGGCTTAACTGGCCTCTGGGTAAACGAACACCCCCACTATACCCTGAAGGTCGTGTATGGTAGAATCCTGAGAACTCTTCAAAGCATCCCAGTCAACAATCCATACCGACAAGCCACCGAACAGTTGATTAATCATCGATTGAAGTTGGTTGAGGAGGTAGGATCGAAGTTTTGAAATTTCGAAGAATTTACTAAATTTTGAAAAAAATTTTTTTTTTGGAAAATGTTTTTTTTTTGTTTAAAAATTGAATTTTTGAAGTTTTAAAGAAACAATAAGTCTTGTCGTCAATTTACATTGGTTTAGTTGGTAAAAAACGACAAAACCTTTTTAATCTTGCAATAGTATGTTTAGAAAATAACTGTTTTTACAAAACAAAAAATGGCAAGAACTTTCTTTACACAATCAAAAATTGTAAAAACTTTCTTTACAAAACAAAAAACGGCAAAAACTTTCTTTACAAAACAAAAAATGGCAAAAACTTTCTTTAAAAAACAAAAACTGACAAAAACTTTCTTTACAAAGCAAAAACGGCAAAAACTTTCTTTACAAGCCAATAGTATAGTAAAATTTACCAAATTTTAGGAGACAGATGTGTTCAAACTGGAGGAAAAGATTGGAATGGGTCAGATCGAGGAAGTCATCCAACAAGCCGAATACGAAGTGGCGGCCGCTCGTGCCATCGTCGAAAGCAAGGCCTGGGAACCGCTAGCCGAGCCGGCTTCCGAATCCCAATGGCGTTGGCCGGTAGCTTAGGTGGATTTATGTTTAAATAAGGTTCGGAAATAAATTTAGAGATGTACAAGATTACTGTCGGCCGTTTTTGCGGATTGTTAAGGTATCAAAGAAAGTCCTGTCGTCAATTTATATTGGTTTGTCTTACAAATAACGACAAGACTTTTCATAATTTATTAGGAGGAAGTTAAAGTGCTAAAACTTTCTTTACAAAACAAAAAACGGCAAGGACTTTCTTTACAATGCGAAAAATGGCAAGAACTTTCTTTACAAAACAAAAATGGCAAGAACTTTTTATTCCATGAATACGGTGATACATAAACGACAATTTTTCATCCATAGTAGTTCATCAAAGGCCAAATGGCTGATTAAACATGATATTGTCATTACTGGCTCATATACCAATATTAAATTGAGCATGAGAGTAATATTGTAATCCATGATAAGCCACACGTTTTACTGATTAAAAATAGAAATTGTAGACAAATCTGAAAGGATTAGCGGCCGTACTGACCTCTGACTAACGACTAGATTTGGTTAAACGTTCATGGATAATATTTTAGGTTATTGTCACATTTCTTGGAGGGGAGAGGGGGGAAGGGAATAAGGCTACGGTAAGCTCAATTAAAAGAAGGGGGGAGTAACTTACTGTGAATTACAGTAGGGTAGGGTAGGGTAGAGTAGGGTAGGGTAGGGTAGGGTAGTTTTATGAACCTTACTGTAAGCCATCCTCGGACTTCATTACTCATTGTAGTAATTAACTGTGATATTTAAAACTCGATAATAATAAACTAGACATTAAGCAGGAATTTATGAAATTTGCTTTAATGAGATTAACATTTTCAATTAGAATAGTCTACCGTAGATTGTGGGGGTTTTTCTAAACTTTTGCAAATTATCGTCTAATTTTGGGCGGCAGGAGACTTTTTATTAATTTTTTAAATATTTTTGCAGTTTAGCCAGCTTTAAATACCTTATTTATAATTTTGCAGCTGAGTCATAAAAGTATTGTCACTTCTTCAATTTGTCTCTGTTTATTCCACCGGTCGATTATTAGATCTTCTAACGTTTGAAAAGTTTGTCAGATAGGTGGTAAAAATGGTGGAAAAATCAACGATCTTCTTTTTTGTTGGCTATGTCTTTCACTGTTTCTTTCACTTCTAAAAAAGGTTTTTTAACTGTAATAAAAAAAAGTTATCAGAGATTGGAAATAAGGCAAGGTACTGTAAATAATGTATATAGAAGTGCGATAGTATTATATCTACCGGACATGCTTTACATTATAGAGAGCAGGTCAGCAGGTGTAGTGCAAGAGTATGACGGCGTTTAGTAGGGTAAAGATAGGGTAAGGTAGGGTAGGGTAGGGTAGGGTAGGGTAGGGTAGGTTAGGGTAGGGTAGGGTAGGGTAGGGTAGGGTAGGGTAGGGTAGGGTAGGGTAGGGTAGGGTAGGGTAGGGATGCCCAAAATCCTGCGCCATTTAAAAAAAGATCGTTTGAAAGAAAGAGAGTATTTTCTCTAGTTTCTCTCGTTTTATTGTGCTTTCTTGTCAAAATGGCGCAGAATTTTGTATTTCCCGCGCCATTTTTTGGTTTTCACTGAGAAGAAAAATATTTTTGAAAAAAAAAATTTAAGTATAAGTCTCCAGTCGTACGTGCTCAGACGCGACCGATCTTTATAAAATTTGCTTTGAAACAAGGCAGGGCCGAGCCTATTGAGCTTCCGTTTAGGTCTTACATGTTAGAACAAGGACAACACTTACGGTCCCAAAGACTACCAAGGTCTTCTTTATAGGGCCTCAAAAATTCGAGTGCTTCTACAGCCACGTCTTTTAGTACTCCTTTGGTGTGGTCAATAAATTCTTTTGCAATATTTATCTAAAATTATTTTTTAAATAAGAAAAAACTTGAAAATGGCAATAAAACGGTGTTATAATCCCTTACAGCGTTGTCTCTTTTCTCTTTTAGGTAGTTATCAATCCTTGAGAACTTGTCTTTTACATCTTCCAGTTCTTTTGCTATTTCTGTTTTTATGAGTTCTCTGATTTCTTGGCGTGTCATGACACTGTTTTCAGAAGATTCAGAGTTTTCATAAGTTACCGTGTTTTCTAAAAAAAATATTTTTAAAACTCTGAATCACTGATGACGGTAGCCCTCATGATTGACATCTAAATACAGACAGACGCTAGACAATGAAGACTTAACTTTTATGACTATACATTAAAAAAACACGGAGAATAAGCTAAAATAAAAAATTTTAAATAGTTTAACCGCAACATAGAGAAAACAACCGGTAAAGTTTTGTAACAGAACTTTTGGCGCATTTTGTAAAATTTTTTAAAATTTTTTTTTTAATTTTGTCAAAACAATGGATTTTTAGGATGACTTACCGATTGGCAATGCTGAAGCAACCAAAACAACCGTAATGAAAAAGCTTAAAACTTTTAAGAACTTCATTCTTTTTACTAGACAGTAAAAGATTTTTGATAATGACTATTCACGTTAGGTGAATACCAACATAACTCACAGTGAAACATAACTTTTATACTGCCAAACGTTGTTTTTGTTATCATTCACTTATTGGAAGTGGAATTCCAATTAACATATTTAAAAACTTATTTTGTCTGATTTATATTGTTGTTCACAAAATATAATTATGAGTTTAAAAAATCATCTTTAACGTAATTTAACATAAAATATCTCTTTATTTAACATACACTATATATGTTAAGCCCTAGTACGATCCTAGTTAATTCAATATTTTTTTAAAAATTTTTTGATTATTTCATGTGCTGGAAAGAAAGTTCTTGTAATTTTTTGTTTTGTAAAGAAAGTTCTTGTCAGTTTTTGTTTCGTAAAGAAAGTTCTTGCTATTTTTTGTTTTGTAAAAAAAGTTCTTGCTATTTGATGTTTTGTGAAGAAAGTTTTTGCTATTTTACGTTTTCTAAAGAAAGTTCTTGCCAGTTACTTTTATTTTATAAAATTCTGTAAACACCCACCCTTTTTCTCCTCTTCTACCCTTCGTTCCTTTAACTAACACACTACTCCTTTTACAGTAATCTCCCTAAATGTCATCCTCATCATTCTACCGTAATACACCCCATCCTCTTTGCGATAGTAAACAGATTTCTAACTTTACTAATCATGTGCTGAAAGATAATTGTTCGATACAAACATCAACAATGCTCTAATCCTCAAGACGAAACAAAGTACGAACATTCTTGCAATCACTAATTGTCTTATAGGATGCCACACAAAAAGCGTGACTTCCAAGCTATTTTCGGCAGAAGAAAGGGTTTGTTAGTAAAAAATATTAAAGTATAATGAGATTACAATTACAACAAAAATAGCTTACAAAAGCTTAAAAAGTAGTACGTATTTAGATGTTGTGCGCCGTATTAAGAAATGGCTAGGCTGGGACTAAGGTAGGGCTAAGCATAGTAAAGTAGGGCTATGGTAGGGCTCTAAAAGAGTTTTTAGGGCTAAGAGAGGGCTTAAAAGAGTTGTTAGAGCTAAGATAGGGCTAGAAAAGAGTTTGTAGGGCCAATATAGAGTAGAGTAAACAGGATATAAAATAGCAAGAACTTTGTTTACATAACAAAAAATGGCAAGAACTTTCTTTACAAAACAAAAAGTGGAAAGAATTTTCTTTACAAAACAAAAAATGGCAAGAACTTTTTTTTACAAACAAAAAATGGCAAGAACTTTTTTTACAAACAAAAAAAAGGCAAGAACTTTCTTTACAAAAACAAAAAATGGCAAGAACTTTCTTTACAAAACAAAAAAATGACAAGAACTTTCTTTACAAAACAAAAAATGACAAGAACTTTCTTTAAATGGCAAGAACTTTCTTTACAAAACAAAAAGTGGAAAGAATTTTCTTTACAAAACAAAAAACGGCAAAAACTTTCTTTGCAAAACCAAAAATGGCAAGAACTTTCTTTACAAAACAAAAAATGACAAGAACTTTCTTTACAAAACAAAAAATAACAAGAACTTTCTTTACAAAACAAAAAATAACAAGAACTTTCTTTACAAAACAAAAAATGGCAGGAACTTTCTTTACAAATCAAAATAGTGGAAAGAACTTTCTTTACAAAACAAAAAATGACAAGAACTTTCTTTACAAAACAAAAAATGGCAAGAACTTTCTTTAAATGGCAAGAACTTTCTTTACAAAGTCAAAAATGGCAAGAACTTTCTTTACAAAACAAAAAAAATGGCAAAAATTTTCTTTTCTGTACAAATCTAACTAATCATAATATGAGCTAGAAAAGCTATAAAAGCTGTTATCTGTTGTTGTGAATGATTACTCATACAGGAAGGAAGAAGCATTTAAAATTGTTGTCTAATTATCGGGCATTATCAGTTGATTCTTGTTGACTATGAAACTAACTTCAATTTTGATTTTATTTTTTATTGAAACTTCTGGAGGTTTGTCTTTAAAAATTAAAATTTTAAAATGGCAATTTTTCAAAAATTCAAATCTTTGACGGTCAAAAAAGTATTGTCGCGTTTTAAGGTGGAAAGCTTTAGCAAAAAACGACAAAACTTTCTTGTTCGTTTTTTAGTGTTAAGGTTGTAAAAAAACTTTCTTTACAATACAAAAAATGGCAAGAATTTTCTTTACAAGGCAAGACATGGCAAGAGCATTCTCGACAAGGTAAAAATTGGCAAAAACTTTCTTTACAAGTAAAACAATTGCAAAAACCTTGGTCTTTATTTAACTAAATCGTTATTTTAATCAAGCGAACATAATTAATATGGCATTTAATTAAAGATTTCTAAAAATTCTTAGTTTGAAATTATACGCCGTTGTAAAATTAGCTGGATGTAAAGAGTTAAAAATGGATCAAAGATTAACAATTTTCTAATTAAAAATATAATAAGGTTAAAAGACTTCAAATAATTTTAGCTCAAGCCCTTCGCTGCTTGACATGTGAAGGCTCTCAATGTAGTTATACTGGACCGCTGATTAGTGAAGAATGCCCACCGGCTGTTCACTTATGTTATGCATTGTCTAATGATAATGGAGATTGTAAGTTTTATAATTGTCTTAAACTCCGCTACTTCTTTAACTTGCTTCTTGGAGCTAAGCCTAATTTGAAGTTAAACTTAAGCGTAAGGCTAAGCCTACGTTTAAGTATTATATGAGTCTTATGATAAGCAGCTGACCATGAGCACCGGCGCCATAATCAGTTTGAACTTTATACTGAGCTTCAGGGTGTGCCTGAGCCTGAGGTTGAGTCTGAGCCTGAGCTTGAGCCTGAGCCTGAGCCTGAGCCTGAGCTAGAGCCTGAGACTGAGCTTGAGAGTGAGCCTGAGTTTGAGCTTGAACTTGAGCCTGAGCCTGAGCCTGAGCTAGAACCTGAGTCTGAGCCTGAGCCTAAGCTTGGGAGTGAGCCTTAACCACAGCTCAAATCATTTCAAACCTACGCGCAAGCCCAGACCTAATCTCACGCTGAAGCCTACACTAAGGCTTAAGCCTAAGCTTAAGTGGCTGCCCAAGCTTTAGTTCTGCTTTGTGTTACTGTTCTAGATATACCGTAGGCTTTATAGTTAGTCCGTTTTAAAGCATTTTAAAACATAAAATTATTTTAGTGTACCAATTCGGTTGTTCATACACCGATTGTTCTCGAATCCGTGTTCATCACATTTTCAACAAATGTGACGTTTGTGACACGAATGATTGTCTTCCACTTCACCTCAGCCAACGTCGAGGTGGAGCGGTCGGTTCTGGAGGATCGCTGAACTACAATCGTGGTGGTAGTGGTACTGGTGGCTCTGTAGGAGGCTATGGTAATGTTGGAAGCATTGGTAGTGGAGGATCAGTTGGTTACGGTAATGGGCAAGGCATTGGTACTGGTGGCGCTGTAGGAGCTTATGGTAATAGTGGAGGTATTGGAAGTGGTGTAGGTTATGGTAATGGAGGCAGAAGAGGAGACATAGGTACTGGTGGTTCCATACACGGTGGCGGAAGGAGTGGTGCTATTGGTACTGGAGTTAGGGTTGGTAAAAGTGTTAATATTGTAATTCCTAGTTTTGTTTTGTTTGTTTTTACTCATCTGATTGTTTTTTAATAAAATTTTAGTTTTTTTATTAGTTTTGTTTTAATTTAGTCGTCGAGGAGTGTTATATTTAATATTATTACTTTAGCCTTATCCTAGCTGTACAGTAGTGCAGTACTCATAATAATACATAACAATTTTTAAATCATTATTAATACCGACAAAAACTAAGTACAACTCCGTAGTATATTAGCTAATAGCATTAAAGCTGTATCACGCTTCGTATTATCTATACGAAGATGTTACAGTCCATAGATTAGCATTTAAGTAGTTTCTTTGAAATTGAACACAGCATTATTGCCAGCCAACGCAGTTCTGTAGCTAAAAAAATTATTATGTGTTGTTAGGTTTAGTATGTATTTTGTCTGTAAAAACGGATTTTTTTTCTAAAACTAACTTTAAAAACTGAATAATATAGTGAAGCGATATTTTAAATATTTTTAAACTATAAAATAGTAATAAAAGTGTTCAGAAGGGAAGAGCTGCTACTTTAAGAGTAGGGTAGGTTAGAGAAAATTATAAATACTTTAGAGTTAATGCAGTTTAAATTAAAGTTGATTTAATATTAGGGAAGTATGCTGGTAGTATTGTGCTTGAAGAGTAAAACAAAGCTAGGGTAGAGCTATCAAGTGCCGACATAAAAAACCCGCCATACTTTTTTTGTAACTTTTTGTAAAAAATGTCAGATTCTTTAATTCTAATGAATTTAAAAATAAGCAACAATCCGATCTCAGTTTCAAACCCAGCTCGTGTTTTATTTGCTGAAATTTGGACCGGTCCACTCAAAAAGTTTTAAAGCAAAGTCTAACTTCTCAAAACCCGGCTTAAAACCCAAACTCAACGTAGACCTGGCTTCCGGGTTGGGCGTAAATTTTTCAGCCAGCGGGAATAACTCAGTTAGATAAAATTAATGTATGTAAGCTAAAGTAAAAAAAAAATTTTTAATTTTTATATTTCATAAAACATCACACTATGATGAACCATAAATTAATTACTGCTGAATTAAAAATAACAATTAATGACTGAAATCATCAAAAAAGTTAAAACCACAAGTAATCATACCCACTTACTGTACGATCATTCCCTTGTGAGCCTGAACTTGAGCCTGACCCTGAGCCTAAGCGTAGGCTTGAGCCTGAACCTAAGCCTGAACCATAAGTTAATTACTACTGAATTAAAAAATAACAATTAATGACTGAAATTATCAAAAAGTTAAAACCACAAGTAATCATACCCACTTACTGTACGATTGTTTGTTTTGAATTTTCAAATAAAATCTTTAAATGTCTAAAAAATCTTTGGGTGATAATCCCTTTGCTATCTTTAATCTTTAATCAGTAAAACTTATGAAGCCCAAAATTTGAAACATAACTGTAAGATTTTCTTTGAATTATTGCAATCTTGTTTTGAATTTGTCGTTTTGAAAATTTAATACGTGTAAATGAAATTTTTAAACGGTAAGTACCCTGCCTACGCAATTAATGTATCAAAGTAATGTACCTATAATATAATAAAGAGATGTATATAAGGGTGAATTAGCAGTATACCTACTGGATATGTTTTAGACTAAGCACAGGTAATGCGAGAGAACGGCAGAGCAGAGAAATAGGAGTCCTACTTCTCTGCTCTGCCCGTACTGTAGGACAAAAGATAGAAAATAGTAAGAAGGTATAGTAAAACAAAACAAGGTAGATTGGGGTAGCATAGGGTAACCTAAAGTAGTGTAGAGTAAGGTAGGGTAGGTTAGGGTAGGACAGTCTAAGGTAGGGTAGAGTAAGATAGGGTAGGATAGGGTAGGGTAGGGTGGGGTAAAAAAAATATATTTTTTTAAACTTTATTATTTCAAAACCATTTTCGTTCATTGCAAAACGACCGATTACGGTAACTGCGTAACCGGTTCGGAATGAACAGACAAAGCCTTCGCTTGTCCGAAATCATTGGCCGCACTAATTAAGAAGGCTTTATGATTTAATTTCCGGTTGAATCATTTTCAAAAAGCCAACGGATTTGGGCTTCGAATTGGGCCTTGAAGCAGCTGGAATTATTTATAAATTTATTAAAATTTTTTGTATGTTACCGCGTGTTTTACAACTACATTTTTTTTGTTGAGGTTAAGCCTAGGACAGAGGCTAGGGCTGGGGCTTGGGCTGGGGCTTGGGCTGAGACTAGGGCTGAGATTGAAATTAAGATTAGGACTAGGCTAGGGCTGGGGCTTGGGTTGAGATTAGGGCTGAGGCTAGGGCTGAAACTAGGGCTGAAACTAGGGTTAAGGTTAGGGCTAAGGCTAGGACTAAAGCTAGAGGTGAAGCTAGAGCTGAAGCTAGAGCTGAGATTAAAGATGAAGTTAGTGCTGAAGCTAGAGCTAAAGCTAGAGCTGAAGCTACAGCTGAAGCTAGGGCTGAAGCTAGAGCTAAAGCTATGGCTTAGGCTGAGGTTGAGACCAACCCAACATATTATAAAGAACGCTAGTGTTAACCCTATGCAGTACGTTACCTAATAACTGTACTTAAACCACGTTGTCCATTAATGTTTACCAGATAAACGGTTGTTACGCACGTTTATCCAGGAACAATCGCTATTTCAAAATGCCGTTTTGGAAACATATGCACGTTTTTTCTTTGTTACATTGCGAGTAAATCCGTTGTACTCTAACGGTCGACCTGCAAATGGCCAAAATGGCATTGTCGTCTTCGAATTCTTCCAGGTCTTTTTGGGATTAATCCGGCCGCTACGCATGTACGGCTATTTTTAGTTGTAATACTTTTTTGGAATAATCTTTTTCAGCAGTTTAGCGTTTTTGCTAGCGGGTTTGAAGTTGGATTACTGTAGTTTGTTAGCCTGGTTTAGATTTTTTGATTAATATCTAAGCCGTTTACATGTATTCTATTTGTCATTCCTTCTAAATGTGGGAGTAGTTTTAGTTTTGAATTAGGCTTAGCTTGTGTTAGGCTTGGACTAAGCTTAAGATATGCTTGCGCTAGGTTTGAGCTGAAACTAGAGCTGAAGCTAAGGCTGAGGCTAGGACTGACACTAAGGTTGAGACTGAACTGATAATAAGCCTGAAACGGGGCTAGGACTGAAAGCTGGAGTTGAGGCTGTCTGAAAGCTAGGGCTGGGGTTAGTACTGAGGCTGTAACTGAGAAGGAAGCTGAAGATAGAGTTATGACTTGGGTTGAGGCTAAGGCTTAGAAATTTAAAGCTTACGCTACCTAAAACATCACATTAAATCAAAAAAAAATTTAAATTTTGTTACATTTAAAGATCTTATTAGATATTACACTAGAAGCAGAGCTTACTGTGGAATATAATTTGAATGAACTTTATTGAATTAAACGCTTTAATTCAAATGCTTATTACAGCACTTACCTTACACTACTCTACCTACCCTAATTTATCTAGCACTATTTTGCCATACCTAACCGTAGCCTACCATCTCTTATTGTACTCGATCGTACTCTACCGTACTCTACCCTACCCTAACTTTTTTTACCTTATCTTTTATAAGTATGATAGAATTTTACAGTAAATGTAAGAAACGTCAGTATTTGTCAGTCTTATAAAAGTACGCATTGACATCAATACGTATTATACATATAAAATTGATAAAAATCGCTAATATAGTATATAATTAAGTAAAGATTAACATACGAGAATAGCTAAACTGTAGTGAGTCATTACGGGATCAAACAACTAATTAAGTTCACGTGCTCAAATTAAAATTGCTTGAAATAGAATTTAAATTGACAAATCGGTCGTATTAACTGTAGTGTAAAAAACCTAAAATTAATTTTTTTATGTTTACTATGGCATTAGTATTATGTTTATTATGTTTACTATGGCGTTAGTAATATGTTTATTGAATAGTTTGTAATTACAGTATTACTAATCTAAGAAAGTACTGTAAGCAGTAATGGTACTAAAATTACCGTAAGATTCGTGTTTTTGGCTACAAACCACATAAATCTTGCCAAACGTATAATACTGTTAGAATAGTAAAATGTAAGGGTACTACAGGTATAAAACGTTTGCTTACTGCACTTTTAAATGTGACAATTCAGGATTAAACACAATATTAACCAAGACAACACACAGAATATTGAAATGTTAGTACGCTATTATACGACAGATTACTGCGATTGTTTTACCACTTTGTTACGGTGTGTCACATAAACATTTATATTACTATAGATAAGTGTTTTTGGGTTAATACTGTGAACAATTGAGTTTAACTAGCCCTCGCTAAAAGTTCTAGCTAAACGCTTTAACCTTAGATTACGCCTTAGCCTTAGCCCTAACCTCAACCCTAGTCTCAGCTCAAGCCTCGAGCCTAGCCTCAGTCCTAGCTTCAGCTCAAGGTTCTGGCTTAGCCTGCCCTAGCTCGCTAAAAGTTCTAGCTAAACGCTTTTGCTTTAAATTAAGCCCTAGCCTTTGTCCTAGCCTCAGCCCTAGCCTCAGCCTTAGCCTCAGCCCTAGCTTTAGCTCAAACTTCAGGCCTAGCCTCAAATCTAGCATTAGCTCAAGCTTCAAGACTAGCCTCAGTCTTAGCTTCAACCCTAGATTCAGCTCAAGCTTCTTGTCTAGTGTCAGCTATCGCTTCAGCCTTAGCCTAAGCTTTTGTTTTAGCCTTAGCTTCAAATCTAGACAAAAACCTTAGTCAAAAACCTTAGTCTAAGCTGTAGTATCAGCTTTTGCCAGAAGCCCTAGCCAAAAGTCCTAGCCAAATGCCTTAGTTGTAGCTTTAATTTCAGCCTTGGCCTGAAATGTAACTTCATTCCTAGCCTTACAATTAGTTCTAGCTTTGCCTAGCTTTAATTTCAGCCCCAGTTTAAGCTCCAGCTTCAGCTTCAACCGCAGCTCTAGTCTAAGCCCTAAGCACTGCGCTAGGTCTAACTTTTGCTTTATTTTTAGCACAACTTCTAGCCTAGTTCTATCTACTTCACTCCTAATCATAGCTCTTCTCTATCTCTACCGTATCTTTATGTTTACTAACGTTAGGTGTTTATTTCTATCAAATTACTTAAAGTTATAAGAATATATTATAGAAATCTGATTTTTGGTTAATGTAATACGTCTAGCCATGATTAATTTCATCGGAAATG